AAAATAACCAGTAGAAAGCTGAACGAACTGTCACAGATTTTAATGTATCAGTTTTAGATGTAGAGTTCAAATAGGATATCTATTGATACATCAAATCTTACAATCTCATATGTGGAAAATTTATTTTTAAATCCATATAGTTTCCAAAAAATTTAGGTAATAGTGACTATTTATAATGAAATGTTAGGGTATATAGAAATTGTCTCATTGAATTAATTTTAATATCCTAAGAACAGTTACAAAATGAACACTACAGACACTGTCAGACACAGCACTTAAAAAAATACAACTACATTATTTGGAAAGTCGTAATTCGTAGATTATTTTAGTCATACGTGTTAATAATTTTGAGCGTAAAACGCAATTACAATGAACAATCAGAGATGATAGGATTTTAGAATACAAGATTCATTTCGAAGTACAGAATCCAATAGTCATATATCTTGTAAAAATAGAGTAAGTAAACAGTATGTAAAAATCATAAATACAATAATAAGTGGCATAACTACAATATCACGAGCGTTTTGGAGAGAAAAATGTCAGATTTACCTCATAGATAGTTCATTAAACAGTGGTTGTGTGGTTTTGTGTTACATCACCCCTGTACATTTCGATCTGGCGACTAGGTTTACTATATTACCTTATAGTGGATTGTTAATATTCAAACACTATTGTATGTTAAGTTAATTGAAGGGTTTGACAAAGTTAACCATAAACAAACTTAAACGTACGAGTGTTGCCACAACCTTATCGTAGATTACAGGTTTTGAATATAGCTCCACTTATTACTAAAGATCACCATCACTCATAGTCAGTGTGACTCAAAAATGAGTACACAAACATTGTAATTCGTAGATGAATTACATTGGATTCGATCATTTTAATCGGTAATGACATTCGCTTCCTGAATATTTAGGAAATTTTATCCACTTTGTCAAAACTTATAAAATATTTTTCGATTTTTTATCAAACTTCTAATTACTTTTTTACTTCGTGTGAAAAAATCTTGTCATAACAAAAAATGAAAAATGCTTCTTTTCAAAACAGATTAATTTGGACCATATTACCAATATATTTGTAAATGGTTAGGTAATTAGAATGTATGGTTAGTGTGTATTTGATCAGTAAATGAAGTAAACCATCTTATAATCAAATTATCAAGAAAAAATAACCAATATGAACTGAGGCCCAATAAAATAATCTACAATAGCTTATATCCTAAACTGAAACTAATTCCTTAAACAAATGTCTCTTAAATACTATGAAATAGACTACTGTAGTGAACAAGAACACAAGTGGGAGACAATCGAATGTATTTCGTCACGAAATCACTTACTTACTTACTTACTTACGCCTGTTACTCCTCGTGAAGGAACATAGGCCGCTCACCAGCATTCTCCATCCAACCCTGTCCTGGGCAATCCTTTCCAGCTCCTTCCACTTCCTATTCATCTTTTTCATATCTGCTTCTGTTATCCGACGCAATGTGTTCTTAGGCCTTCCTCCTTTTCGCTTCCCTTCAGGATTCCAAGTTAGGACTTGTCTCGTGATGCAGTTTGACGATTTGCGTAATGTATGTCCTATCCATTTCCATCGTCTTTTCCTAAACTTTTCTTCAGCTGGAAGTTGGTTTGTTCTCTCCCATAGAAGGCTATTGCTGATGGTATCCGGCCAATGGATATTGAGTATCTTGCGAAGACAGCTAATTATAAATACTTGTACCTTCTTGATTGTGGTTGTTGTAGTTCTCCAAGTTTCAGCTCCATACAGTAGAACGGCCTTGACGTTGGTATTGAAGATTTTCACTTTGATATTGGTTGAAAGTTGTTTTGAGTTCCATATGTTCTTTAACTGTAAAAATGCTGTCCTTGCTTTGCCAATCCTTGCCTTTACGTCTGCATCTGAACCTCCTTGTTCATCGATGATGCTTCTTAGGTGTGTGAAGGGCTCTACCTCTTCCAGAGTTTCGCCATCAAGAGTGATTGGATTGTTGTTTTCCGCTTTGAATTTGAGGACTTTGGTTTTCCCTTTGTGTATGCTGAGGCCTACTGATGTAGAAACTGCTGCTACACTGGCTGTCTTCATCTGCATCTGTTCGTGTGTACGTGATAGGAGGGCTAGGTCATCTGCGAAGTCTAAATCGTCTAATTGATTTCGAGCTGTCCATTGAATTTGGTGTTTTCGTTCAGATGTCGAGGTCTTCATAATCCAGTCGACCACCAGAAGAAAGAGGAAGGAGGAGAGTATACAGCCTTGTTTGACTCCGGTCCTTACTTGGAATGCATCTGTCAGCTGTCCTCCATGCACGACTTTGCACTGTAGTCCGTCGTATGAGTTCCGGATAATGTTGACAATCTTCTCCAGAACTCCGTAGTGTCGGAGAAGTTTCCGTAATGTCCTCCTATCTACACTGTCGAATGCTTTTTCATAATCAATGAAGTTGATGTATAGTGATGAGTTCCACTCAACTGATTGTTCGACGATGATCCGTAGTGTTGCAACTTGGTCTGTGCATGATCGATCCTTACGGAATCCGGCTTGTTGATCTCGAAGTTGGGCGTCTACTGCATCTTTCATCCGGTTCAGCAACACTATGTTGAAGACTTTCCCTGGTATTGACAGCAGTGTAATGCCTCTATAGTTTTCACATTTGCTCAGATCTCCTTTCTTTGGAATCTTGACGAGGTGTCCTTCTTTCCAGTCCATCGGCACTTGTTCCTCTTCTCAAATCTTTTTTTAATAGAAGGTAAAGCATGTTTGTAGTTACTTCGATGTCTGACTTCAGTGCTTCAGGTGGTATGTTGTCCGGACCCGCTGCTTTCCCGTTCTTGATTTGTCTGACGGCCATTCTGATTTCTTCCTTCGTTGGTGGGTTGACGTCTATGGGAAGATCTGTGTGTGCCGCTTCGATGTCCGGTGGATTCATTGGAGCCGGCCTATTCAGGAGTTACTCGAAGTATTCTACCCATCTGTTCCGCTGTTGTTGAATTTCGGTGATTGGCTTGCCTTCTTTGTCTTTGACCGGTCTCTCTGGTTTACTGTATTTTCCTGCTAGTTTCTTCGTTGTATCGTAAAGCTGTTTCATATTTCCTTCTCTAGCAGCTTTTTCTGCCGTCGTTGCTAGTTCTTCCACGTATTTCTTCTTGTCGGCTCTAATACTCCTCTTCACTTGTTTGTTTGCTTCTATGTATTCAGCTTGTGCTTGGACTTTCTCTGCTCGTGTTCGGCTGTTGTTTATTGCTGCCTTCTTGTTCTTCCTTTCTTTGATCTTGTCCAATGTTTCTGTAGAGATCCATTCCTTATGATGGTATTTCTTTAGACCCAGAACCTCTTGACACGTTAAAGTTAATGCTTCCTTGATGCCTTTCCAGTTGTCCTCCATACTAGTTTCTTTTTCCTTCCGTAGATCTTGTAAGGCTTGGAACCTGTTGTTGAGAGCTATCTTGAATTCATTAAGTTTGTCAGTATCTCGAAGGAAGGCTGTATTGAACCTTTGTATTGCTGTTTGTCCAGTTGTCCAGTTCTTTTTTAGCTTCAGTTTTAAATTGGCTACAACTAGGTGGTGATCTGAAGCTATATCAGCACCTCTCCTGGTTCTCACATCTTCCATTGTCCTTCGGAATTTTTTGTTGACGAAATCACAGAGCATCTCAATAAAATGTGAGAATCATATAATAAATATCAAAATTAAAACGCGAAGTTGAGCGAAGCGGTCTCTTTAACGAATTTATTATCAAGCTGTACAATCGTATATGTATGAAAAAAGTACTAATTCCGTGAGGAAATGTGAACACAATTAACCAGGATGACATAATGGAAAGATTATAATAATGATTAAAATCATTTTAATCGTCTTATTATATTCACTAAATCTATTGTTATTATTCGTATTACGTAATCTAGTATTATAATCTTTCTACTACATTATCTTGGTTATTTGTGTTCACATTTCCTCACAGAGCTAGTACTTTAACAAAAATATTTTCATATATGTACGATTGTACAGCATGTTAATAAATTCGTTGAAAAAAGATCCCTTCGCTGAACTTCGTGTTTTAATTTTAATTTCACTGGTTGGAATCATGAGTCAATTAAAGCTAAACCACTATGGAAAACCTGAAAACACTTGACGGCCGTTTCGTCCTATTATGGGACTCCTCAGCAGTGCGCATCCACAATCCTGCACCCCGCGAGATTCGAACCCAGGAACTATCAGTCTCGCACCAGGCGCTTAACCTTGAGACCACTGAGCCGGCATCCAATGGTGTTAATGTCTAACTTCAACCAATGTTTGAATGGGAATTATCTGTCAATATAGTAAATAATTAATTTGCAAAATATCAATCCATGATCTCAACTATTCCTTTTACAAATATTATTCCATTGTCTCAGATTTCATTGTTCATGCATTTTCATACCAAATTACGTTCCGTTTCCATTCCTTCCTTATCAATCTTCTACTGAAATACATTCTACATCTGATCATTGTTATATATTACTTATGTAGATATAAGTAACTCATATCACATTATTATTTAAAAATAAACAAATAAATCACCTGATATATTTTTTTAAAATATCGATTAATCAATTATTTTGAATATTATCATTATACATACTACTATTGGAAAATTTCTTGCAACATTATTTATCTAATAATTATTCATATGTGTTATATTTCTATGAAAAGAATTTTATATTTTTGGTTATTTACATTTTTTATATTTTATGGAATAATTACAATACTCATTTATATATATAAACAAAAAATTAATTTATTCATAGATACAAATAATAATCAATTTATCTATTCATACTACTTATTAATATTAACTTGTTTATCATTAATAAATTTTACATTAGCCATTGGAACATTGAATATTGGTAAATGTTTCATTATTATTCTATTTTTATCAATATCATTTATTATTTTTATTATTGAATTATTATTTCTTATTCATTTATATTATTATAAAGAAAATAAATTTTTTGGTTATCAAATGATAGAAAATTTTATAAAAAATTTAATACAAATTTATAATTCAAATCAAATGGAACATTTTATATTAGATTATATACAAAATTATTTTCAATGTTGCGGTTATAATGAATGGCATTATGAATGGTTAAATATAACTAAAAAAATAATAAAAAAGAATACAAATCAATTTATTGATTATTGGGTACCAAATTCATGTTGTAAAAAAATATATCAAAATGATCAATATTGTGGTTATGCTATTTATCATATTTCTATTAATAATAATGATTATTTTATGAAATTATTGAAATCTTATCAACCAATATATATACCTAATAAATGGTATATCAAATTAAATAATGAACCATGTCCAGAATTAATTTATATTTGGTTAGGTGAAATACCTGTGTATTTAATAATGTTTGGTTTAACGGTTATTGTTGCACGATTACTTTACACTATATATATTGTATTAAATTTTATTAAAACAAACAAGTAGACTGTGTAATTTATGAACATCATTTTCATGTATGGAACACATATGTCTCATATATATCATCACATAAAATCGTTCTTTTTTGATTTACTGACAATGTAGATTGAATGTTACATTTTGTTGTTAAACAATAAAATAATCAGAAGGGGTTTGTGGAGATTTTAGAAATTTTCACAGATTGAAATCATGAGTCACCATAGGGAAAACCCGGAAGCACTGGACGGCCGTTTCGTCCTAGTACGGGACTCGTCAGTAGTGTGCATCCGCGATCCCGCACCCCGCGAGATTCGAACTCAGGACCTACTGGTTTCGCGCGCGAGCACTGAACCATTAGACCACTGAGCCGGCATCCAACGGTGTTAATGTGTAACTTCAACCAATCCACGAAGTTGCGCCACGAAGCCAGTAGAACCTGGGTTCGAATCTCGCGGGGTGCGGGATCGTGGATGCGCACTGCTGAGGAATCCCATACTAGGACGAAACGGCCGTCCAGTGCTTCCAGGTTTTCAATGGTGGTCTAGCTCCAAACTGACTCATGATTTCAACCTGTGAAAATAAAATAATCATTGATCAACTATTTCATTTTTATTTTGATGATAATATCCATCATTATTTTTCAGTAGGTTTTTAATACAAATAACAGGGTCTACTTGCCAGGTTACTTAAGTGTAATCAATGGTATACTTCCTAGTCTGGTTTATTGACTTGAAACAGAACTCACCCTTGCTTCTAAATACATAAGTCACATAATTAGGATGTGAAAAAATGAATACCTGTGGTACATAACAACGACATTGGATCTTGTCAGTTGAGAGATTTTGTGGAAGTATTGGTAAAAGGAGTGCAGAGTGAACAGTCAATTTAATCAAACTTGTTTTTGGCTTCCAGACGGATTTCTTAAAACTCTAGTACAAAGCTAGTATTGATGGAATCGATTCAGTTAGGGTTGAAGCAGAGACCCATTGATGACACTATTTGAAGTTTTTACGATATCAAAAAATACTTAAGTTTTAACATGTATGCCAGAGACTTTGAGCCCAGTATAACTTGAAGGTCCTAGGTTTGACTCCATCTTGCTAGGTAGATGCAACCTAGTGAGAATTATTACACGAAGATCAGAATATTCAGTGCTTCATGAATCTTAACTGTTCTCCAGCTGAATAATGTCTCAAATCTCTGCAAATTACCACGGTAGATATTTTTCCCTTTTCTGAAAAGCTTGGTAGCAATAGTTATTGTTTTTATAGATAAGTTTTGTATCTTAGATTGATCATCTTATAACTTTGTTTTTATCAACGAACTACCAATATGAAACACATGGTCTGAAAAAATCAGTAGATGTGATGAGACGAAAACAGTATAAACTAGACCGGATTTACCATATTCTCAGAAATAATGTCAGAGCATTTTCTTTTGAAAAAGCATTGTCAAAAAGCAAAAGCCGATGATTCACGTAATCCTTATTACTTTAAATTCAGACAAAATAGATGACGTGACATATTTAATAACTGGAAACACAAAATTTTATTGAATATCTATTTTGTAACAAAAAAGCTTAAGTAACATTATTGGTTACCGTTGTAATTAGATTGTACATGACTGAATTTATACCTTTTATCATGTATCGCTTTTATGAAGTTCTACATTTTATTTAAAGACTCAAATATGAAGTCACTCAATAGAACAGTATCGTCTCAATTACCTGTCACAGTACTTCTACATTCGTTTCCGGAAAGTAAGTGTAAGAACCCAGATATTATTCCATAAAGTTTGTTTGAAAGCACAAATATAAGATGAACAGGACAATTCCTTCAATAACTTATACCACGATGTTTACATATATTAATTAATTAATATCAAGATACTTGACTTTTCAGTGTGGTTATTTTCTAAATATCTGTCACATACAACTGTAAATAAATGATACGTTTCGCTTTTCACAAGAAGTTCCAAGCCGAACTTCAGGTAGAAAATAACGTTTGTTTGATGAATTCATTAAGGTGATAAGATCACTACATGTGTGCAACAATAGTACATAAACATATTTAGTAAATCTTTGGAACTAAGAGAAAAAATTCAGTTATGAAAATGATATATTGAAGAAACAAAAAGTGGTGATACAGTAGACTTTACGAATGGTAAGTCAACCAATTTCCAATACTTTTGGAGTACTTAAATCATGAACTGGTTTTAGAACTAAACGATAAGATTGGGATGAGTATTTCTTTTATGAATTATGGACATAGTAAAGGATTTATTGGAAAAGTGTTTAAAAGTGGACTATCATTATCAGTATGTTGAAAAACAAAGCTATCGAATTAAAGTCAGAGGTACTGCACTATTTTATGGACAGTGATCAGTTAAAAAGTAACTTGAATGATAATACGATTTCCGTTTCTCATTTTGGATAAAATTCTCATGACTTGTCAACAGTCTGTTAATCAACATTTTGTCTGTATAGGGTTGTGGAGACTATTGAGTTTTTATTGGTATTATGAACCGATTAATGTAAGATCACTATTGAAAATCTGAAAGCACTGAACGGCTGTTTCGTTTTAGTGCGGGACTCTTTGGTAGTGCGCATCCATGGTACCGCACGCGGGACTCGGACTCAGGACCTACTGTCTCGCGCGTGAACGCTTAACCAACAGTCCATTGAGCCGGCATCTAATGATGTTATTATCTATCTTCAACCAATCCACGATGTCGCGTGATTACCTTCCGTTTTCTTCGGTGGGTAACTGTATCACACCCGACACGATGAACTATACTGATCAAGGCACCTCACTATAACTTCGAAGTGTTCGTGTCCCGAGTGCGGGATCACGGATGCTCACTACTAAAGAATTCCATACTAGAACAAAACAGTCGTTCAGTGGTTCTAGGTTGTCGGCTCTTGATCTAAACATAAACATCGAGTTGTTCATTACAAACAGTTATTTGAAAACACTGAACTTTGACATCTTAAACATGATTGGATCCTTTAAGAAGAGACAATTATACTTTTTATGGTTTATTCATCTAATTAATTTCATTTCAGATGATATATTACCACAATAAACTTTGAACAAATGAAAAATAAAGTTTAAACTAAACAAATTACAAGATAAGAACAAACAAAGTGTATATAAGCTATACTGTATGAATAACATCATTTTGTTCATTACCCTTTTTGTACATTCTTTCCAGTAATATTCTATTGAATACAAATTTCAAAATTTATACACCCTTAAATAGTTTGGCTATATTATATAGTTTATTATTATTTTTTTCTTATCCTACATTTTTAATATTTTCATTTTAGGGAAAAAAGGAAGTATTTTGTTGTAGCCTTTTCATTCTAGAATCGATTAAATCATCTGACCGATAGTTTATTTCATAAATGTCAATTTTCTTATGTAACAGAATCATAAATAAAGCAAAATACAATAATATATATATCAGGATTTTTGTGGAAATTGTAATAATTTCAATAATTGAGATCATGAGTCAATTGAAGCCAGACCCGAAACAGGACGAAACGACCGTCCAGTGCTTCCAGGTTTCCCATGGTGGTCTAGCTTCAATTAACTTATGATCTCAACCATTGAAATTATTACAATCTCCATAAAACCCCTTCTGATACTAATCAACATATGCTCACTAATGACTGGCTTCAAAAGGTATACTCTGGAATTCGAGTGAGAAGCAGTGACCAGTGGAGTTCAATTGAGTCTGTTGTGAGATAGTAACTCACTGATGACAATGGTTGTTGTGTCGCTCAATTTTGTGGATTAGTTGAAGTTAGACATTAACACCGTTGGATGCCGGTCAGCTCAGTGGTCTAGTGGTTAAGCGCTCGCGCGCGAGACTGATAGGTCCTGGGTTCGAATGCCGTAAGGAGGGGTCGTGGATGCGCACTGCTGAAGAGTTCCACAATAGGATGGAACAGCCACATATATATATATATATATATATATATATATATATATATATATATATATATATTGAATAATTTTATCAGATATTATTTTATTCAAGTAAATAAGGTCAAATTCTATGTAAAATATGTAATAAAGTAAGTATACTTTGGAATTCTAATCCATATAATATTCATGGAAAAATTAGTGTATCATTAAAAAAAACAAAATAACTTGTGAAATATTGTGGTTAAAATAATGAAAATGTTAACCGGTAAATTTATCAAATAAGTAGTTTAAGGTGCACTATTATTATTATGAAAATTAGAACATGAATTTATATGTTCTTCAGCTAGTAAACTGTTTACTGGAATGTGCATATAATCAACTTCAATCAATGATAATAGTTTTTTGAATGAGATAATGAATCGATTGGTTTTAGATCATTATTTAAAACCTGGAATCACTGAACGGACGTTTTACCATATTATGAGACTCAGCAATGCGTATCCACGATCTCGCTTGTGAGATGTGAACCCAGGGCCTACGGTCCCGTGCGTGAATGTCTAACCTCTAGACCACTGATCTGGCCGGTATCCAACGGTGTTAATGTCTAACCTCAGTCAATCCATGAGGAGTCCCATAATAGGACGAAACAACCGTCCAATGCTTCCAGGTTTTCAATGGTGGTCTAACATCAATCGATTTATGATCTCCATCAAAAACTTAAAAATCTCCACAACCCTATTCTGACAATGATAATAATGTTAGTAAGCTTATGTAATTAAGATGACCTCAATTATAAACATTGTAATATTGATGTTTATTATAAGATATATAATTTAAATTTTGCCGATATCATTGTGTAAAAGTAATTTACATTAGTAACTGTATAATGTTTGTGGTTTTCACACTGGCTCTCAGCTTTTTAAAGTTCATGATAGGATATCCTACTCGATGTGGAATTTCGATTGTCATACATGAGTTCTGTCCCAACTTACTTGTCCTCGTACAGACAGATTTCTGAATGACTCAAATGTATAACTTGGTACCCAGATGCTGATTGGCTGTGCTGAACTTCCTTCTCAAGCCTCAATGAGATAAGAAAGCAATTACTGTACTAAATTACACATCCTTCTATGTCTTTGACTCAAAAGTCACATGATTAGATATTTCAATAGACGGGCCAATAAGCATCAATATTCAGGAAATACAATCTGTACCGAAATGGGACATTTAACATACAGCATATAATTGAGTCAGATTAATTTGGAAACAATAAATTGTGACTATAGTTTATAAATCAAACGAAATCTGGCAACTAAGAAAATATGGAAATCATGTGAACTGATAATTAATAATATAATTATTAACCATTGATCAATTGCAGAAAAGGAGAAAAATAATTTTAAGAAAAAGGATGTTGAAAACTCTCTTATGTCCAAATTAGAATCTTTCAATTTTAACAAAGATTATTATGCTGAAATTATAACAAAATTAATCAGTCCAAAAACTTGTATAGTAACTTTAATTTGTACTATACGTAGGTGAACAAATCACAAATATAAAAATTCAAATATCGAGTAACACTAATAGTTTTATATACCAGACAACCGCAAACTAATTATAAAAAAATAAACATCTAATGTGTAAATTGGCTATCAAGCTTATGATAATGCATTCAAAAACCATCTACTGTTGTATAATCGTTTACAGTAACCTTTGAAATGAGTGACTGAAAATGCAAAATTTATTCACACTTCTAAATTTCGATGATAACAATAGGCAGGTATATCTATCCAGCTGATGAATCTTAAATAATGCGAGGCGCGCAAACTTTATTTCAATGCTAGCAATAGTTCAAACATTATTGGTATCGAGAATTGTATCTAAACTCCCTTTGTTCGTATGTGTGAATCCTTAGAGGATTATCATGCTTTAGCATTCAAACACAAATATCCAGTGCATTTAGTAATGAGATTCGAATTGTTAGAAAATAGGTTTATCGAAAAGAATGTTCTTTATTCATTTGAATGAGTTTTAATATGATGAGAATTTTTATTCAAAATAACCAAAACGATATACGGTAAAAGCAACAAATGTTTTGAATTACTTATCTAAATTATGAAGTGAATAATAACTTGCTCATATATTATGAAAATTTTAATGTAATTAACACATACCTATAGACTAGTTTAATTAATCATAAAATCTTATCATTTCTTACTTTTATTTATTTTCACACAAAGATATTCGTACAAGTAGGCACCACATACATATGCGTCACACAAATCAAATGAGAGTTGTGTGAGGGCTGTGATATTGCTCGAGTGCCCAAACCGAAGCAGGTGGTTTTCTCGGGGGGCCACACACCAAGCCTTCGGCCTGATCCACAAGACAGTGGAGCATCGTAAGGAGATGCAGTCCCATGGTAGCCGGTGACCAGCAATTGGTTCATACGCCATTTGTTCCTTCAGGATACTGGAGCCAGCCCATGTGCACCATTGGTTTGAAATCAGGGTTTTCCAACTCCCCTAGGTGGACTCTCCATGTCCACCAAGCCGGTTAAAGCGCCGGACATTCGATTTTCGTCCTCTCAATTTTGTAAACAACAGTAATGCAGTGAATAGGACTTCCCTGGCATAGGCTATATACGCGTGGCCATGTGTGAGCATTTTGAGAGCGAGAACGGACTCTCTCCACTGACGACCGTACCAGGGCATTTGGGGGCTAATAGGAACAATAATGGGGCGGATTTGCATGCATATAGCAAACAATTATCTTTGAACCTAGCACACAACAATAGCATCATGCACTGTCCCATCGCCCTTGGCAGATCAGGCAACCCGAAAGTTACGAGAACACCATCAGGGCATACGACATGCTAGGTACCCCAGGAAGTACTGTATCATTATAGTACTTTCTGAAGGTCTTACACTACTGATTACAACTATTTACTTTCAAATAATAACTGATTACTAATTTCGAATGATGAATTTTTAACCGATATTGTAAGTATCATTACACCTCATAGAAAAACAAATCATGGAAAACATGACAAAAGGGGTAAATGGAAATAGAAATTGTTATCATTTAACAAATCAATCAGTTTGTCATGAACAAAAAAAGATTAGACACAAATATGTACTTGTTCAAGTAGTCCCATTCTAAGATGAATGAATACTAAGTAAGGCACGTTATTGCATTTAACTCAAGATTTTCAATATACATCTCCATCGCTATAATCTATCTTGAAACGTTTAACTCGAGATATTCAAGTAATTTATTGAGGTGATCGTGACCACATCTCACAATAGAAATCAATAACATAACACTGACTGAGCAGTGTTATGTTTTGTTATGCTTATTATAAGCAGTATTGATGGTAAGAGTAGAGGAAAAAAACAAAGTTAAATCAACACATCATGCATAATTATCAATAAGTGAATAATAAAGAGAGGTACAAAAGTAAAACACTATTTGATTATAGATATTTACAGAAAATGTAGACGAAAAATTAGTAAATTTGTAAAGTGTTCATTTAAAATATTAAACATTTGATACTGTAAGATAATTAAAATAAGTTGCATTGAAAAAAATATCCGTCTTTTACTTCTGTATTAATATAATAACTGTGATGTCAGATAAGCTGTTGCCTTATAGATATTCATACTATTTTTGGATATATTACACAAGCCAATATTATTCATTTGAACATAATTCTAAAATGTAAAATAAATTAATATAAAGAGAATTAAAGGATGATATGTGTTATATCCCGATAAGAATAATGAATGGTAATTTTTGGGATCTATTGATGGACCAATACTAAACGTATATTTTTATCGTATAATTGTTATGCAACTAAACTGTTCACACATTCATGTCCCTCTTATTATAAGCTTTATTTTGACCTATGAACTATTATTATACGATTTACCATTCTTGAATTATGCCCCGTCTATCAATTACTACCTCTCTCATTCACAGCCACATTTGGCTAATTCTTGTACAAATATTGTTTCATATTTTATCGTACGGTGTGTTCTGTCTGTCTGGTTGATATATAAACTCAGTATGCTTGAAATAAATGATTCATATTGCAGAGGCTGAGATTGGTGTTCTGGACTCAACTGGCTGGGCTAGGCGGAAAGCAGGAACACAATCAGGACTCTAGGCTGCTCGCACGTGTTTATTGCGTCACTAGTCCGATCGATAACTCACTGCTCTCTGATTGTTGATATCGTTGCGTTATACAATAAACAGGGCACACGGGTTCACAAGTTATAACAATATGATAATTAACTATTAACTAATATGATTAAATACCTCTCTGACAGTGGTGGCTAAAAGAAATCTTTAACCCCACACTGAAAATTATCATGTGGTCATTAGTGACCAGTTTTAAGAGGAAATTTTTGGAGTTTTATTGAGAAGCCATGATTCGTAAAACCAATCCCATAGAAGACAATGGAATACGGTTGAGGAATATCATGGATTGGTTGAGGTTAAATATTAGCACTGTTGAATGGAGGCTCAATGGTCTACAGGTTAAGCGTTCATGCGAGAGAACGAATGTTCGGGTTCGTTTCCAGCGTGAGGGGTCGTGGATGCGCAGTGATTAGGATTCCGGTACTATGACAGTACAGCCACCCAGTGCTTCTAGGTTCTCAATAGCTGTCTATCTTAGATCGCTTCATAGCTTCAACGAAATTCAAAGAAATCTATAAATTAAAACAAAACCAACTGAATAGCTAAAAAGCATTTTCCCTATACCAATACCAAGTTGTGACTTGGGAAAAAGCTCTACATTAATACCTATTAACGATATAGATGATTCGGAAAAGAACAAAACAGTTGAATAACACAACAAATTGAGTCATAAGATCGGGTCCAAGTTGCCATGCCTCATTAACACAACAAGATAGACACCGGATTCATAAAAGTAGTTAATTCAGAGGTGGTAATATCTAAAAGAAAGATTGCAATAAGGATATAGTACAGGAAGAAAGAATTGGTTTGGTAGAAAGAAAGATATGAACCTATTTTAATCTCTTAGTTTAAGGGAAGACAGAGAGTGTATACACCGACGCCATTGTTATCGATTCTGAGCAATGTCACTGAGAGTTCCCAACCATTGGTTACGATAGTCACGCGGACCTCAGCAAAGTAGTCTGCATCTACCAACATGGCTCAGACTAAAAGTTAGTGACTTCAAGCACTGATGCCACGTTTTGATTTGGCCATCATATTCATCAGAAAATAAAAACGAATGTACTATAAAACAAAGATAATCACTTGAGTAAAACATTATCAAAATTACTGTAATTTTTTAATACAATAAGATATAAATTAAAATTACCCAATACAGCACAATGTGTACAAGACATGAATCAGGTGGGGTGTGTGTGTAGAGAACAGTAAATAAAAAAGATCAAACATAACAAGTAACCTGTTAAAATTTAGTACAATAAATGTGAATGGCTAAAAAACAGATAACAACTTACATTATAAATATCAATTGAAGTTTTATCTATAGGCAACGAAGACGATGATGATGATGATGATAAAGTATTAAGACTAGCAAATTTATTTATATAATAATTATCAATTTGAATTGGATGTTTAATAAAATCTGTACGAAGATAATCTGTATGGAAATACAATATAATTGAAAAACAAAAGAGTAGAGATTAATTGAATATAATTAGTTAATCATGTTTCATAAACACAAAAATTATACAATTTATCCATTATACTACTATTACAAATTAAATTGTACCATTAACATCTATCATTGGTTTTATTGTTTGTTTAAAATGAAATATTTCAGAAAATGTTGTTTAAACTATATCTACATTATTTAAATAAATAAATAAGTATAGAATATAAATGTTTCATACACATCGATTGTATTTACATGAATAGAGTCAACCTTAAAAACAAGTTTAAAGTTTAATGATCAATTTTATTAACGATTTAGCTAGTTCATGTGGTTAGTAAAATTGTTAAACCTAATTTGTATTAAACTATGTAAGTTTTTTCTTAAAATGATTTCATTTTTGTTATATCTAGAAGGTTGCTCTTGAAATACCGCGTACAACATGAGCATTAGAACGCCAGAACTCTTCCTAGTCGCAGTGAGAAGACAGAAGATTAATGAAAGGAATATTATTCCCAGACAGTGTCAATTATAGTACAAAATTGTTGGGTATTTATAGTTTTTAGTAAGAACAAAATCATCATTACAGTCCACCAATCAGCATACAGGGGGTTGTTAGCATTGTCCAATCGGGAAGCTACGCGTATGAATTCTAGGACATTCTTCTAAAGAGTGATTGGATGGAATATCTTCGGCTCCTTTTGAGCCTCCTACAGCTTCCTCAAGTTTACCCGTGATCCATTGTCACAATTTTATTGTAGGATAATAAATGTCAGATTACAATTTTAATGTTTTCATAATATTAGTGAAATAAAATTAGTCATTTGTCTTTCCTCATTATTTATGTAATAAGACGAATAGATAAAAAGACTTTGAAAAGAAAAAGAACTACTGATATTGTAGTGAACAAGAACAGGAGTGGGAGACAATCGAATGTATTTCGACACGAAATTACAGAGCATCTAGATAGAATCTGAGAACCATATAGTAAATAGTTAATTTCTGAAAAATTCCCATTATATTAAAACACAATTGTATGAACAAAGAATATTGTTTTCAATTTTTATAAATTCCAATGATGTTTTCGTTTCTGTGAACTTTGCTTTATACTTCAGGAACTCATTGAGTGCCTTCAACTCAATGGGAATTTTTCAGCGATTAAAATCCTGTGATCAACCCATTGCGTTGAAGGCACTCAATGAGTTCCTGAAGTATAACGCAAAGTTCACAGAAACGAAAACATCATTGGAATTTATAAAAATTGAAAAGAATATTCTTTGTTCATACAAATGTGTTTTAAATAGTTAATTTGCAAAATATCAATCCATCATCACAAACTTGACTGTTTCTTTTGCAAATATCAGTCCATTGTCTCAGATTTCATTGTTCATGCATTTTCATACCAATTGCGTTCCGTTTCCCTTCCTTCCTTATAGACCATCTACTGAAAAACATTCTACGCCTGACCACCGTTATATACTACTTATGTGGATGTAAGTAACCCACACCACAATAAAACGGTAGAAAAGTTGAGTTCCTATCATTAATTGTTGGCAAATAATAAAGGATATTACACTTTACGTAGTAAACAACTTGCCCAGGACACGGTTGGATGGAAAGTGTTGGTGGGCGGCCTACGCTCCTCCATGAGGAGTAACAAGTAAGTAGTATATAACTATTTGATACACGAATTTTTATTCTTTTCAAATTTTCCCCATAAATGATTGATTGTAATCAATGTTTGCTTCTGCTTTTTTAGTGAATATTATTACCATATTTTCAGTTAAAAGAATAAAGTAATAACTTTAATTATAGTGTACAGACATACATCAACAGGAATCATACTTGAATAGTGTAATAAGTTATTATAAGATCTAAATTAATACATTGAAGTACGAACACACTATTCAAGTTTGGTATATCTAGTCTTTCCGTTATACACTCTTGGATATTAAGTGTGAAGTTAGCCAATAAAGCAAACAAATATTTCCTTCCAATCAGCTTATCATCATGGATCTACACTTATCTATATGCATAAATATAATTTAAAGTTATCAAACAATACCAACCTAGTAGTAGTGTTGTGTTGTATGCTACTTATGTTGATAAACATAAGTAGTATGCAACACCAATCGGAATTGGAAACCCTGGCAGCAGAAGGCTAAGAAGATCGAGTTGAAGATAGCAGAAAGGAATTGTGAATTGGAAGAATCATACAAAATGTGAAAGACAAAGGATGCAAATTTGCAAATGAAGTATTCAGTGTATGGTTCTCATATTTTACCAAGATAGTCTGTAATTTTGTACTAAATAATAAGCCGGTTGTCATCACCTGAGTCTCGTCCATTATAGTGTTACATAATGATAACACAATTTCACAACTGATTACGAAAATAATATTGAGTGATTAATTAGATAATTGATATGATACCGTAAATAATCAAAGCAATCATTCGTAGAAATCCCCAAACTAAACAATTTTTACCGTTGTAGATGAAATATATATATCAAGGTAGTGCCATGATGAAAAAAATAATTGAGAAGAAATATTTACACATTCTGTTTCTCTTTTTAGTACATATGCATTGTTGGGTTGAATAACGTAGTGTGAAGAGCGCCAGTAGATATACAATTAAAATACCGAATCAAGAAGGGTCTCTATGAGGTTGAACATTAGTTTTACTGATGAATAATTACCCGAAAAACAAAGCATCAATCCAAAACTTTATAATGATTGGCGGCAAATGTCTTGTGATACAAATGCTACCGTGTCGCTTAATAAAATTACTTCACACAATAAGTTTCGTTTTAAATTAAACTCAGCCAACATCACAATAAGGCTTTACATAGAAACTAATGACGAACTCTTGAATAAGTTGTACTATTTCACTACTACGAATAAACAGAACAATAATATCATTTATATACCTTCATAGACATGTTTATTTGGTAAATTTAACACGATCTCAGATGACGATACACAATTTGAATAGGTGGATTCAGGATCTTCTTTGGATTTAACAAGTTGGCCAACTATTGTTTGTTTTCGCTTTTGACGTTTTGTAGAATTTGAAGTATACGGATAACTTACAGAATATCCTTTATTATCAAAATATTTGTCAGGTAGACGTTTAGATTGTATTACTGATAAGTCTGGATCAAGAAGCAATTGAAATAGATTCAAATCGGGCGGAAAGAAATTAACACAATTATCTATCGACTCCTCATAATCGCTAAAAGGAGAAAAAAATGATAATGTAAAACTTCATGCTATGCAATAGTCATTTACAATTAGTTAGTCATATTGTGAATACACATAGTGCACTATTGGTTGAAATATTGAAGTACTAACCATTGAATAGAAGGTTCGGATTCTGTCCAACCTATTCTATTTTGATCAGTGCAGAGTTATTTTTTATCCTTGATATAACTGAGGGGATTCATACGATAACAGGAACATATATGTACGGAAAACAGATGGAACGATAACATAAAATATCTAACCCGAGAACTCTATATTTTACTGATCTGTAAGACATCAGAAGATAAAAGCTAAATTAGCATTTATCTAAAATACTATATATATAACTACATATATAACTTTAGGTAACCTAAAATTAAGACGAACAAGTGATTAAATAAGTTGTGTCTAATTGCTTAATCAAGTCATTCCAACTACGTAGCAGTATAAAATCAAAATATAGATTACAAGAATTTTCGCATTAGTGATCAATCACTTAAAATGTTGATTTCTAATTCAAGCGCTATCTATTACCCTTACATATAAAGTGTAGTCCAAAGCCAAATACCTAAAAGTGTACTTAATAAATGTGTTACGTCAATATTAGTGATGTAATAATACAACTTTTAATTTCTATTCCACAGTTATTAGTACACCAGTCAACTTTACATGTTGGGAAAAGTAAGAAAACTATAATTAATTAACTCAAAATGACCGTATATAACAGCTTAAAAAATGTATTTTTCTTTTAATATTCTCACTCGTACAATGAAGAATAACTAAATAATTCAATTCATTATAAATCGTGTGATTTTAATTCAAATTCATAAACGGTAAAGGTGTTAGCACATTTCCAAATTGTATACTACGCTCACTTAGTATCAAATAACAAAATGTTTATTGAAATCTATGGAGAAATGAACAATTATTTTGTGCAGTTATAAGTATGCTCACATTGAATCATCGTTAAAATTGAAGGCTAATTAGGATTGAACAAGAATATATTAGACTTAAATATTAGATATTTCATTGATTTGTTTTTCTTTCAGAAATTTTGTCCATTCTTTTTAAACTATCCTTCGTTTTTTCGCTATCAATAATATTGCTATTGTTTCGACACATTTACTGTTCATTTTGTAAATTTTCTCTCTCTCCGGCGCTTTAATCGGATCCCAAACCAATGGTGCACATGGGCTCCAGTATCCTGAAGGAACGAATGGCGTACGAACCAATCGTTGGTCACCGGTTACCATGGGAGTGCATCTCCTCACGATGCTCCACTATCTTGTGGATCAGACCTTTAGGTCAAAGGCTCAGGGTGTGACCCCCTAAGAAAACCACCTGCCTCGGTCTGGGCACCCGGGCAGTATCTCAGCCCACACACACACAAATATATATTTGGTGCCTCCTTGTACCAATATTTATGTGTTCAAATAAATAAATAAATAAATAAGTTATGCTGACATATAAAGTGTGTTGTTTCAAGAGCAAGTGGATACTTTCACAGAGTTCTATATTATATTTGTGTATTTAATTATCTGCATTAATCAATCAGTAATTAGTAACTAACATCAAACTGTCTTATCCAGAATTCGGAAACCATATGAGTAAAAGAGACGAAAACTGTACACACAAGTATACTCAACTGATTGAAAAGTGAAATAAGTAGATTTTTTTGACATTCTCTATTTACAGCCTGATGTGATATTTAGGTTTCATGAAGCTAACTGGTGACCTTGATCGTGATGTATTATTTATCACACTAGCTCTATCACATAAGAAAATCTCATACAGTTATGATAAATTAGAAATATTTATTAACAGATATTTCATTAATTAACACTAGATACTAAAACTGTCTAAATATGGAAGAGGTATCGGGTAATCAAACCAATTAGATGACTTGTAATTGTATCAATAATTCAAACTTTAAAGTAGATAGTGATCATAATATTTTTAGAAAATAGCAAGAAAAGTTTCACAAATTACAATCTGAAAATTTGAGTTTGAAACTAACTGGTGAGATTACTTTTTTAAAAGTAGATTATTATTATTAGTATTACTATTATTATTATTAATGGCCTTATTCAATATTATATTTTAGTACAATATAGAATTCTCAGCACAGGGTATCTCAACAAGTTACTTACGTAACAATAAAAAAACAGTAACAAATACAAAATAAAAAAAGGTTTCTAATAAAAACAGTCGAAAAACTGTACAACATTTAAAATTAAAGACATGTTAGGAATACAGGTTATTGACTAGGTTAACTATAAAAACCTGTTCGTCACAGAGTATATTTGCCAGGTAAGGTATTATAGAACTTTTATACTTTTGCTTGCGTGCATGGATTTTAATGTAATTACGTCTCGTTCTACCAGAAGATATACAAGGAGAAAGATAAGAATGAACGGGATGGTTATTATCTGATAAAATAATACCTGCTAGGAGTTTGCATGGTTTTAAATGTCTATCCACAACCATATTAATTATGACTTCGAAAGATTCACCACACATCTTGCTAACTGCCTTCAGCACTTTCCGCAATACAGCAAAGTATTTTCTCAAAAACCCGGGAATGACAATAAATGACAATAATTGTACATCTTTAAACGCTGGTTTTTTATCTTTTAAGATTGATTATAATCTAGTTATGAGGTTCGGTGTAAATTTTACTTAAAAATAATCTTTTGATATGATAGTCAGCGTCTGACTAGAAAGAAAATGATGCATAAAAATGATCGAGTTCAGTCACTTAAGACATTCGATTATGTCTATTGTTTTGTCATTATGTTATATATATACGTATGTCATTTTAATACATTAAAAAAACTTTTTCTATTAAGCACATAATTTGTCTTCTGATATCAGTTCAGCTATGGGGTAGGCTGGGGGTTATGCCAATAATTTGGTTTGGTGAGAAAACAACAATCAGCCACATTATTTTATTAGATATGATCTCATTTTGCATTCTTTCCTTTCATTTTAACAGTTAAAAGTTCATTTACTAACGCCTGTTTCATAATATCACAAGATTCGATTTTTAAAAAAACAACAGGATAGCTACGCAAGGTCTCGTATACTTAGCTCTTAGTTACACTTTTGTACCTGTAGCAGACTACAAAGTCATAGTCAAGAACATTACGAGTGACTAAATAGGATCATTTCAACACCAGAACATTAACTATAAAGTGTAAAGAAATTATACTAACAAATAAATGTGAGTAGTAGCATTCATGGTACCTATCTGAACTAGATTTATCTTCATCATTATCACCATCATCCTCAACAACAACAGCAGATTTTTCTTGTTGTTTTTTGTCTTTTTCATCATCGAAATTATTATTTACTGGACATTTGTCTTTTACTTTTTTAAACTTTTTTGTTTTGTTTAATTCAACATTATTAATTGAATGATTTAATGCTTCATTTGAATTGTTTCCATCTTTATAATATTTGGACGAAAGATTATTTTGTTTAGTAGACCAATCGAAATGTGGTATATCAGTAAAATTAGGAAATGAATGCGCAGCACATATTGAACGACCTAAATCCATGTAAATATTTGATAATGTAGGATAACTGCAGTTAGTAAGTTGATCTTTTTCAGGAACAGACGTGTATTTTATATTATTATCGTTGCTATGTTGCGAATGTAATTGTTCATTGGTCTTTAAATCTTTAAATAAAAAAAGTTGAGAAAAATGTGTAAATTTGTGTTTTTGAATTAAAAAAGACAATAGAGATGTTGTATTAAAAAATAAATTAAAGTAGCAGTTTAAATATCTCATAATACTGCTTAGTGTAACTCATTAAACACAATAACCACGGAAAGGTAGAGAGAGAGAGAGAGAGTCGAGGGCCTTTGAAGACCAAAACAACCAATTATGTTCTGAGTCCTATTTTCCTCGGCTCTATTACATTACTCAAACATTTTAAAGGTAATTTTCGTCACGGGCTGATATTAGCTGAAAAAGCGCGGAAAATAGGGGGCATTAGACAATTATTTCATACTTTCTGGGGACCCCTTATCGGGGAGCAGTAATAAGCCCATACTATCTTGAAAATGAGCCTAGAGGGTCTCCAGGATAAAGTAGTAACATTGAACTAATGAAATGATATCAGATTGTCCAAATGAACAACTTCAGTTAAACTGTGACATAGGTTGACCATCATTTAACATTATCAGGGAGTAATTGCCTTACTCTCGAAGTAGGTAGTAAAATGCAATACTATGAAAAGTAACCTAAAGGGCTTGGTGGGGACGTTTTTATCTATATTATTCATTTGAACACATAAATATTGATACGAGGCACCAAATACATATGCGCCACACAAATCTGATTTGTGTGTGGACTGTGATACTACCCGATGCCCAAAGAAAAGCAGGTGAGTTTCTCAAGAGGCCACACCCAGAACCTTCGACCTAAAAGTCTGATCCTTACGGCAGTGGAGCATCGTAAGGCGATGCGATCCCATGGTAGCCGGTGACCAACGATTGGTTCATATGCCATCTGTTCCTCTATGATATTGGAGCCCGTGTGCACCATTGGTTTGGAATCAGGTTTTTTCAACTCCCCTAGTTGGATCCTACATGTCCATCGATCCGGTTAAAGCGCTGGACATTCGCTTTTCGTTCACAATTTCGTAAACAACACCCCGCCGTGAGAAGGCAATGAGTAGGACTTCCCTGGCAATGGCTGTATACATGTGGCCGTGTGAGAGCGTTTCGAGAGGGAAAGCTAACTTTTCTCACCCTCGGTCGTACCAGGGCATGTGGGGGCGTGCAATCCCTAAATACAATTTATGGGAAAGAAAATCAATATCGATTAAGATGAATTGCTGTTACGTTGAATTATTTAATATGGACTCTACTTATGAGACTTTAAAATATTTTTACTATGATTTTTGTATAGCGACAAATACTCAGTTTAACAATTCTAATCTTTAGTAATTGACGTTTATTTGTGAGACAGGAAAGAAAAGGATAAAAGTAGTCTCGTTAGTCATATTGAAGTCAGGGTTGCGAAATCTTAGCATAACCCATGAATGTAACAGCACTATGAACACTCATATGACTATAAATTGTTCAAAACAACGCTAATCGATCTACTGTTACGAAAAGAACTATGATAACTCATAGGAGTAAGGTGTCACACAAAAAAATATGAGTAAAATAAAAGCGAATCCAACCACGATTTAGGTATGTATAACATGCTCTTTGTATCTTTAAGAAAATAAATAATGGAGTGATGGACTAGTAGTGGGTTGAGAATTCGGTTTCCGATCAATAGGTTGCAGACACTTGTAAGCAGAGATCGGTGGTGGCTAGTATTGTGGTGTGAGCTACTTATATTGATATAAGTAGTATATAACGTGCGTTAAAAGAACGTAATGTCTGGCAGCAGAAGATGGCGAAGATCAAGAAAGGTAGAGCGAAAACACAATGGAATTTGTAAGAAAACGCATGAACAATGGAATGGGAGACAATGGGTTGGTGTTTGCAACAGAAACAGTCCAGTTTGATTTGATACATGAATATTGACGATTTAATATATGGTATTCGGATTTTCTTGAGATAGTCTGTAACTGTTGTGCTAAATACATCCGTTCGTCCCCACTCGTGTTCTTGTTCACTACAGTATTAGAATCCGGGACGCACGTTTCATCGTACGTAGGACTAGTCAGCTGGACCTCAATATTGACGTCCACTCCAGGACTAAAAACCGATGCCCTTCGCTTAAAACTCTTACAAGTAAATTAAGACAAGTCACAGGTTCAAATATCATTTTATCTATTTCTGCTCCGGGTAACCGGCTAGTAGTACCGACCCTCACACAGACGATGTTGCAGGAAGTGGATTACACAAGACCATACTTCGCAAATGAGTTAGATTTGATAATATGGAAGACTGTACTATTCTGTGTGCGTCATATGTCGTACATAAAAACTAAGCACTACACTAAAAAACTCATTGAGAATAGTCGTTTATACAAAACTGAATTAAAAGTAAACCGTTACATATTTACTGACATACACACATAGGCTTTCCTAAACTGGATAAATTATCTAATGCTTACTAGCCTTCAATGGTACTTTAACTGGAATGTGATGTGTAAAGAAAGTCATCTCTGTTAAATGAATAATCAAGTGAATTTGTTGCGCATAGTATATCTAACAATGATCAATGAAGCTGTTAAAACATGTACATATTATAAGCTATAAAACATTTTTAAAATAAACGGTTTGTGGTTAACAGTGGAATCCATGACGTATATTCAGTCCTATTGGTGTTAATCAAACTGATGTACCTGGATTCTAATGTTGATGTTGTCGAGAATCGAATCCAGTACTATTTACTTCAAAAGCTAACGTGTCATCCACTGAGCTACTAATATTTAATGTCAGAATCGATCAAGAAATAAGAAAAGGAAACTTGTTGAAATACTTTTTGCTGAGAACTCTATATTTTACCAAAATATAATATTGAATAAAGCCATTAATAATAATAATAAATAAATAAGTTCAAATATCCCCTGTTTTTTTTTCAACGTGTATGATTAACAGATCAGTACTTGTAGGAGTTTTAATTATCCCATTGCTGACCAGTCTTAGTTGACATTAGGTGAGTATTGCATCGATATGGCTATATTGTCACAAGTTTTTTCTAGAATGGATGGACTGTGTCTAGCAACGGACAACAGGACAATTCAAATTCTTACAAAGAGTATAAAATACTTAATATGGCATTTACGGTAATAGAAATAGAGAGAGAAAGGACGAAGTATTTACTTGCATATGACTTCGGAATTATATAATCACCTAAATGATGTTCAACAACAAGTTCAGTTGACCGGATATGGGGATTTGAGAAACGATCCAAATCGACATAAGATGTTAAATCATAAAATTCATTGAACCAATCAACTCTATAAGATGAAGAAGTAAAATACATTTGAATTATAGTGGATTTTTGAAAAATATTACTCCTACTTGCTGAATATTATTTGGCAAACAAAGGGGGGAGTAAACAAGTTTTTATATTGTTCAGGTCTTAGTCAAAATCATGTGTAGGTTTTACTTTGATTCAGCTTACACATTAAACACAGTAGAGCTTTGAGATCAATTGGATAAGCTAGCATTTGTTACAACATATTAGGCATACGAATTTGATCTTAATGATCAAAATTTTAAGATGGAACCATGGAAACAAAATAAAATCAGACACATCGTTGAAATACTTCAACTTACCACTATTCATAACAGCCCAAATGAAACAAATAAATGAAATGTTTTAGTCGAAAATCAATAATGTATAGAATTACGAAGTAAAAACGCAAATACATATTCACTGTTATTACACCTGTCACGTTAATTTATTCAGAGTTTCCTGTCAATGGTTTCTTATATCAATAATCCCTACTAGGATGGCTATATATTTGCAAATATTTCAGTTACTGACTTCACATACTCTTACTGCAAACGAAATAGGATGTCAAGATAGGTAGAATAGTATGCATTACATCAGTCTTAATCATTAAAGCGAGTTTGGGACCGTAACCCCAACCATATTCAACCTTATCCCTATTAACTTTATGGTTAAAATACGCGAGTTGCATTGATTGCTAGCGAAGAGGAGAGAGCACTACATGTAAGTAAAGTGATTTGGGCACTTAACCACTTCATTTCTTATATATAAGTGGGCTAGCGAATACTCGTTTTAGAGAAACAGTTTGGCACTAGGAACCGAAACTCTCCAGTCGTATAGAAAACTGTACTTTCTAAGGGTTATTCAATATGATCAATTTATTTATATGGTCTAAACTGATGTTAGGGAATCCTGTAAAGAAACATTGGGTCAAGGACCAACGAAAAGTAAGTACTTTTAGGATATCCTAAACTAGGGAGAATTGATTATCCAACGATTTATGGATTCCCAGAATTTTTTGAAAAACTAATTTCAAACAATAAATTTCATTTTACCGCTTCAAATACCACTCACCTGATATCATTTGATGGTAACACAAGGCATCGATCATTATAAAGAACTGACTTTTGTGTTATATCCATTGCTCTGGGTAAACATTGTAAGAGATCACGAGAGCACCAATCCGTTAGTGAAAAGCGACTTGTTGGTAAACGTGCCCAAGCGTCCAACCAATGTAAATAAGCATCACTACACATATCCCAGATACAACCAGACAATGAAGCAGCGACACTGGCTAGAATTTGATCTGTGTCTGAATGAACGAGAGTTGGTATGTCTGATTTGAATGTATCAGTCTCATTTATTAAATACCTTGGAATTAGATGATTTTTTATGAAATCATATAGCGTACCAGACCATAAATTAGGACGATAAACACGTAAAAATAAACTTATTGCACACTGTTTTTCCCAATCCGAAAATTTATTAGAATAATATCTGAAAAAGTCAAAAGGTAAAAACCATAATAGATACTTGATAGACAAATAAGGATAACTATTATATTTATTCATTTGAACACATAAATATTGGTACAAGAGGGCACCAAATACATATGCACCACACAAAACAATGAAAATAGGAAGAAAGAAAAAAGAAGATAAGAAGTGTAAAAAACAAAGAACAATAACGACCAGATTGGTGTAAGGTAGTGTAATAATAATAATAATAATAATAATAATGATAATGATAATAATAATGATAACAATGATTATAATAATAGTAATAATAATACTGAGGAAAACGGAAAGGTACAACCAGAAGGATTCTTCCAGTTCAGTCAGTCAGCTACAACGTAGGACCAGGCACATATGTGCATCGGTCCAGGTTGCCATACCTCATTAGCACAGCAAGATGAACACCGGATTCATAAAAGTACTTAATTCAGAGGTGGTAATATATAAAAGGAAGATTACAATAAGGATATAGTATAGGAAGAAAGAATTAGTTAGTAGAAAGAAAGATATGAAGTGATTTTAATCTCTTAGTTTAAGGGAAGACAGTGAGTGTATACACTGACGCCATTGTGATCGATTCTGAGCCATGTCACCAAGAGTCTCCAACCCTTGGTTACGATAGTCACGCGGACCCCAACCGAGTAGTCTGCATCTATCAACATGGCTCAGACTAGAAGTTAGTGACTTCAAGCACTGATGCCACGTTTTGGTTTGGCCGCCCCTTACTTTCTTCCAACCATCTCCAACACCGGTTAGCATTGCACGTCGTGGTAATCGGTGTTCAGGCATACGTAACACGTGGCCGAACCATCTCAGTCGATGAAGATTCACAACCTCATCAACTGACTTACCATCATTCCATAATACCCTGCGTCGGACCTCACTATTACTTACCCGGTGATCCCGGCAGATGCCAGCAATATTTCTAAGGCATCTGTGGTCAAATACTAGTAGCTTACGGGTGTCTTCCACTCTTAAAGTCATGACCTCCTGGAAGGAGATCAATATCCGAGAATTCAGTTGACGAGAGTGTTATTTCCATCAATAGGTCTGTGATGAAATTAAACAAAAATGGAGAAAGTGGACAGCCTTGACGGACACCACTTGAGGTTTCAAAAGTAGATGACAGTTGGCCATAAGTCCTGACTCGACTAGTAGTGTTCGAGTAAAGAGTCTTCACAAGGTTTATGTACTTCTGAAGTACGCCTTTCAATGACAGACACTGCCACAGAATCTCGCGGTCTACCGAGTCAAATGCTGCTTTTAAGTCAAGAAAGACCACCATCGTCGGACGCCGATAGGTATGCCTGTGTTCTAGAACCTGACGAATGGTGACTATGTGGTCGATGCAGCCACGACCAGGTCTGAAGCCAGCTTGGTTCTCTCGTGTTTGCAGTTCACGAGTCTTAGTTAGGCGTTTGATAATTACCGAAGCTAGTATTTTAGATACTATATTTGTTAGACTAATCCCTCTGTGGTTGTCACAGGATGATTTTGACCCTTTCTTATATATTGGGACGATAAGTGATTGCGACCAGTCAAATGGGATGACGTCTAACTTCCAGATCTTAGCTAAAATATTAGTCAACCCAATCGCTAAAATTGGACCACCATCCTTAAAGACCTCTGCAGCCAATCCATCTGGACCAACTGCCCTTCCTCGTTTGAGATTAACTATAGCCTTTGGAACTTCTGCTAGAGTTGGGGGACCTATTTCAATGTTCCATTCGCATTGTCTGGGAATGGAGGGTAGTTGTAGAGTCGCTGAAGACCAGCCGATCTGTTTTCTAAAATGTTCCGCCCATCGTTCTAAACGTCTGGACTGGGAGCAGATGAGAGTATCGCCTTTTTCCGAAATAATCTCACTTACACTTGACTTATTAATTCCAGTTTCTTTTATTAGTCTGTAGAGCTGTCTTGTGTTCTCTATAGTCGCCACCTTCTCCATCTTTTGCTTTCGTTGCCCACCACTGCTCACGGTCGTTCCTTAGACGTGTTCTTAACCTAGATCTGATTTGTTTACGCTCTTCATCATGTTCAGAACCTGATGGGACGAGTTTACGAGAATCCATCAGTGTGATAGACCTAGAGGAAATCCATTGGTTCTTTGTAACTCTGTGGTTTAAATCACTGATAGAAGTCACTGCTGTTTCCACAGCTGATTGTATATCTTTCCAAGCAACATCTGGGTCAACCTCGTTTTCAGAAATACCTAAGTGTGACCTCAGTTGTTCCTGGAACCTACTTTTGGTTTTCTCACTACTCAATTCAGTTCTAACGGGTCTTTTTAATGTGGCTTTCTTGCGTCTAGTGAGGCGCAAGCAGATGCGTGCCCGTATTAGGGCATGGTCGGAGTACAAGCAGGTACTCAAGAATGAGCGACAATCTTGTACCGACCCTCTCCAACGATGACTGATGGCAATATGGTCTATTTGAGTCCATCGTTGGTTTGGTGTAGGGGTCGCCATGTTAGACGATGTCTCTCCTTATGTAGGAGGAATAATGGGAATTGAAGACGGAGGTCGATTATCAATACAGTGGTCTTCAGGGCGGTTATCACTTTCCGGTTGCCCATACCGTGGAAGGGTTTTTCTGGAGGTGTCTGAAAAGGGAATCGGATTGGAAGTGGTCTTAGTGACCTGAGAGCGTGACCGCAGTGCCCAAGGGACAACTGCATGAGGTCGGTCACACACGACCTTGTTATGTGTAATTTTTGTGTTAGCTCCGTGCTTATTGAGACCTTACCGCCGGAGACGGATATCCGTGGGATAAGGCGAGGTGTGTATTTTTAGGGTCGACCTTTTCTAACCCCACCCCTCCTTGTGGGAAGGCAGCATCGCTGTCATGCTGGTTGTCTGAAGGAAACACCTTATTGCTGTCACACCTCTGTGCAGTCAGCAGTACGAATTCGCATTCGGACCTTGGGTTTGTTGCTTTTAGTCTTACCGCTCTACAACCGACCTGTCTGGCATGGTAGGACCTTGAGGAACGGTTGTTCCAGCCAGTATAGCTCGGTTGTTTCATCACGATAGGCAAGCCCGATTACCACATCAAGGTAGCAACAACGGTCGGGATTCTTCCAGTTAAGGAACAAACAACCACTTTTACGAAAAATGTAAAAAGTTACAGCAGGATCGCCACTGACTTCTATTCTCAGCCATATCTGACAACGTCTCTAGCCACTGTGTTGCACCATCTCTCGAACACCAGCCAGGGAGTGGGGAAGGACCAACAGAAGCCAGCCCTCTGCAGCTTTTCATACCACAACACCATGTCATATACTGACCACCACTCTGTTTTTTTTCCAACCAGTCCTAGCGTCGGCAAATATTGCACGATGTGGAATTCTCTGGGACGACATTCGTAGAGCATGTCAAAGCCACCGAAGTCGGTGTTTCAAGATGATGACACCAATTGAATTATCATCTCTGTGCCCGAACTCACGATGCCGAACCTCTGCATTACTGACATGGTGTTGCAGCTGGATGTCAGCACTCCTTCGGAAACAACGACGATCGAACACAGAGAGTCATCTAACGTCCTCAACTCGGAGAGGCCAGGTTTCACAAGCATAGAGCAAAACTGCTCTCACCGACGCGTTGTAGATCCGACCTTTTACAGCCAGACTAACATCACGAAAGCGCCAAAGATGGTCCAGATTGGCATAAGCTGCTCGGACTTTCATTATACGTCCACGGATCTCATCACTCACACCACCACCAGCACTTATGCAGCTACCCAGATACACGAACTTCTCGACCACTTCTATCTGCTCACCATTCAGGATGAGTACAGGATTGGAATCCTGCCAGTCTTGTAGAAGTACTTTGCACTTTGAAGGCACAAGGCACATACCGTACCTACGAACACTGATTGCCAACTGATTAAGTGCGGATTGCATGGCTTGGGCATTATCGCACAGTAAGACAATGTCATCCACATACTCAAGGTCGAGAAGTCTTTCTCCGGGCAACAGATCCACACCACCATTACTTACATCCATCATGGCTTTTTCCAGAATGTCGTCGATGGCAAAGTTGAAGAGAATTGGTGAGATTGGGCAACCCTGTCTAACCCCACTGCTTGAATGGAACAATGGAGAAAGGTGGTTGTATGCCCTCACTCTGCCTGAGGTGTTTGTGCATAGGGATTTTAGGATGTTAATAAACTTCTCAGGCACGCCCTTCATCAACAGACAATCCCAGAGAACAGTCCTGTTCAACGAATCGAAGGCAGCCCTGATGTCAAGAAACACTACGATTGTTGGCCTGTGATAAGTATGACGGTGTTCTAACATTTGGCGGACGTTGAAGATATGATCAATACATCCTTGACTAGAACGAAAATCAGCCTGCTCATCCCGAGTCAACCTTTCTCGGGTTTTGAACAACCTACAAAATATGAAGGAAGCCAATAGCTTGGACGCAATCGGAAGTAGACTTATCCCCCGATAGTTGTTACAGGAACGACGTGAACCCTTTTTAAAGATAGGGACAACTATCGACTCGTTCCATGATGTTGGAATACTCTCTAGTTTCCAGACCTTTGTAAACGTCGTCAGTTCCTTAGCCAGAAATTCACCACCATCTTTAAAAAGAGTCAGAAGTAAGTCATCTAGGCCCAGTGATTTGTAAGGAGATGCAGTCCCATGGTAGCCGGTGACCAACGATTGGTTCATACACCATTTGTTCCTTCAGGATACTGAGGCCCATGTGCACCATTAATTTGGGATCCGGTTAAAGCGCCGGACATTCGCTTTTCGTCCTCTCATTTTCGTAAACAACGGTAATGCCACGAGAAGGCAGTGAGTAGGACTTCCCTGGCAGAGGTTATATATGCGTGGCCGTGTAAGAGCATTTCGAGAGGGAGAGCGGGCTCACCCTATACTCGGTCATACCAGGGCATTTGGGAGCGGAGATAAGAATAATCATATATATGATGTCAGTGAGCAAAAACCACACTGTATTTGGTGTTAATCTAATATAAGAATGGATACTGATACTCAGTAGTGGTATAATGGTAAGTCACATTGAATTTTATTGGCTAAGTTTAAAGCGAAAGCCTGGTTGTTTAAAGCATTTTCAACAACTCTACAAATAGTCTGAAATTCACTTCACTTTTTATTTGGTTTAGGCATTTTGGTAGTACCATTAAAACTCATGTGAATAAGTGTGGCTTAAAGTCTAGATTGGTTCGTTACTGAACCATAATTAATATTATCATTGAGTTCAGAAAGTGTTTTATTTGCTGAGAGAATCTTAATGAATGTTAAGAAGCCACTGAATACACATATTATCCCTTTTACACGTTTCTCTTGATTATTAGATCACTCAAGTGGTAATCGTGGCCTTGTAATCCTTAATAGAATTATATGATGATTTTAATCACTCAATATATTTTTATCGGAAGCTCTAATATGACCTATCTGTCAACTTTCGTAATACATTATTCATACATTATGAGCAAGCGAAGCTGATATACAAATGTAAAATCAAAATTCTGTACAAAAGTTTATCGGTTGATATTATGTCCAAGTTTGGAATAGTAAATAATGAAAAGAAAACAATCAGTAGATTGTGAAAAGAATGTAAGAAAACGCATTTAAAAATGATATGATATTGTGATGCATAGGATTTGCAAGAAAATACATTCGCATGGTCAGACTTAAATATTTAATACTTTGAACTACTCTGATGATAAACCTATTATATATACTTAAACAAACAACCAATTATTAGATGAATTTCTAGCTAGGATGTCGGCTCAATGGTCTAGAGGTTAAGCACTCGCGCGCAAGACTGATAGGTCCTGAGTTCGAATCTCGCGGGGCGGGATAATGGGTGCGCAATTTCGAGGAGTTCCACAATAGGACGAAACGGCTGTCCAGTACTTCCAGGTTTTCCATGGTGGTCTAGCTTCAATTGATTCATGATCTAAACTATTAGTCATTATTATATACACAAAATCCCTTCTGATACAAATACAATTATGTCCAAAACCGGGCATTAGGGTAGAAAATTAGAGCAATAAAGATTACGTCTAAATTACAATAACTTTGGAACAAAAAAGGGCATGGCAGTGAATCAATACATCAGATGAAAGCTTATGACTTGTAGAACAAACTAGGGACAAAAATAAATGTTTTACAAGCTTTGAATTAAGTGAAATGACATCCCCGAAAATAGCTTCCGTTGTTCTATCTTTGTTTCTCTGTTTACATCGCTAGGTTTTGTAATAACTTATGAATATGCATATGCTAGACAAAACACGTTGCAGTTTTACAAATGTGAAATCTGGGCACATAAAGTAGAGTTTACAGTGTATCCAGTTACGTATTATTTCACAACTAGCAAATAATACCAATACAAATATATTGAGGTCAGTATTTGACAGAAATGGGGTCATTACTGAAATGCAAATTTTATCCTAGAATAAGAAAACAAGCAATTTATTATGATGATTTAGTTATAATTTATGTGAAGGACATGTTTCAGTCCCATGCCGGACTAGGATTAACACAAATGATGACTTATGGGTCTTCCTCACGTTGTTACTAAATTACAAAAGTCAACAGATCTAATGAAGTTATCATTAATGAGCCTAAAATATCAGACCACAATATACAATAAAGTAACAATAAACAACGAGAGCAATTAGGTGAGAAGACTATATTATGCCTACATAATTAAAAAAAATTGCTTCTGAACAGTAAAAAGATATCAGTTAGATTGAGAAATCCAAAACAAACTTATGAATATGGTTATATTATATATTCCTAACTATTTTGATATGTATGAAATAAATGAAAAAAAAATACTGCCACACTATTATTGAATACCTATCGGGACGAATGCTAATGGTATTTAGTGACAAAAAGCGCCTGGGTTATGCATAAAATATTCTTTACACCATTAATCACGGTTATTCACTGAATTTTATGAAATAACTGAATAATAGTCTAGAATCTGAAACCTAGTGAATTACTTCAATCGGATCTAATCGTTTAAAAGAACCCATTTTTACAGTTTACATCAAAAACTGACCTTAGTTAAACAACCACTAAGAAATAAGAAGTACTGGACAGCTTTTTTGTCGTAGTATAGGACTCTTAGGAAGTGCACATCCACTAACCCACTAGGATTTGAACCCAATACCTTTAGATTTCTCATCCAGCACCAATTATTTGAAACTAAAACTATAAACCATCGGATGGTGACCCATTGGTTTGAAGGTTAACTATAAAATCGATCTCCGCAAACCTCACTATTTCAATAAGCTATTTTATTTACAACCGAATTAGGTGCCTAAAAATGGATAAATCTATTTAGTTAGTGTGAATATAAATCAACAGTATTGGTACCTCTACTTAATCACTTAATATGAACAAAAATGAGACGATTCTAGTTTTAAAAATTTTCAACAGCTCTCCAAATAAATGTATTAACTACCCACATTATAACAGGAATGTAAAATAGTTGTGAATAAAGTACAGATAGCATTGCATAAAGAAAATGTTATTTATCTATAAACTTACCGTGACAGTGTTTGAACAAAATCACGCGAGTGACTAGAGAGCTTTTTTACTTTACGATAAGTATTTATATTGTGCACTAATTGACTACCGCCATATTGTAAGGCCAGTGTATCTCCATGTTCATCATATAAATCCTGTTAATTATTTTTTTTAAAATTAAAATAATAATTTGTACAAATGATTAGCATGTGTGTATGCATGGGATAATAAAAGATTAGCATGACTGTTTGCTAAAATCTGGACTGTACTGAAGTATACAAGCAGCTAGCTTTTGTTTGAAGAAAGATTGTAAGCTGGTGGAAAACGTTCAAGGAATCACAAAAACGGATTCCAGAAATCTTAGAACATTTATATGATGCTACGATACTTGAATACAATCTGTTCTTTTTAACAAACAGAAGAATTTGAGATAGTTTGATTATGATTATCAGATTACTTAATAATATTCTACATCTGACATCATTCATTTTCCAAGGTTTTATAAATCGTAAATTTATAGACACAAAAGAAGACTCAGAACTAACTACTTGTTATCCGCCTTTCATACTGAGTTTTTGACGAGTGGAACTCCATGGTCTAACAATTGACGACAACTCATATATGTGCCGAAAGAAGTTAAATTACATGACAGAAATCCATCACCACGATTAACATAAACCATTTAATTTTGCCAACTCAAACTGATTAATCAAATCAATGCAAAATTCGAATCATTTGAGTTAGTGGTTCAAAAGCAGCAGAAAATAATCAGGGAAGACAAATCAAGAGAGCAGAACTATAGTACTTAATTATTGTTCATCATCATCTACATCAGGATTAAATGTGAATAAATTTGGCGTATCCAGTGAAAATGAGTCGAGATAGATTAATGAACGCAGACGGAAATTTATGTATGCTGTAATGTGCATTCCTCGATCCTTGCATGTCTGATATAATACTTGATCTCCTGTTGGATATTTGAACGACAGAGTATTACACAATTAAGGGCCATTCTAGATTTTAATGTTAACAACCTGATTATCTAAAAATTAGTTTGCAGTTTAAGATTGATAAAAGTGCTTATTTTTTCATCGTAACAGTATTTAAATGACCAATATCGATTTTTAAGGATGATGTTAGCTGACCATGGTGTTGTGACGTACGTGACACTTTTTTTCATTTACCCACAAAACAAACAAAAATTATCGGGTGCTACTAAATCACGACCGGATAATTAAGAACCTTTGTTAAATCCCAAACACCAGAATGCATTTAAGTTTACAAATAAGATCAAGATTATTCAGTTGGTTAGTAGATATGACCGTTGCTTTTATACTTAACTGAGAATACTATTCAAAATATTATAGAAGAAATTCATAGACATGATAGAGTGTAATGGATAGTTATGAAATCCTTATTACACATCATTTTTATCGTTTGATATTGTTCGAAGTAAAAACTACGAATAGGAAACACATTACCTTTTACTAGAGTAAGTTAAAAACTAAAATAAATGAGTATATTTACATCATGAGATCTCATGGTTATAGAAAACTACATCGAGGCTTGAAAAGAATTAGGCTTTTACTATTTTATTGTTGCAATACAATATTTAACAAAAGTATAAACTACGGTTTCGAAATATTTGAATTACTTAATCTAGTAGAATGATATATGAAGATAAGTTCGCTTTAAAAACAGCTTTCATGGTAGACTGAGTTCAGCTGTAAAACAATGGGAAAACACGAGGAAATGGATCAACTGTTTCGTACTAGTTTGAAACTTTAGCATTCTTCGGTGCCAAAGGTTAATTTCAGAAAGCGTCTCTTGGAAGGGTAATGTTAGTTTCCTGAGTTATACAAAGAGATTTAGGCACTCAAAATTGTCAGTATTAGGATATATATAATCAACATGGTCCCAACCTCTGAGTTACTTATTGCAATACTCAAGAACTAGTGGTAGTTTTAAGTTATCATACTGTTAGAAACTTAGTTAAAGTGATGAATTTACTCAGTTAATTTTTTCATAAAATACATCAGGGTAAGAGAGTAATAACAGAATTGTGAACGTACTTTTTCCCTCTAGAAACAGTATCATGATCATTAAGAATAATTCAAAAATATCGAATCAATTAATCTCGACCAGTAAACATATGGGAAAACAATGAGACATATTTGTAGTAGACTGATGCCTAAAAAATACCTATTATAAACCAGGGTCAATATATTTTTCAATAAGGTTCCATTGTTCAATGATAATTACAAATGGAAATCTTGAAATGCTTAAGCTTATGAAATGAGCGGCACTATCAGCGAAAGATTTAGCAAAACGGATAAGCAATCTCATTGATATCAATAGAAAGAATTTACAAAAATTAACTATTATTTACAAAGGAGAAGTAATAAATAGCAAGTTACCTGTAGTAATCGATCGATTTGTGAGTTATCCATAAAATCTGGCTTAGCTAAAAAGCCTAATCCATACAATTGATAAGCTAAAACAACTCGACCGATAACAAACTGTGCAGTGTTAGTTCGATCCAAACAGTCCACACAATTTACTCGTATTATTCCACATTGCTTAGAGCTGGAAGAAAATAGCAAAACATAAGATTATTAGTTGAGAAACCTGAAACCTGATGAAGTGCATCAGTAGTAGTAACAGTACTCAGCCAATAATATTAATGAGTCTAAAATGGGATCAGGTTGTGATAGCTAGTAGTTAACTGACAACCAACCTGTTAAATAACATTAACAATAAATAACTGCAAAGTTCAAAATGAGGTCACACGAAAGGTAAAAGACTGCACAATTATTATCATACTTGTTTAACATGGTGATGAAATTTTCATAACTAATGCATTTAGCTTTAAAGAGAACCCCAGAAAATCATGTTTGAGACCCACATTTACAAAATTGACAAACTACAACATTTTTAGAAGTGATAGGCGAAGACCGTACAACAAGGTTTGTCGAATTCCCCAAACACATCAGGATTACTTAGCTCATAAAAACAAGTGTAAGCATCAGAATGAAATATTTAATGAGTGGATCCAATGGCAATATCCATCCTAATACTGTTTGAATCAATTTAAATGTCCATAAATCAGATGATTTATTAGCAAAACTGTTCGACAACAGAGTTGTTGTTAATAACATAATTAGCTTAAACTCTATTTCCTTTTTAAAACTGTAACCAGTGTGTATCTACATGATTCTGTTAGTGTTGTCACTCAATATCCGTCCGTCAAATAAACGATGGGTTTAATGAGCAGCAGTTCGCTCTATTCTACTTTATATTTGAGAACTATTTTTATTTATTTATTTCAACACATAGATATTTGTACAAAGAGGCACCAAATACATATGTGCCACACAAATCTCATTCGATATGTGTGAGGGCTGTGATACTGCCCGGGTGCCCAGACCGAAGCAGTTGGTTTTCTTAGGGGGCCACACCCCGAGCCTTCGACCTGAGGGTCTGATCCACCAGGCAGTGGAGCATCGTAAGGAGATGCAGTCCCATGGAAGCCGGTGACCAACAATTGGTTCATACGCCATTTGTTCTCTCAGGATACTGGAGCACATGTGCACCATTGGTTTGGAATCCGGTTAAAACGCCGGACGTTCGCTTCTCGTCCTCTCATTTTCGTAAACAACACCCCCGCCACGAGAAGGGAGTGAGTAGGACTTCCCTGGCAGAGGCTATATACGCGTGGCCATGTGAAAGCATTTCGAGAGGGAGAGCGGACTCTCCTCACTCTCCGCCGTACCAGGGCATTTGGGGGCATTTGAGAAACGTGAACTTTAAAAATAGATATTCTTAGGTTACTAGTATTTTATCATACGTTGCTTCGAACTATTGCTCATATATTTCAGGACTATCAAGTCAGAGATTTTGAGGCTAAACGCAGAGTACAGGTATAGCAAATCGACTGACAAGGTTGTGAACCATTACTATCTGGAATGGTTAGAATATGTATTACGTGTTCTCATTCACCAACTACTTTGACGTGCAATGATGGCCGGTATAAGAGCAGGTCAGAAGAAAGCTACCATTGGCCAAACCAAAGCATCAGTCTATTAAGACACTGACTATTGAACTGGGTCATGTAGTTAGGTGCAAACTACTTGGTTCGGGTCCGCGTGAATATCGTAACCAGTTGTTAGAAACTGGGTGGTATGGCTAGAAACCGCTGACAACGCAGCAGATACACTCACTATTCGTACCTTTTTAAATCGTAAGTTTCTAAACTTTTCATAATTTTGTTTGTTTTTGATTTCATTAAATTACACTTTTTTATAAGGTCGTATCCTCACTGTTTAATCGTTTCTATTGTCACTAATCATGTTATTACTTCTACTACCTTGATATTTGCCCTGACTATTTTATCTCTGTGTTAATAGCACATGTCAACGTCGACCGATGTACATATGTTTCAGGTTCTAATTTTCATTTGACTGACAAACTGAAGTGCTATTAATTCACCTACATCAAACGGTTTGGGATAAGTTTGTTATACTATAGAAATTAATACCAGTTACGCATATATTAAATTAGAATTAGAATTTGGGCAGATGTCCCAAAACAGACTAGTATATAGAACACATTTTTGTGTCATTTATAGCTGACTGTAATATGTGGTACTTGAGTTTAGACTAGAGTTATGAAAAGAGGACACCAATTAGAACATCGGAGTACTAAATAGCATGTCAGATTTATGAGTTGTAAACAGTGGGAAAACTATTATGATAGAAACCTCATTCTTATTCGATTTAGTTCCCTTTACAAAGCTTAGGAAGTCTGCAATTTAGTTTATAAACAAGTATATGATTACTTAGTTGTACTGATTGTCGCATTCTCTTTTATATTCTTTAATTAGAAGTTGCAATAATTCCTTTGAACAACAAGAAAAATTGGCACATAAGACTGATTGTTCCATGTGAAATAAAATACGCTGCTTGGTAAATCATATAAATTTTGATAAAGCAGAATTTTATTAACTCTCTTGAAAAAAAATTTCATTTAGACACAAAAAAATGAATAGAACTCGAATATTTCTTTACAACGAGTCTGTCATATTGGCTCTCTACTAATACATGTGTTTAATAATAATAATAATAATAATAATAATAATAATAATAATAATAATAATAATAATAAAATCGAGACCAATGAAATACTACTGTATTAGATAAGAGTATTGTGATGTGTGCTACTGATATCGACAGATATAAGTAGTATGTATCATCAATAGAAAGTGGAAAACCTGGAGGCTGAAGGTTGAGAAAATCGAAAAGAAGAGAATGGGAACAGAGAGTGATTGGTATGAAAACGAAGGAACAACAAAGTCTGAGACGATTGATGGACACTTCTCAAATGAAGTATTACTGTACGGTTCTCAGATTTTGTAATTTAATATTCAAGTACATTTGGTTGTCTCCACTGGTGTTCTCGTACAATACAGTATTACCATTATTATTGTATTACTAATACTTGATACATTTCTAATTAATTAACATTGATTTTATCAAAGCTGTTAAACATACATATCGTTGTAGATTTAAAATGAAAAACTAATTGGATAGAAAAAATTCATTGTTCTATCCATCCTTTTTTTTTTAAAACAAATAACTTACTTGAAACCGATTGTTCTATGTTTTTCAAATTGAATTTCTGAGATAGGTAAAGAAGCAGATGATGAGAAAAATATTCCAGTACGACGTACACAATTGTCTATAATAGGTTGTAATTTATTTAAAACAACAGTACGTTTCATTTTTTGCACACGAGCGATATCAAATCCAATGTACATAATAGGTGGACTACTATCAATTGTTTCAATAAAAAGTGTATTTAATGAATCAGATGGTCGGAGAATTCTAGAAGGTAAAAACTAACAGAAGGATATTCAAGAGAATTATAATTATAATAAGTTCATATTTTGAGACTAACAATGAGCCAGGCTTCTAAAAATTCTCTGGTGTTTTTGGAGTTTCCTCTGTCTAAGATTTCCACATTTTTCCAATCGAATGAGTGTCTGCAGTTGGACAACTGCAGACACTCATTCGATTGGAAAAATGTGGAAATCTTAGACAGAGGAAACTCCAAAAACACCAGAGAATTTTTAGAAGCCTGGCACTCAGGTCAATCAGCAATCAACAAGCATATTGAAATCAATCCAATTTATCAACCAATCAGAAAAATCATGCACAAACATAAGAACGAAAATCAAAACAATGGGAGACACAACCAAAACAAAGAAATAAACAACGACAAATTTAAGGTCAATAAGAACCAATCAACGTCGAGGTGCACAGAACAAGCTTTGAGACAAATATGGAGAAATTCAAACACTTCACTTCTATCTGAAGTTTGTGCTGATGATGTCGTTCAGAAGAACGATGAAAGCTCCACGACCAAACCATCCAGCTCAGAGAACAAAACTCCACCAAAAACAATTGGTGTCATTTAATATCTCTTTTATCATCGATTTCTGTCAATCCTGGTTACATAAACAATTCATATGAACATTTAACTATTTAATGATTTGATAACAATATGATCAGCAGTTTAAAAATCCCCATAGAATATTCAAAAATGAAAAAATATTAGAGCGAACAATTGTTTTCAATAAATTAATCATCAGGCTCTACAGTTATAAGTCCATAATTATAATATTTTAAAAAGACCAGAAATAAGGCATGTATTAATGAATTTGACAATGTTATGTGTTAAAAACATTATGATCAACAAAAAATAACGTTGACCTTGTGAATCACTTTCATTCACAATCGCTAGATGATGTACATACAAAAACGGCATTGGGTCTTAACTATTAATGAAAATTTCTAAGATGTCTTTCTCTAAATTAGACTACACCATTTGCTAAAATTTATTTCAATTACAATAAATACATAACATTATTAGCTTACTTGACTTAAATAGGTAATTCCACGTTCAAATCTATCAGATAAAATTGTTTCAAATTGTCTTTTCTCTCGTTTTTTCATCAAATTAAGCACAATAACCGGAGATCCATGACGTTTAAGTAAACTAGAAAAATGTAAACCCATCGATTCATAGAATGGATCATCACGCTGAAGATACGGAAAATTAATTACAGTCATTAACAAATTAAATCCCAATAAAAATGCACCAACTAAAGTACAATTAATCATTAACTATTCTGTGGTTTAAATTAAGACAAACTATATTCTCCTATACAGTACTGTCCATAGTTTTTTTAAGACAGTGGAATTTCGAAAAAAAGATTAGGAAAATATATAGTTACTTTAATAAGTCGTTGAACATGAAACTGAAATATACTCTATGATAAATTTGTTCAGTTTCATTTATCTGAAGGCCCTTTTGTGTGCCACAATATACTACTTACTAACATAGAGTAGTTAATGTTCCACCATTTCCATTACTTGTATGCTGTAGCAAATCCTGGTGTTTTAACATCACTTATCAAATCATTTTCTGATCCTACTTGAGTTATTAGTCCTTATTTTAATTGTATCGATATTTCGTATTATTATTATTACTAAGGATCTCTTTTGTATACTACACTTAGAAATCTTGTTTATTTTGAATGTTTTGTTAAGGTTTAAGTTACTTTCGTTAATAGTGCAACAATGGTTGCAATTGCATAGCTTCTAAGGGGGAGATATGAGGAATCACTATGCCCTAACGTTAAAAAAAGTGATAGAAACATATTCTTGAGACACATCGAAAAAAGATGTACTAACTAAACTCGTATTGAAGCAACGTAGTCAATAATTTAAGTGACTCGATATTACTATAATCACGTCTTGATGGAGGATAACTCGAAGTACTCATCAGAAAGTTCTGCTCAAGTTAGGAGTCGTCAGCAAAACATCTCAGCACTTTTGAGGGGATAGAGTCACACAGTGTCAAAGTTAAGGATAGAGACATAGCAAAATGAGCAATGAAAGGTAATAACGTTAAAACATGTTGATGTGTCACTGTTTAAAAATGTCATAAACTTACTAAAATTTCTAATGGCGGTCTGCCAACAACGACTTTACAAGACTCCTGTGACCAGAATAACGGTACAGAACCACGCATTTGTACATATGATGAAACGCGTCCATGACGAAGAAATGAATATGAGCTATCATGTACTATTTGTTCTGTTTCCACCTGAAAAAACCCCATTTAAATTCACCTGTAAGACATTAGACATTGAAACCTATGAAAAAACCAACATATTAAACATCTAGTTGCTATTACACGATCACACAGTGGTAGGATAGACACAACTACATTCCCTAGGTATAAATGGATATAGCTAAATTGATTCACTATAACAAAATGTAGAATTTTTATCAAACAGACTTTTCGCTACATTTTATCAGTAATCTATAAATTATCAGATACACTGTCTATTTTGTAAGCATTAATATTGTACTATATATACTACAGGGAAGCACAAGTAGCTAAAAATCGTTAGCATTAATTATTAGAAATGATCATAACTGGAATTTCTGGGATAATTTAGACGCGTCAAACAATTATTAAATAATCAGTTCTCCTTACTGTGGCCAACAAACACCTTAACAGTTCATATTACTTACCACTGATGTTTTATGATCATTTCTAGAATGTCAAAAAATTAGACTAAAAAGAAATTTGGATTTTGGTGTAAAGACCAGTGACAACAAATCACTTTTCCAAGTAGGACTATTGTAAATTCAGTGGATAAATAACGATAGATTACTTAGTACTAACTGATAGAAATAGTATTTACACGATAACTAGTTTGGTTCTCAGTTGTTACTACTACTAAAACGCGTGAACATTGGTACAAGAGAGACCATAATATATGCATCACATAATTGAAAAAAATATTGTGAATAGATAAAGGAAGGCGCGTACAATAAAAAATGAATAGAAATAAGTGCATAAGAGCGAATAATAATAATAATAATTATAGTCGGAGAAGCAACTCAGATAAGAAAATTGCAACCAGGGAGAATTCTTTCATTAAAAAAAGTTGTTCTCACTTATATGAAGTGAAAAAAAATTACAGCAGGTCCACCACTAGCTTCTCTTCTGAAATATATTTGATAACGTCTCAAGCCAATGTGTTGCACCATCTCTAAGACCCCAACCAGGGAGTCGTGAAGGATCCATAGATCCCAGTCCCGTACAGCTTTCTTTACAACATCGACATCAACCAATATATTAACCACATCCCTGTTTTTCCTAACAGGTTTTAGCGTTAGCAATGAGCAATGTGGGATTCGCTGGGACAAAATTCATAGTACATATTCAGGCCACCGAAGTCAGTATTTTAAGATGGTGATAACAATCGAATTGTCATTACTATGCCCGAACATACGCTACCGAACCTCCCCATTATAAACATGATGTTGCAACTGCATGTCAGCAATCCTACAGACACAACGATTATCAAACACTGATAGTCGTTTGATATCGTCAACTAGGTGGCCAAGTTTTACAAGCATGGAGCAAAACTGCTAACATCAAAGAGGCGCCAAAGATGCCTCAGACTGGCACAAGCCGCTTTGGCTTTTAGTATATGCGAATCGACTTCCTCACGTAAACAGATACACGAACTTCTCCACTAACAAGAGTGAGTTCAGCTTCAGCGTACTTCCATCACTGTAAAAGTAATTAACACTAAGAAAGTACAAAGCATATATCATACCTACAAACACTGATTCCCAACTGATCAACTGTGGATTGCGTAGCATTGGGATCGACGCATAATAAGGCCATATCATCCACATACTCAAGGTCGAAAAGTCCATCTCCAGGTAATCGCATTATTATTATTAATCTCAAATGAATATCAAAAATTCATTTGACATTAATAATAGCTTCACCATTTGACCTTTGCCATAGAAGTAAGAAATTGAAACAAAAAAAATTTAAATCAAATTGTGGTTGGTCCTGAAAAGGGCCTTTACTTGGTCTCTTAACAGTTCAGATTTTCCTGAACAAAGGCATTGCTGAGTCCGATACAACGCCGAACATGGGACAGTGGACTGCACGGACGTGTGGTGATGGGTCGTAAGCTTGAAACAAACGAAACATTGCCTCGCATGGACAGAAAACCCAAGCACTTCCATCAGCAGTTTCATGTGGCAGCTGTGCAAGATTGTAAATATCACACAGTCTGTTGTGATAGGCATGTTCTTCATTGTCGCTGTCTCGTTCCGTGAAATCTTCTGAGTTAATAGAAACAAGATCCTCCTCGTCATTACTGAACGTTGCATCCAAATCGACGTTGCTTTGATAGTTGTTAACTGCAGTTTGTTGGGGCAACAACATTGTAACACCAATGGAAGTGGAGGTCTCGATCTGAAACTCGGTAGCTGAAGATAAGGTCAACGGCGTTAGAGGCATCTTACCGTAAACCACTTGATACACAGTTATACACCATACCGCATTGTTCTTCGGACAAACGCCTGACTAAAGAATACAACGATTTCTTGACGCTTGCATGTCCTACTTGGATAGGGAAATAATTCTCAATCACTTTGTTCAAGGAGCGTCGCTGAGGGTCGAAAAGCATTTGACCACTTTTGTTTTTTAGGAAGCAAGTGATTTCCCATATACCATTTCACATTTCAAGTGAACGAAAGACGGAAGAATAGTTGTATAGTTTCAAATTGTAGCCTCAACAATGACGGTTAATGGGTTAATGTCAAGGAACGAAAAACTTACCCTCTTTATGACATTACGAATAAAGTGTACGCGACACAAAATGTGGTGGGAATTGGGATACACCTGAGTAATAGCAAAAGCTATTGCAGGTGAGTCATCTGCAACAATGTCAACCACCTCTCGACTGTTAGTTGACCAGCGGAAGAACGATAGAAATCGAGAAATCAAAGTCGATGTTTCGCGACTTATTGTCATGAAATTTATATCCAGTGCTACAACCTGATATAAATATAAGTTCTCGTTATTGGTATTGTAGGTCCCATCTGCAGTTGTGAAGAAGACAATTATCTTCATTTAATTCATAGTCACAAAGCCCACCAAACGACATTAGAACTTTCAATTTGGCGTAATCACCTATCGATGACAAAATAATTAGGCACGTTGCTTACCAGGAGGTTGGCCTCTCAGGACACTTTGCGGCACATATTAAAAATATCTTGAGCATTCAGGCGCTCTCCATAACATTGGTAAGCAAAGTGCATAATATCGAATGCTGCTGTCACAAATATCAGAAGTGGTCGCACTGTTTCAGATTCAACCATTGTTAACCTGCGCATCCAAGAATTACTGTCGTACCTCAGTGAATCGCACTCGTGATTGTGATGCACATTCTTACGAACAACAGTCCAGTAACCCTCTATAAACTTACAAAAGGTGAAAACCGGATATTCGGTGTTCAAGGAAGTCCTTCATGAAAAATAAAATAAAAACAATCAAATTACCCCCTTCATTTAATCGGCAGTGAGGAACCACTAGGTGTTCAACGGCTATTTCTACAACATGCAAATTTGATATACAACTTCCGATCTATGTGAAAATGAGAATCCCTCACCGCACAATGGCAGTACGTAGCTCTTTAATAAGTGCTGATGGCGCTCTATATCGCATCAAGTGATTGGAACGCTACGAGATAAAACGTATTTAAGCATACGTTCTCCTTTTCTGTGAAAACGCGAGAAACGACAGACCTTCGGTTTTGTACATTGCTATCTTCTGTCATTTGAAGAAAATATGATCTTACATCAAGCACTAACATTTTATAACAAACTTAAGAAATAGCTAACCAACTATAACGTATTTCAAAACAGCCCTTTACTTGAACGCCCCCAAATGCCCTGATACGGTCGAGAGTAAAGAGAGTCCGCTCTCCCTCTCGAAATGCTCTCACATGGCCACGCGTATATAGCCTATGCCAGGGAAGTCCTACTCACTCCCTTCTCGTGGCATTACTGTTGTTTACGAAATTGAGAGGACGAAAATCGAATGTCCGGCGCTTTAACCGGGTTGGTGGACATGGAGAGTCCACCCACGGAAATTAGAAAACCCTGATTCCAAACCAATGATGCACATGGGCTCCAGTATCCTGAAGGAACAAGTGGCGTATGAACCAATTGTTGGTCACCGGCTACCATGGGATTGCATCTCCTTACGATGCTCCACTACCTTGTGGATCAGACCTTCAGACCGAAGGCTCGTGGAGTGGCCCCCTAAGAAAACCACCTGCTACAGTTTCGGCACCCGGGCAGTATCACAGCACTCACACACATCGAATGAGATTTGTGTGGCGCGTATGTATTTGGTGCCTCCTTATACCAATATTTGTGTTAAAATAAAATAAAATAAATAGACATAGTTGAAACAGAATGAAAAATATTAGAAAAATGGGATGAAAAAAATTTTTGAAAAGGTACGAAAGAAAAATTAATTTAAAACAATCAGTTCCTTTAGTAAATTTCAATAAAGCAATGAGAAGACGAAGTTTATCAGAATTATGTGATATATTTGCGCAATACATTTCGAACAATCTGATCACACATATACATGTTAACATCATTTATTTAAATAAAAGTTCAACTAGACAGGTTAAAGGTTAGTCACAACAAAGAAAAAGATACACAAAAACAATGTGATTACCACTCTGGATAATAAATCAGTATTACCAGGGTAGGTTAAGTGTAAGGACAAATTGTTTCTGAACACATAAAGGGGGTTTCAATTTCCGTATAGCCAAGGCTTCAATAAACCTTAATATACGTCCTTGAAGGCTTTTGTATAACACAACAAATGCTGATTTGATATCAACCTTATAACCCGTCTCAATCAAATGTTTCGCAATGGAGGATGATGTCTGTCTATCCTGTGATCTTATTTGACCATTGCAATTCATCTGATTCTGCAACCATTTTGGTATGTGTTCACCCACCTTTAATTGTAAATCACGATTGCTCCTCCCTATGTACGTGTTTCCACACATACATGTAAATTGATAGACACAATGAGATGTGACACAATCGTTTTCGTGCTGTTTGGGCTTTTGGTGAAACATAGGCCTTGTCTTTTCGATAATGACAAGTTGGGCTGCATAAAATGTCCGGTTGATAGCTAATTTAAGTCTCTGTTTCAACATGAGACTACTTGTGTCACCTCTGAATGGTAACGTAATATAAACTCGCTTTTTAGGTGCCAGAAGCGTCATAGGTCTAGTCGTATTGCAACCCCTCCAGCGGTTTATGAACTTCAAAGAGTAAGCATTATTGATTAACGTATCAGTCAAGAGCTTCGTCTCTACTTCCATAGTATCACTAGTACAAATACGATTGATTCTATTGAATAAGTTCTTTATTAAACTGCGTTTATAATGAATAGGGCAGTGACTATGAAAATTAAGATTTTGTCCTGTCCATGTTGGTTTTCTATATATAGCACGTCTGATAGAACCATCATCTCTCCTAGTAATCAGGATGTCAAGAAAAGGAAGTTAGTTGTTCTTCTCTTCTTCACATGTAAGAGAAATGTGCTTTTGACTACTATTGAATTCTTCTAACAAGCGGTTTATGTTTTCACTTTTATCCCCTATGATTATTATGTCATCTACATATCGTTTATACAGACCCATCTTTCGAATTGAGTCTTCAACTAAATTTTCATTTGAATTAAGTACTTAAAGGACATAAATATAAAGACAAAGACAATGTGTTCCTTTGATGTGAACACTATTTACAAATGTACCTCTTAGGAAAACCATTGATATTTTGTGTGTTTATATTTCTTCGAATAACCTTTCACTGCCATTTTCTGTTAAAACTGTTAAAGATTTATTATTATTGTGTACAGATAATGTAAAATTCACTTTTGAAGGTGAACACTTCAGACAAACAGATGGTGTAGCTATGGGTAGCCCTCTAGGACCATCGCTGGCTGATGTGTTCGTGGGATATGTGGAAAATTTAGTTGAAGACTCAATTCGAAAGATGGGTCTGTATAAACGATATGTAGATGACATAATAATCATAGGGGATAAAAGTGAAAACATAAACCGCTTGTTAGAAGAATTCAATAGTAGTCAAAAGCACATTTCTCTTACATGTGAAGAAGAGAAGAACAACTAACTTCCTTTTCTTGACATCCTGATTACTAGGAGAGATGATGGTTCTATCAGACGTGCTATATATAGAAAACCAACATGGACAGGACAAAATCTTAATTTTCATAGTCACTGCCCTATTCATTATAAACGCAGTTTAATAAAGAACTTATTCAATAGAATCAATCGTATTTGTACTAGTGATACTATGGAAGTAGAGACGAAGCTCTTGACTGATACGTTAATCAATAATGCTTACTCTTTGAAGTTCATAAACCGCTGGAGGGGTTGCAATACGACTAGACCTATGACGCTTCTGGCACCTAAAAAGCGAGTTTATATTACGTTACCATTCAGAGGTGACACAAGTAGTCTCATGTTGAAACAGAGACTTAAATTAGCTATCAACCGGACATTTTATGCAGCCCAACTTGTCATTATCGAAAAGACAAGGCCTATGTTTCACCAAAAGCCCAAACAGCACGAAAACGATTGTGTCACATCTCATTGTGTCTATCAATTTACATGTATGTGTGGAAACACGTACATAGGGAGGAGCAATCGTGATTTACAATTAAAGGTGGGTGAACACATACCAAAATGGTTGCAGAATCAGATGAATTGCAATGGTCAAATAAGATCACAGGATAGACAGACATCATCCTCCATTGCGAAACATTTGATTGAGACGGGTTATAAGGTTGATATCAAATCAGCATTTGTTGTGTTATACAAAAGCCTTCAAGGACGTATATTAAGGTTTATTGAAGCCTTGGCTATACGGAAATTGAAACCCCCTTTATGTGTTCAGAAACAATTTGTCCTTACACTTAACCTACCCTGGTAATACTGATTTATTATCCAGAGTGGTAATCACATTGTTTTTGTGTATCTTTTTCTTTGTTGTGACTAACCTTTAACCTGTCTAGTTGAACTTTTATTTAAATAAATGATGTTAACATGTATATGTGTGATCAGATTGTTCGAAATGTATTGCGCAAATATATCACATAATTCTGATAAACTTCGTCTTCTCATTACCTTATGGAAAAAATTAATTAAAAATTTACTAAAACGGTCAGGCGTTTAGTGATATTCATGACTCATCATTGTAACTGATGAAATATGAAATACTAGAATAAATATGAAATTATTGAATGACAGGAAAGTTCCTCCTAGGAAGCTAGAATTTTTTGAATACCCTCTGAAACGAATAGAGAAAGTGGTTTGTTCAATAAAATCCAGGTTGTTAAATCCTAAGCCACTAGTGTTTGCTAAATTTTGAAGTTTCTATATAGGAAAGTTAATGACTACAAATTTATACCAAGGAATTACATACCAATTTGAGTTTCACTTTGATTGTAAGTAATGTATTGTAACAAATTATACCAACGACTGAACTACATTTTAGATAATACTTGATCATAAATAAATAAAAATATCATCTTCACTTAGACATAATAGATAGTTTTCACAATGAAGTAACTGGCTTCGTCTAAAGAACCTACGAACATTAGAGAATACTGGAAAGTTCTTTCATTTCTTTCCGAGTTTTCTTAATACAGCAGTGGTTGGCTTGGTGATCAAGCTTCTTAGAATTCGAACCTTAGCCTTCTACTTTGGTTTGAGCGATCAAGTTATGTCATTATACTTCATACATAGAGAGAGTGAAAAAAAAATTATGACTCAGAATGTAGCGTCCAAAACCTGTACTAGATAAATGGATTACAATAACGATTATTGATCCCACAGTGAATTGAAATGAAGACATGGAAATCTTGTGGTAGATAAGTCGCTGATCATTAGTGAAACAGAATCTGAAGATTTACATTTTTCAAATTCAGTCAACTAGTGATGTTAATGTGACAGAAAATAACTTTAGAGCTCCATATAATAGATGGACGGTGGTTAATAGCGGAAACCAGAAAGTGAGTTCCGTCTTGTTTCAAACCCATTAGCTGGATATACCTTCATATCAGTGTTGATACTCACGTTGAGACTTGAATGTAGTATCTTTTGTTTCAAATGCTAACGCGTTATTCACTGAGCTACTGAGTCAAACACCCACTAACTTGTTCAACGAGTATAATGTTTCTATTACTATAAATAACAGTTTGAGCTATCTCGTGATTGGTATTCATGACTGAATTTTGACTATTGTTTGTTGGAGGATGTACATCCTGTGTTGACTGCTTCAATGCAACCATTTCGTTCTAAATGGGCTAAAATACACACCTTGGATTCCACTGCTACCCACAATCTATCAGTCTAAACAATTTATGGCGAAGTGGCCATATAGATGTGGGGAGATATGTCTGACAAGCTTATTTTGTAAATAGTTTTCAATGTTATTTGTATTTATTTTGCCAATTTTTCACTGTATGTACATTTATCATTAAATGACTGTACATGTTGTTTAAGTGAATAATCTTGAACATACTTTCCGTTGTGTAACTTACATAGCATGACATACTGTTGATTACTAACAAATACATTGTTGCACACATATCCCTCGTTCTACATTCATTTGTGATTGAGTTAACTGAAGCCTAAATCAAATATTATCTACATTTACAGACTGTGATTGGGAATATATCATACCTTACATTGAATTGTATTATTGGAGAGTTCATTAACTTGGTTGGAATCGTCAAGCATTTATAATTGTCGATTTTCAGCACCAGACCAAATCCGAACACGCATCAATTTGGTGAATTTGAGTAAAGTCCCTATTTTCTATTGTATTTGTAACAATTAACTTATATACATTAACATTACTATTGATCTTAAGTAACTTTGTTAATATTTTTAACGCTAGTACATTGTCTGGTCCACCACAATAATTTGATGAGCCTTGAACCCATTATAGACGTTATACTGTTTACATTTTTTTACTTGATATACTGGTCTATTTTGTTTTTCATACCATGTACTCTCCCAATAAACTTATCGATATGGATAGCCCACCAACGAATTTTCTCAATTCATCACAGTCAGACGATAATATTTTAAGCTCAATCAATACTATTTCCGAGTTAAGACTACCGACATGTAAACAGTATAACTACTAATTAGGATATTACAATTAAATCACTATTGTTGCTATGAGAATTTAGTAGTACTTTTATGCGCCTTGTACGAGCGCTTCGCTGTTTATTACGAGCCACTCTATACTAAGGTTACTACATATTACAATATTTGGGACCGCTTCCTTTGTTCAAAGTGGAACTCGACAGTTCAAAAAGTAAATTTAAACAATTTAAAACTGAAATGAAATAATTATTTTTCATATCTTTTTATCTATTTATTTATTTTAACATAGATATTGGCACAAGGAGGCGCCAAATACATATGTGCCACACAAATCTCATTTGATTTGTGTGAGGGCTCTGATACTGCTCGGGTGACCAAACCGAAGTAGGTGGTTTTCTTAGGGGGCCACACCCCAAGCCTTCGGCCTGAAGGTCTGATCCACAAGGCAGTGGAGCATCGTAAGGAGATGCAATCCCATGGTAGCCGGTGACCAACGATTGGTTCATACGCCACTTGTTCCTTCAGGATACTGGAGCACATGTGCACCATTGGTTTGGAATCAGGGTTTTCTAATTCCCGTGGGTGGACTCTCCATGTCCACCAACCCGGTTAAAGCGCCAGACATTCGATTTTCGTCCTCTCAATTTCGTAAACAACAGTAATGCCACGAGAAGGGAGTGAGTAGGACTTCCCTGGCATAGGCTATATACGCGTGGCCATGTGAGAGCATTTCGAGAGGGAGAGCGTACTCTCCTCACTCTCGGCCCTATCAGGGCATTTGGGGGCATTCTTTATATCTGATGCTCTTTAGTTGGATTCTAAATGATATTAATTAGTTTCGAGAATCGATTTTGAAAACTAATCACAATGCATAAAGAATTACCGTTATAAGAGAAAAGAACTGGCACAGAATCATACTTACTTCATTTGCAACATCACCAACCAGATTAACACCACGTTTCAAAAATCGCCGACCAGCGAAATGCCTTGATCTACGAGCAATAAGAGTAACCATCATTGGCATTCGGCAAGCAGATAAGGCTATTTGACTAATACTACCATGAAATAACAAAGTGAACCATTCAGGCTGATCACTAATGAGACGAGAGCCATTACGATTACACCCTGGTTGAAATCTCGGTGGAATTAATCTCCAATTCCAAACATACTTATCATTGGGTATATATTTTGATGTTAGCAGATGGATATATTCTTGACGATCAGACTTAAATAACTTGAAAACAAAAAGAAATCAGATAATTACACACGCTCTAAATAGCATGATACCTATGTGGTATAGCTTATGGAATAGATACTCACAGATGGGACAAGAATTAAGTGCGAGACTTGCATGTTCACAGAATTATGAGCATACTTTGACTGGCATATATGATCGAAAACTAACTATGTATCGTTAAATCACAAAGTAATAAGGAAATCTAAACGAGATGCTCTGTAGAACATGTTTTATGAACAATAAATATATATTTTAGTCATGAGTCAGTTGAAGCTAGACCACCATTGAAAACCTGGAAGCACTGGACGGCCGTTTTATCCTAGTATGGGACTCCTCAGCAGTGCGCATCCACGATCCCGCACCACGCGGGGCTCAAACCCAGGATGAAACGGCCGTCCAGTGCTTCCAGGTTTTCAATGGTGGTCTAGCTTCAACTGACTCATGATTTCAATCCGTGAAATTTCTAAAATCTCCGCAAAACCCATTCTGATATATTTTAGTGTTACACTGGAACAGTAACGTGAATAAAACTTGTGTATTTATTAGCGGAATGATATATTTTTTCAGTGTGCAAAAAAGTAATATTCATAAGAACGAGAGGGAAAAATATAAATTCTAAAAGAAGCATATGTAGATGTTTCTAATAGCTGAGTGTTTATCACAAGTATGAAATTTCTGTTGATCAAAAGGCACGACGACATACTTCGACATTGATAACTCTCTTTTTAAATGGTATAGGTTGAACACTGATTAACCCGTATTTGATCCCTTCTCCTGCATATAAATTTATTTCCACCTTGGTCGCTACCTTTTGGGTATCAGACTATACCACCCATTACTATTTGAGGGTTTATGTTGTTAACAACATCCGGATCTGGTAATATTTGATTTTTACCTATCGTAATGTACCACTAATATTAAGCAATTGCATTTTACCTATTTAAAAAATATTTACATACATATGATAGAGTTCCTTTGCCCTTTTAATTATTTAGTCTATGTTATGGGTGTTACCCATTGAAACTCCGTTTATTCCAATAAAACCTATATTTTGCAAATTAGTGCAGAATAAATGCCAGCTTACAGGCCTGATCAGGCTTATACAAATTTTTAGGTAATAATAGAAATAAATTCAAGTCTACTTTATCTGGAATAACATGATCTCCAAGTAACTTAAAAATGAGTATTTTGAATAAATTTTACAAAGCGAATGTGAAACAGTGAGCGTAATAGAGAGCATAAAAGTTTGAGTGGAATGATTTTACAGTACGACATTTAGTGATTGTTTACACTCCATAGCAAAAGATAGATTCAGTGATAAACTTATCAATAGTGTACAAACTGATAATATATGCAGAAATACTAAAAATATGATATGAATGAACCGTTAGTTATGTTTTGACATGGACGGTAGTACATGTTCACTAAAGACAGTACATGGAACAGTTTGAGCACTATAACGTTCAGTTAGTTTATTTGCACTATTTCACCGAACCATTATTGCCGTTTGGGACAGAGTTGAATTAAGAGGTACTGTAGTATATTTAGTTTTTCGAAGAAAAATAGGTATAATGACGAAGCAGTAACATTGTTTATGGGGTCCAAATCAGGTTACTGTCACATACTAAAATGCCTAATACCTCCTAAGATACCGGCTAAACCTGAGAGGGCGATACCAACAAGAAAAAAGTCTAGCTTATAGGTTGCAAAACTATCACGTATTTTGGAGATCGAAGTACAAATATCACCAAGCAGTAAGGATAATAGCATATTGTGATTTTATTTCTTTCCAGTTATAACATGTATGTATTCATCAGCAACAAGAAAAATAACAAAAAACAGGATGAGGAGGAAATCGGTAAAAAGATTATAGATATACGTCTCATACAACGCTCTACACACACATTTATTCTTCCTCAAACTTTATGTATCTAATTATTTCATATCAGCTTGTTTTCTGCAATTTTTCTTTTTTTTAACTATTTAGCCATTTGGTGATAAGTAATGTACACTTAGTAGACAACGAAAATTAATAATAAATGAAATTATAGAACTTACAGGCTCCATGTTATATTGCAAACTATGAGATAAATCATAGGTATAACTAAAGTAAAAGTTGCTAGCTAAATCTACACTGCTAAATAGCTTTAAATATCGCATTTCATCACTGGAGAGTTTCTTACGTCCTATAGAACTTTTAATAAGATGAAATAATCCTGTTTGTTGTTCATCTTCATTAGAGCAAGAATCGTTATCAAGATCTTGTGAAACTGTACTATTTAAAGAAGACATCGAAGAATAATGACTTCTGGAACCATTATTTGCAAGTCCACGTTCATCAACAAAATCATTGCCAGGAATATAAAGTATAGCAGTATCTTCAACCTTTGAATACAAGAAAATATAAATTGTTGAGATCAATGTGCAAACATAGGATAGTAAAGTGATTATACATTAAATTAGAAAGTCAGTGTAACAAGTTTAGATCATGATAATATTTAGAATGGGCTGTCATAGGAATTAACAATGGCAATTTAGATGTATTACATTATCGAAATTTATCAAAGAGACTAATTGCTTTAAATGGCGATTTCGTCAAACTATTTACCAGTCAACTGGGTGTATCTGTTTCTGCCAGTGATATGCACTTAACAACCACCAAAGTATAATCATATGGGAATTTCTTACAAGGCGGAAAAGTTTATCAACTTTATTAGGTGTGCCAAGAACAGAAATACAGCTAGATATAGAAAAGACGAAATATGACTAGCAGAGGAATCTAGGACACGCGTTTTTTCCTATCGTTATAATGGTAACATCAAAATAATCTGCGCAGGATGCCCATATGCCAACCAAAAGTGATTGAGTTTCATTAAAAAACATCAACAATGAGGTAATCCAAACCATTTTAAATTGAGTCAGAAATACAACTAGTTTGAGAAGAAACGTGCCGTTTATTTTCTGGGAAATCAACGTGTAGGTTGATAGGAAAAATCTACGAAACTAAGTTCCAAAACCAAAACACTCATTGTGTACGGGCTATCGATACTAACTATTTGCTTGAACAGAGTAAATTAACATATGAGACAACAAGAAGTTTTCATACAGAAACTAATGCAACACATAGTTTATTTCCATCTTCCGAAGGGAAATAGTAGGGATAATTATTAGTTTACAATACCATTTACCAATCGTTTCTAACGAAATAAGTGACTAGTCATAATGATACTTTAAAACAAAGAATAAATTGGACATCCTTCCACTTCATTTAATCCAGTCATTACGGTGCATCAAATTACTAAAACTTAAGTAAAAGTTGGAGGCTGAACAAATGAAGTGTTCTTCACTGCACATGATTAAATGTTTGGTTGGAGATAGTTACTACTACAAGCTAATATCTATCACAAAATCAATGGAAATAGTGAAAGGTTGTTCCGCTCTGTCAGGCATATGCACTATGTCAAGACCTATCGATACTAATAAAAACCATGGAACTGAGTTTAGTGGATTCCATATCCCTTGAAAGTGTAGCTTCTAAACATTTAAAATTTTGATGAGACAAGTAATTAATGAAAATGTCTTTTTATGCAACTACAGGTAAGTAATTACTATGACGTCGTAAAAATATAACCAATGATGACAATTTAAGTTGAAATAATAATGATTGCTTATCATATAAGTTGTTCATGAAGTGGTAAACTCCATGGAGAACTATGCTGTCAATTAAAATATGAAAACTCCCAGTTGATGGAGTTGAAACTATGTGTCCTTTGTCACATGACTGAGACAATCATAAGCACATCAGCATAAAAGGAAGTCGAAAAGATGAACGGTGAAAAAGTTGAAGTATAATGGTAGTGAGAAAGGCTAGACAAATTCCAAAAAGTGAAGAGTATAAAAATTGTAAGATAGTATTAAAACTCAAGAACATCAGAAAGACGAAAAGTAAATGCACCAAAGTTACTGAGGACTGATCATAATTCATATCACTTATTCTCCAACCACAGAGTTTATTATTGATATGATTTTTTGTGAGGATCCTAGCCACCCACTATACACCTACTGGCGGTCACTGAGTTCACGGAGGAATGCTACATTTTGCTTCTTCCCCTCTCAACTTTAATCTATGCTAAACCTATCCGAGAGAAAAAATTAGATGCCACGGTACACGGTGTTTGGACACAAATGATAGCTCTTAGTTGACAGACAGGCGTTATAAAATGAGACTAGGTCGAGAACTTACAAAATCGTAACTTACGATACGATCGAATAGCTATTTTATTGATTGTTTATCAATTATAATTGCATTTTTTTATATTGAAAATTAGTATACAAAATTAATTTAGTTTATTTTGGTTCGGAACCAATAATTATGACCGACTACATAGTTAAGTAATCTGAAGAGAAATAAAAGGACAAGACGGCTATCTAAATCGGATTGTGTCACTTAGGATCTGACAGTAGTACATAATACCTAATGAAACTAAAAAGTAAAGTAGAGGGATTTTTACATAACTTTGTTGTATCCAGTAGTACATACCCGATAAATGAAATGGGACGATATTCACTAAAATTCTAAGTCGATATTGCAAACGTACTCGACTAGTTGCCTGGATAGCATGCAGCAATCGTGCTAATTCTGATTTGGAATAAATATGAGGATCCTCAATTATATCCAGACGCCATATTCGATCAACTAAACTTTCTGCTTCAACAGTTGCTTCAGAAGCACTACACTCTTTATCAAGCCACAAATGATCTTCCTTTAAGGGAACAGGAGCACGAGCGATCTTGAGAATCCGGAAATGGCGTTCCCCAACATCGGAACCAACGAGGTAGATATGCGAGGGGCTTTCATAAACACTGATACTCCTCATCCAATTTATGTATGGTACCTCCATAGCTGAAAAAACGTACAAAGTGATTCTCAATAATATCGTTAGGGATAGGAAATTTCAACAAAAATGAGTGCATAAAAGTTGAGACGTATTTTAATAATCACTCGGATGAAAATCCATACAAGAATCAGACACTAAAAGTGGGCTAATTATTCACGTCTTCGCACATGGCTACAGCTCTCCTGGTAAACATATTCAAAAGTAGGTTCGATGAAGAGAGATCCTCATACCCAAGATGAATACAGGCTTTCTAGTCTGCTACCTTTTAAAGGTTAAACTGAAACTGGGTAACTATGCATTTATTACCTAAGACTTAGCTTCATTTAGTTTGTAGAAAATTCAGATTATTCTATTGCCTTCTCCAGTAAAATCATTTTTCAGCAAATAAACCAGCTTCACAACCTATCAAGATATAAATGCTTGGACGATATATTTATAGTCAAGCATGGCATCTAAATGATCGCTCTTACTTGTTTCACCAAGTCCTGCAACTAAACACCATATCGATACAGAAGCAAAGATCTTGATCAGCGATATATGAACTTTGCTTGCTGATATAATGGCTAAGGTCATAATTGACTGGGGAGTGAAAGGCATACCATACATTTATATGCATAAATTTTTTAGATCACCTAAGCCAAAATTATCCACAAACGATTGTTTGCAATCCACAAGGGATTGCATAGGCTCTACAGTTAAGATGTATATAAAATGAGTAAATAATTTAATTATAACTTGAACCTCAATCCTACTCTGAAATACCTAATTGTAAATTCGTCTTTAATAACTAGTAATCGTTTGAAAGTCAACATGTTGAAGTTTATACCTGGTTTGAAGGTAAGGTTTATGTTGAAAGAGGACCTCCCTCCAGGCACATGAGAAGCACTAAAATTTGATGGTGAAAGCAATCGATGACAATTAGCAATCACACAAACGTGAAACTAGGAAAATTGTTTTAACTATATTTATTCGATAATCAATACTAGAATTTGCTAATCTGAGATCCCGGACTTTAAAGCACTTCTTATATGTGCATTGAATTGTTGAAGATACTCACTTGTTTCTAATAATGTAATTCTAACTCCTGGCGTTCATCAAACCACCAACGAACCTCCAACCTTGAGATTTTCAATCTTGAGCCAACTTATTTCAGTCAGTCTTCAGTCATAAGGATAGTAGGTTGATGAACCTGTGTTAATCCTGACACATTGCTTTCCAGTGAAGGTCCAGCTTTTCCTTGAAAGTATTCACTGATGGGGCTAATACCACTTGTTCGGGTAAGGCGTTCCAATCATTGACAACTCGATGAGAAAAACGGGACCCCACTTTAAGTTTATTAGATCGTGGTTTATGAATCTTCTTGCTATGACCTCGGAGATTATTAGTGCTGGAGGGAGCAAAAAGATATGACATATTAACACCCAAATCGTAATTAAAGATACGAAATGCCAGTATAAGGTCATCTCGTGTCCTACGATACGACAAGGGGAAAAGATTTAGGCGTTTTAAACGCTCACCGTAAGGGAGTCTAGAAAGACCCTTCACTAATTTCGTTCCTACACGCTGGACACGCTCAAGGGAGTTAGTATCCTTTACCAGACACGGGCTAGCTGCTTGGATACAGTACTCTAAATGTGGTCTAACATAACGAACCTAACGCGCGCTATCTAAAAAGGACAGTGGTATTGTTTCTCGTTAAATTAGTAAACCGTTTTGGTCGTAAATTACGTATCAAAACTACGATTTACACTTTAATTGAATCTACTCCAGTTCAGGTGATATTTTACTGAATTTTTTGGCTTTTGTGTATTTATTACATTTGAAAGCATTCATGGTCTGTATCAAAGTACTTTAGTTAAGGTTTGACATCTTGCTAGAGTTTGTCTTGTGGTTCATACTGTGATCATATTGGTGTTACACCTTGATCAGACTAAAATGGTTGGTAGTACCCACAAATGTTGACAACCAAACTGTTTTTTTGTACCCTGTGGAGGAGGGAATGCAGTGTGACGAATGCAATAAATAGTTCCATAAAATGTGCACCCGTTTAAGTCCCACTGCATATAAAAGATGTTCGAAGCCTAACTCACAATGGGTTTGCATGTTTTGCTGTGCCAACAAGGCATTGCTAATACAGGATGTTATGAACCTATTGGTTTTGGCCTGTATGAAGAATGATGGCATATGCGCCGACAACACGGGCACTGTTACATTATTTAATCTGAAATGCTGTGTGTGAAACCGTAGATCTTTATGTCATCGGCGAAGAGCAAAACAGATGACTTTGCTACATTTGAGACTTCGCTTGAATACGGCTAGGAACAAGGGAATCGAAGCGAACCTCACTTCTCACAGATTCTTACTCTGACAATCATATTTATCTGTATCCCTAGTCTCCTATCATTGAGAAAATCACTTATTCAATTTAGGGTTTCATGATGGATCCCAAAATCTCCAGTTTTAGTTAGAGAACCGGGTGCGAGACTTTGTCATAGACTTTTCTTGTATCTGTAGTGACCTACTTTTATCAAGGGAGCAAAATCGGTGCAATGAAAACAATCATTATTATGGCCAATTGTACCAGGGATTGTTTTACCGTACCTGTTTCTTTAACTGCACCAACATACATGCATTCTTCCGTTGATTGTGACCTTGACGAATTCAGTTAGGCTCAGTAACCACACTTGTACTCCTTTGGCACGATCTAGGTGTTCTTTCGATACCATACGATCGCCAATAAATACATCTTGACTACAGCCATCAACTAGCTTCTGACATTTGACCTACAGGGGATCTTATCGATTAGCTGGCATGTAGTCTTCCTGTAGTGGTCATCACAGTCAACCACGACTCGACGCCACAATACAGATGTATGGAAAATACGTCTACTGGAATATTTCTACATTTCGCTACAATCCAATCTGCTCTTGTAATGGGCGAATTTTTCAAGCATGATAGGCCTTCCATCATGCTATTTTGTTTCCTAGGTGAAAGATTATTTCCTTCCATAGAGTTTAATGTAACAGTACGAATAGTCTTTTAAATTAATTTGACAATTACAGTGATCGAACCAACCGGTTGACAGTTACTTACTAAGTTTCTACTCTCCACCTTTTTTCCAGTCTCTAGAAAGTCTTAACTGTCTCAAAGACATCAAACTGTATTGAAAGGGACCCAGCCTTTATAATGTTGGGACGAATAAAGTCAGAATCACTGGACATATCTAGTTTGAAATGTCGAAGTAATCGTAAGTCAGTTCCTTTCTCTGTAGCCACAGGGTATATCGGCAAACTGCCATTATCGTGAATAATTGTTGGTCGTTAACCATCATCAGAAAAAAAACATTTTACTCCAATATCATGATAAAGGTTCAGCATTTTCAAACATCGTTTCCTGCAAATATCGACGGATTTTCTTGCGTCGAATATGATAGAATATTACCAATTTGCCTCTTCATATACGAAAACAAACTTCACAGGCATTTTCATAATCTAGTCTAGCGTCACTTATCAGAGCTTTTCAAGCATGACTAGTCATGCAATGAGTGGATTTATACTGTTCACAGCCCCTAGAGCTAAAAATATACCAATACGTTTTCCTGCGTCTAAGAAGTTTATTGACTTGCTTAGTTATCCATTGTAGACAGTTATTTGGTCTACGTGGTACTGATCACGGTATAAACGGGGATGTATCCAAGCTAGTCGTACCTTTCAATAAGGACCATGCTTCTTAAACTGACGAATAAGAAGTAGCTGACCACTCCTTTATTGCAGTGCACTCCCGGATGATTGAAAATTTTCCTCTACGCACATTTGGGTAAGGTTTAACCTGATAATACTTTATGTCACAAGCTCTAAACATGAATGACAAAACAGCATGATCTCTGTTTGGTAACAATATGGGAATATTTAGGTAAACAATATCCTCGGTCACAGGGTGATTGTTAAGTCCCACGAAGAAAATTCTTGGTTTGATCTGAAAAGTGTGCTTTTAAATACACGCTGTACTAAAACATGATCCATTACTGCGATCAGGCGGGTTTGAAGAATCTTCCACACATTTCTTGAAATGATTGAAGTTAAAGTATACAAAGTATGTTTTTAATGTAATAAAGACACATAAGTAATGTTAATTCACAACAACTTTAAAGTCACTGTCCTCCTTTGAAATGCACTGATAAGTTGAGAGGGATGTACTCATCGACTACTCAAACTGTTATTGAATCACTTGTTTTGTCCCATTGATCTCAGGATGAACATAACAAGAATCAGACCTATAGGTAGTCAGGATTGCTTTCGTAAGGGCAATAGCTTAGAACTTCAAGACGACCTGAAGGAATTATCTGAATGGTCTAAAACCTGGCAGTTGCCGATAAATACTTCTAAGTGTATTGTGATGCATATTGATCATCAAGGTACAGATACATACATGATGGATAACACTGAGCTATCTGTAGTCCAGACACATAATGAGTTATGAGTCATCGTTAGCCAAGACTTAAAGACTACTGCACACTGCCGTGCAATAGCCACTAAAGGTTTTAGAACCTTATGGTCAATACGTAGGGCTCTTATTCGTTTCGATGCTAAAACTTTCTTAACTTTGTATACAGTGTTCATGCGTACTAAATTTGAGTACTTCATACAAGCGGCTGGCCCCTACTTAGAAAAAGACAATGAGCTTTTGGAAACGGTTCAAAGAACAGCAACTAAGCTGATTCGCGGAATAGTGAAGCTCCCGTATCATTTTCGACTGGCCAAGCTAAACCTATTCCCGTTGTCATATTGAAGAACTAGGAATAACTTGATTTCAGTTTTCAAATTACTAAGTGATAAATTTTCACTCGACATGCCCTAATTTTTCGTGTCTTCCGAAACAAAGGATTGACGAGGACTGTCCAAAACATGTTCACAAGCCCAGAACATATTACTTGTTAGCTGACTATCGACTTTCCCATCGAATCATCAATGAGTAGAATTCATTAATTCAGCACGCGATTGAGGCTCCATCCGTCAGTACTTTCAAAAGAAAATTGTGTTAACAGGGACAACATCATTGCCGGAACTAACACAGGCCATCAAGCTTCCTATCCTTTCCAAACTGAAACTGTACCGCTCAGTCACAACGTTTGAGGTTTGAAGATTGAAGACTATTGGAGATTTCGAGGTCATAGATTGTGAGGGTTTTTCAATCTTGTGATGACAAGTAGTTCAAACAGACGGGATAATACTAAACTGCAAAATGAAAGACACCAGCTCATAATTCAGGAGTTACTTCGTGATGACGACAATAAGTACTGCGCAGATTGTGACGCAAAAGGTAAGTCATATATTGTATCTTAGCAAGGTTAGGACCACGTTGGGCTTCCTGGAATATTGGCATTTTCCTGTGCATAAGATGTGCAGGGATACATCGCAATCTGGGTGTTCATATATCCAAAGTTAAGTCAGTTAACCTTGATACATGGACTCCTATGCAGTTGGCTGTAAGGGAAAGTTTAACAGTAATCATTCATTTTAGGTTATGAGGGAAATGGGTAATAGCAGAGCACGAGCTGTATATGAAGCAAATTTGCCCGATAATTTTAGAAGGCCACAGACAGATGCTGCGTTGGAGACGTTCATTCGAGCAAAGTATGAACAGAAACGGTACATAGCGCAAGAATATACCCCAAGTAAACCCGATGTAGAATCATTAATGAAAGTAGGTTCAAATTAACATACTACGTTTGTCAGTGTTGTTCTGTCCCAGAAATCACCCTGATGCGGACTCATCATTGTTGTTTGCTTTTAAATGTTAAGCAACTCTTGTTTAGACCTGGTCGGTTTTTATTCACTTTTCCCGAAAAAAACTTTCTCGGTGGCTAGAGAATACCTGTTCAAGTTTTCCAACTTATATTGTTCAGCAGTTCGTTCACTCGACACAGTATTTTTGGTTCTACGGAAATCTTGTAATAGTTTGTGGCAGATATTAAATTCGATAAAATGTGGTGTAAATGTAACAATCAAATTAATTGCACCATATTACAGCAGACTTAGAAATTAGGACAGATGAAAAGAGTATAGCCAATAAAGTTGGGGAAAAAACAGGAGATGAACTAACTGGAATGGTAGTTTACGCATGTTACTGCGCTAAAAGGAAACGAAATGATGAAAGCACCTGTCACTTTTACCAGTTATAGAGGATATCACTCCGTGCCAATAACTACTCAGCAGGTTACCTCAAATTAAGGTTAGGAGATCGCAGCCTCTCCACAAATTTCTCGAGTAGATAACCTTTCTGAGATCAATATAATCTATTTACTAGTATTTACCATCTGATTTCGAAAGTCATTCACTATGCGTGTTAATAAATATTGGGTAAGTTGCTGTTCAGTGAACTTTCCATTTAGTTTACTTACTTACGCCTGTTACTCCTCGTGAAGGAGCATAGGCCACTCACCAGCATTCTCCATCCAACCCTGTCCTGGGCAATCCTTTCTAGCTCCGTCCAGTTGTAATTCATCGTTTTCATATCTGCTTCTATTATCCGACGCAATGTGTTCTTTGGCCTTCCTCTTTTTCGCTTCCCTTCAGGATTCCAAGTTAGGGCTTGCCTCGTGATGCAGTTTGACGATTTGCGTAATGTATGTCCTATCCATTTCCATCGTCTTTTCCTAATTTCTTCTTCAGCTGGAAGTTGGTTTGTTCTCTCCCACAGAAGGCTATTGCTGATGGTATCCGGCCAATGGATGTTGAGTATCTTGCGTAGACAGTTATTTATAAATACTTGTACTTTCTTGATTGTGGTTGTTGTAGTTCTCCAAGTTTCAGCTCCATACAGTAGAACTGCTTTGGCGTTGGTATTGAAGATTCTCACTTTGATATTGGTTGAAAGTTGTTTTGAGTTCCATATGTTCTTTAACTGTAGGAATGCTGTCCTTGCTTTGCCAATCCTTGCCTTTACGTCTGCATCTGAACCTCCTTGTTCATCGATGATGCTTCCAGGTATGTGAAGGATTCTACATTTTCAGAGTTTCGCCATCAAGAGTGATTGGATTGTTGTTTTCCGCTTTGAATTTGAGGACTTTGGTTTTCCCTTTGTGTATGCTGAGGCCTACTGATGCAGAGACTGCTGCTACACTGGCTGTCTTCATCTGCATCTGTTCGTGTGTACGTGATAGGAGGGCTAGGTCATCTGCGAAGTCCAAATCGTCTAATTGATTTCGAGCTGTCCATTGAATTCCGTGTTTTCCTTCAGATGTCGAGGTCTTCATAATCCAGTCGACCACCAGAAGAAAGAGGAAGGGAGAGAGTAAACAGCCTTGTCTGACTCCGGTCCTTACTTGGAATGCATCTGTCAGCTGTCCTCCATGCACGACTTTGCACTGTAGTCCGTCGTATGAGTTCCGGATAATGTTGACAATCTTCTCAGGAACTCCGTAGTGTCGAAGAAGTTTCCATAATGTCCTCCTATCTACACTGTCGAATGCTTTTTCATAATCAATGAAGTTGATGTATAGTGATGAGTTCCACTCAACTGATTGTTCGACGATGATCCGTAGTGTTGCAATTTGGTCTGTGCATGATCGATCCTTACGGAATCCAGCTTGTTGATCTCGAAGTTGGGCGTCTACTGCATCTTTCATTCGGTTCAGCAACACTCCGTTGAAGACTTTCCCTGGTATTGACAGCAGTGTAATGCCTCTACAGTTTTCACATTTGCTCAGATCTCCTTTCTTTGGAATCTTGACGAGGTGCCCTTCTTTTCAGTCCATCGGCACTTGTTCCTCTTCCCAAATCTTTTTGAATAGAGGGTGAAGCATGTTTGTAGTTGCTTCGATGTCTGACTTCAGTGCTTCAGCTGGTTTGTTGTCCGGACCCGCTGCTTTCCCGTTCTTGATTTGTCTGACGGCCATTCTGATTTCTTCCTTCGTTGGTGGGTTGACGTCTATGGGAAGATCTGTGTGTGCCGCTTCGATGTCCGGTGGATTCATTGGAGCCGGCCTATTCAGGAGTTCCTCGAAGTATTCTACCCATCTGTTCCGCTGTTGTTGAATTTCGGTGATTGGCTTGCCTTCTTTGTCTTTGACCGGTCTCTCTGGTTTACTGTATTTCCCTGATAGTTTCTTCGTTGTATCGTAAAGCTGTTTCATATTTCCTTCTCTAGCAGCTTTTTCTGCCGTCGTTGCTAGTTCTTCCACGTATTTCTTCTTGTCGGCTCTAATGCTCCTCTTCACTTGTTTGTTTGCTTCTATGTATTCAGCTTGTGCTTGGACTTTCTCTGCTCGTGTTCGGCTGTTGTTTATTGCTGCCTTCTTGTTCTTCCTTTCTTTGATCTTGTCCAGTGTTTCTGTAGAGATCCATTCCTTATGATGGTATTTCTTTAGACCCAGAACCTCTTGACACGTTGAAGTTAATGCTTCCTTGATGCCTTTCCAGTTGTCCTCCATACTAGTTTCTTCTTCTTTCAGTAGATCTTGTAAGGCTTGGAACCTGTTGTTGAGAGCTATCTTGAATTCATTGAGTTTGTCAGTATCTCGAAGGAAGGCTGTATTGAACCTTTGTAGTGCTGTTTGTCCACTTGTCCAGTTCTTCTTTAGCTTCAGTTTTAAATTGGCCACAACTAGGTGGTGATCTGAAGCTATGTCAGCTCCTCTCCTGGTTCTCACATCTTCCATTGTCCTTCGGAATTTTTTGTTGATGCAAATATGATCTATTTGGTTCTCTGTAGTGTGGTCCGGTGAGATCCATGTAACTTTGTGTATACGTTTGTGTGGAAATATTGTGCCACCTATGATCAATTTGTTGAATGCACACAGATTTGCAGATCTTTCCCCGTTTTCGTTTCTTTCTCCCAGTCCATGTCGTCCCATAATATCTTCATATCCAGTGTTGTCTATTCCGACTTTGGCATTTAGATCTCCCATCAGAATAGTTAGGTCCTTTCTTGGGCATTTCTCAATGACTGACTGCAGCCGCTCGTAGAACTGATCTTTAATGTCGTCGTTGCTATCATTTGTGGGTGCATAACATTGGATAATATTCATTAAGATCCCCTCCTTCTTTGTTTTGAATGATGCTTTGATGATTCTGGATCCGTGAGATTCCCATCCTACAAGTGCATTTCGTGCTACTTTGGACAGCATAAGAGCGACTCCCTGAGTGTGTGGAGCATTGTCCTCTTCGTGACCGGAGTATAGTAGCATCTCTCCCGTAGCTAGCCTTTTCTGTCCAGCTTGGTCCAGTGGGTTTCGCTGATTCCCAGTACTGCTAAGTTGTATCTCCCCATTTCCATTGCTACTTGACTGGTCTTCCCGGTTTCCCACATTGTTCGAACATTCCATGTACCTATAAAAATTTTTGCTCTGGTTGTTAGAAGGGGCATCGGCCTCGTGGCTTCCGAAGGAACTCGGCTTTCATCACGAAGCGTCATAATTCTTCTAAATGAAGACCTTCTAACTCCCAGGGCAGAGTTTAAATGGTTTGAATTATTTTTTCTGGTAAGCGTTTTTTTAGCGAGTTAGTTTTCTACGGGATGGGGACGCTAACCCCATGCCCAACCCTCCTTCTTTACCCGGGCTTGGGACCGGCAGTAACCCTATAAGAGCTACAGGCGGAGTTTTAGTTTACTTATCTGGACCATAATTCTTCTGTATGTCAATTTCTTGAAGTAATCCATATGATCGGCTTCGGACGAATCTGTCAACAAATGCAAGTAGTAATACCCGAGTAACATAATTGAGGTAGATGAAACGGAGTTACAATCTACGATCAGATGGCTAAGGGCGAATTGTTTTGGTTTCCTAAGTATCTCTAATAATAATCTTTTTGACTGCTAAAAATGTATGGCAAACACTGCATATGCTAGTTATCTGAAGGAAACAATTTCCTCATCCCTGTTAATTTGACAACATTAATCTGTCTTCGGACCTTAAGTTTGAGGCCTTCTAATCAACCTGCGTGGTACAATCTTAAGTAATGTGTTCCAGACAATAAGGTCCTAGGAGTACGTCATAAAATATGACCCCAGAAACCACGTCGGAGCAGTTGCTGTGGTCCGCACTAATATGCCAATCATCAATCGAAAGTTGGTCCAGAAACTATTTTTATCTCGGAATGTCTTTATACTGATATATAATAACATTCTCTAAATTTGTCATAATGCGTTACTACCAACCCATCCTTATTAAAATAATTTATGGCTCTGTAAATAATATGTAGAAGAATAGCGCAGAGGAGCTTCCCTGATCCAAACACCTGTGTCATCATCTTGCTTCCTTTTGACCTTTTGTGTATTGTGTCGGAATTATCAGTCAGTCATAATTAGCGTAAGCCTTGGCACTAATGTGGGTTGGTCCACGTTGTACGACGAGATGAAATCAGGATAATGGACTGGGAAACTACACCCAGTGCTAATAGAAAGATAATGTCTGTTCTTTCTAGTATTATGCAATATTAACTACATTATAATCAACCAGTCGTGGCTGCATCCACCACATACTCACAATTCGTCAGGTTCTAGAACACAGGCATACTTATCGGCGTCCGAAAATGGTGGTCTTTCTTAACTTGAGAACAACATTTGACCCCGTAGACCGCGAGATCCTGTGGCAGTGTCCGTCATTGAAAGGCGTACCTCAGAAGTACATAAACCTTATAAAGGCTCTTTACTCGAACACTACTAGTCGAGTGAGAGCTTATGGCGAACTGTTATCTACTTTTGCAACCCTAAGTGGTGTTCGCCAAGGCTGTCCACTATCTCCATTTTCGTTTGACTTCATCATAGACCTACTGCTGGAAATAACGCTCTCACCGACTGAATTCTTGGGTATTGACCTCCTTCCAGGAGGTCCACTTATCGACTTAGAATATGCAGATGACATAGTCCTGTTTGGTGAAGTCGCCGACAAAATGTAGAGTCTTGGTAGCACTAAGCAACAATGTGAGAATGTTTAGAATGCGCTTTTCTACTTCTAAATGCAAGTTGTTGATTCAGGACTGGTTTGCGTCAACACTTGAACTAATGATAGGGAATGAAGTAGTCGAACGCGTTGACAACTTCACTTATCTTGGAAGTCTGATCAGCCTTAATGTGTTGGTTTCTGACGAAATCTCAGCACGGATTCGAAAGCTCGCTTGGCTTTTGCCAACTTACGTCACCTGTGGCGAAGGCGAGATATCCGTCTATCAATAAAAAGACGAGTATACTGCGCGGCATTTCGCTTTGTTTTACTTTACGGCAGCGAAACATGGCCACTAAGAATAGAAGACACTTGTAAGCTTCTAGTATTTGACCACAGATGCCTTAGAAATATTGCTGGCGTCTGCTGGGATCACCGGGTAAGTAATAGTGAGGTTAGACGCAGGGTATTAGGAAATGATGGTAAATCAGTTGATGAAGTTATGAATCTTCATCGACTGAGATGGTTGGGCCACGTGTTACGTATGCCTGAACACCGATTACCACGACGTGCAATGGTAACCGGTGTTGGAGATGGTTGGAATAACGTTAGAGGCTGCCAAATCAAAACGTGGCACCAGTGCTTGAAGTCACTAACTTCTAGTCTGAGCCATGTTGGTAGATGCAGACTACTTGGTTAGGATCCGCACGACTATCGTAACCAATGGTCAGAGACTCTTGGTGACATGTCTGATAATCAATCATAATGGTGTCGGTGTATACATTCTTTGTCTTTCGTTAATCTATGAGATTGAAATCACTTCATATCTTTCTTTCTACGTACTGAATCTTATTTCCTGTTCTGTATCCTTATATGCCATCTTTCTTTTATGTATTACCACCATTGAATTAACTACTGTAAATTCGGTGTTCATCTTGTTATGCTAATGAGATATGGCAACTTGGACCGGTGGATATGTGCCTGGTCCTACATGGTAGCTGGCTGACTGACTGATAATCAACCAACAGTTCCTGTTGACTATGAATATTAACAGGTAGACTTAATTTCAATGTGACTTAGATCACTAGTTTAATTTCGTTAACCCTTCTTGTGTAAACCGCCCCCGAACTCCCTGGTACGGCCGAGAGTGGGAAGAGTACGCTCTCCCTCTCGAAATACTCTCACACGGCCGCGCGTATACAGCCTCTGCCAGGGAAGTCCTACTCATTGCCTTCTCGTGGCGGGGGTGTTGTTTACGAAAATGAGAGGACAAAAAGCGAACGTCCGGCGCTTTAACCGGATTCCAAACCAATGATGCACATGGGCTCCAGTATCCTGCGGGAACAAATGGCGTATGAACCAATCGTTGGTCACCGGCTACCATGGGATTGCATCTCCTTACGATGCTCCACTGCCTTGTGGGTTAGACCATTAGGTCAAAGGCTCGGGGTGTGGCCCCCTAAGATAACCACCTGCTTCGGTTTGGGCACTCGGGCAGTATCACAGCCCACACACAAACGATGAACTCTATGACTATGGCAACTACTTTTCTCGCTCCGATAAACAATCAATCGATTCAAATAATTATCATTACTATTATTGTCATTATTAATACTATTATTATTATTACCATTATTATTATTATTATTATTTTCCACATTATTCACCCTCTTTTATACTTATACAGCGGCTCGTCTTTGGTGGAAATTTGACTGTATCTAAACGTTCTCGAGTCACTGTCCGGTTGAAAATTGTATGTTACCACCGAATACGAGAACTGAAGCAGTTTTTCTGACACCACGTGCACCATTCAAACTGGCTGCCTTCAACGTTCGCACACTAGTGCAGGTCGGACAACAGATAGGGCTGGCTATGTCTTTGGAAAGTCTTAATATTGATGTTTGTTGTCTATCCGAGACCCACCTGCTGCTCCGGCAACATCGGTCAGACTGTCCTGCCCTCCATGGCCGGTGACGACTGATCCACCAAACAAGGAGGAAGTCTGCAAGGAACTCCAACTCTTGAAGCGTTACAAATCACCTGGCCCAGATGACTTACTTCCGGCTCTTTTTAAAGATGGTGGTGACTTTTTGACTAAGGAATTGACGACGTTGTTTACAAAGGTTTGGGAATTAGAGAGTGTACCAACGTCATGGAATGAGTCGATAGTTGTCCCTATCTTTAAAAAGGGTTCACGTCGTTCCTGTAACAACTATCGGGGGATAAGTCTACTTCCGATTGCGTCCAAGCTATTGGCTTCCTTCATATTTTGTAGGTTGTTCAAAACCCGAGAAAGGTTGACTCGGGATGAGCAGGCTGATTTTCGTTCTAGTCAAGGATGTATTGATCATATCTTCAACGTCCGCCAAATGTTAGAACACCGTCATACTTATCACAGGCCAACAATCGTAGTGTTTCTTGACATCAGGGCTGCCTTCGATTCGTTGAACAGGACTGTTCTCTGGGATTGTCTGTTGATGAAGGGCGTGCCTGAGAAGTTTATTAACATCCTAAAATCCCTATGCACAAACACCTCAGGCAGAGTGAGGGCATACAACCACCTTTCTCCATTGTTCCATTCAAGCAGTGGGGTTAGGCAGGGTTGCCCAATCTCACCATTCCTCTTCAACTTTGCCATCGATGACATTCTGGAAACAGCTCTGATGAATGTAAGTAATGGTGGTGTGGATCTGTTGCCTGGAGAAAGACTTCTCGACCTTGAGTATGCGGATGATATTGTCTTACTGTGCGACAATGCCCAAAGCATGCAATCCGCACTTAATCAGTTGGCAATCAGTGTCTGTAGGTATGGTATGTGCTTTGCACCTTCGAAGTGCAAAGTACTTCTACAAGACTGGCAGGATTCTAATCCTGTACTCACCCTGGATGGTGAGCAGATAGACGTAGTCGAGAAGTTCGTGTATCTGGGTAGCTGCATAAATGCTGGTGGGAGTGTTAGTGATGAGATCAATGCACGTATAGTGAAAGCCAGAGCGACTTATTCCAATCTGGACCATCTTTGGCGCCTTCGTGATGTTAGTCTGGCTGTAAAAGGTCGGATCTACAACGCGTCGGTGAGAGCAGTTTTGCTCTATGCTTGTGAAACCTGGCCTCTTTGAGTGGAGGACGTTAGACGACTCTCTGTGTTCTATCATCGTTGTCTCCGAAGGAGTGCTGACATCCAGTGGCAACACCATGTCAGTAATGCAGAGATTCGGCATCGTGAATTCGGGCACAGAGATGGTAATTCAATTGGTGTCACCATCTTGAAACACCGACTTCGGTGGCTTTGACATGTTCTCCGAATGTCGTCCCAGAGAATTCCACGTTGTGCATTATTTGCCGACTCTAGGACTGGTTAGAAAAAGCAGAGAGGTGGTCAATGTATGACATGATGTTGTGGTATGAAAAAAGCTGCAGAGGACTGGCTTCTGTCGGTCCTTCACGACTCCCTGGTTGGGGTCCGAGAGATGGTGCAACACAGTGGCTAGAGACGTTATCAGATATGGCTCAGAATAGAAGCCAGTGGCGATCCTGCTGTAACCTTCTTTTACTTTCTTCATAAAAAGTGGTTGTGTCTCCCTTACCTGAAAGATTTCTTCCGATTGTACCTTTGCGTTCCCTGATTACTAGCACATTACCTTACACCAATCTCTTCGTTATCGTTCTCTTTTTTTTGCGCTCCTTAGTTTTTTTTTTTTCTATCTCTCTTCGAATTTTCATTGTTTTGTGTGGCGCATATATATTGGCGCTCTCTTGTACCAATATTTATGTGTTCAAATAAATAAATAAATAATCTTGTGTAAACCATCTAAAGGATCAACTTGCCTTTCCCCTTTGTACTCAATGAAGGCTTACCACAAACGAAAAACCTTTATAAAACATTTGTCAAATACTCATGTTTTTATGCTAACTACCGTTCATACCCATGTGTAGTAGTTTTATAGTAAAAGACTACTACGATGTTGATATCACACTGAGTTTTGGAGATGCAGTTGACCCTCAACAAGATACATAAGATTAGTGGAAATAGCGTAAGTAGGCGTCCATAATCAACACTCATTCGAATAGGCTCAAATGATGTCACCATGATTTTATTTAGCGAATGTCTGGTGATGTATTATGTTTTTTCAACGGAGCTTTTAGATGTTACCAGAAAATCTCGATTAGGAGGTCAGAATAACGGATTCTCGGAATATATCTAGAATGAAATAGGTGGGCATTACACCACCTTTACCTTTACTTGAATTTCACTGATGTAGAGGACTTTTCAGAATATTTTGTCGATAAATATATTTTATATAGAGCTTATAAAGTTTTCTGCCTGTTATTATTATGAGCATACATGAGTTACATTTTTGATCGTTCGGTTAGGAATTGCAACGTCTTGAATTGTCTCAAAAGAAAAAATCGCCTACTGTGAGCTTGGGTGCTCATTTACAACAGCCTACCAACAGAACGCATCGTCCATCTAAGGAGCTACCAGTAACAGTAAGCTGATTATTTTATTATGGTACTGCCGCTAAAGTAAGGGTCTTTTACTGAGTTGCTTTGTATGGTACACGTTTTTGGTCTCGTGTTGTACCAAGTGTTCTGTGTTATGGATAAAATAAAATGTTTTGTTTAATTTTCGTAGCGTCTGACAAATATAACTGCCCATTTTATAGGCTTATTCTGTTTTTCATTTACTCTGATTCTGTTGTAATCATTCTGTGTATCAGTCCTTGAGTATACCAATTATTTTATCCCATTAACTCATATGTCTCGTTTCTTTAATATGCTTACTGGCTTGCTCTCATTTTGCGTCATGGATTTTCTCTTTTCAAGTCATCTGAAACAGATAATGTTAACAGGACAAACAACGATTTTGACCTTCTGGGGCTTGACAGTGCTTCTAGTTCAGAAAATAAAAATAATCTATTTGATCACGGTGGTTTTAGTCAAGCAACTTTTGGAAATCAACAAAAACAGTCGACTGTTGGACAACAACCAGTCAGCTCACTAGTAGATACGACCCAACATATACAAAAACCTAAAGTAAGTATTTCGTATAAATATCATTGTTTTATTAAGAAAAATCGAAATGCAGCTAGATAAATAATCACTGTTTGTACGCTATATCACACATGTTCACAATTTTTTATGCAGGATACTGCATCTAGCGTGACATCTGATCTTCTGGGTTTGGACTTTGGATGCACTAACTTGGTCGGTGAAAAGGCTACAAATGCAGCTAATGATGGACAAGTGTCTTCAGGATCCACGTCAAAGATAACCAAAGATTCAATCTTGGCTTTGTATCAGCAAAGCGCACCGCAGTCAAGTAGTTTGAGTTCCGCATTATATCCCGGAACTATGGGACAGTTCTCAACTTCTAACTTTTCAGGAAATCAATACTTTGGATGTAATCCTCCACTTGATAATTTTACGCATAACAAAAATATAAACAATTCGGGTACGTTTTAATTATTGTACAAATCAGTGTGCGAAAGCGATTTTAAAATCTAAAAGTTTAATCTGTTGAATAACGATTATTTTCACCAATCATATTCATTATTATGTTCCTTGTTTAACATTATTTTCAGTGCTTTTAGTTCATACAACATCTACTTATGAATTAATTCATCATTCTTTTAACTCACGTATTATAACTAAGTTCCTTTCATTATTGTTTAGTTTAGTTAGGTAAAACATTGATATATAGATGTTATCTCTATATTCTCACTAGGTATCATTTCCGTCTTTAGTGTCCTTCAGTAACATCATTGCATGATTCTAGATAGATTATATATGAAGCTTAATGTGATCTGATTAAGCTTGTGATGTATTATGTCATTTTGAATATTCATTCGATTTTTAGCGTTATTATTTTTTATTATTTGAACACATAAACATTGGTACAAGGGTGCTTCAAATACATATGCGCCACACAATAACAATGAGGCCAGCAGCAGTTATCATTGATTCGTGTGAGGTCTGGAATACTGCCTGGGTGCCCAAACCGAAGCAAGCGGTTTTCTTAGGGAGTCACATCCCGAGCCTTTGACTTGAAGGTCTAATCCACAAGGCAGTGGAGCAACGTAAGGAGATTCAATCCCATAGTAGCCGGTGACCAACCATAGTTCCATAGGTATTTCTCTCCCTCAGGATCCTAGAGTCAATATGCACAATTGGTTTGAACTCAGGGTTTTCCAACTCTTCTAGGGGAATCCTCCATATCCACCAACCCGATTAAGGCGCCGGACGTTCGCTTTTCCTCACAATTTCGTAAACAACATTTCAGTTTCAGTCTTTTATATAGTCGGTATTTACTTTATCCTTGTTGTTGTTGTTTGTGCCTCGATTTTCGTTTTATGGGTTTTTAAGTTACATTTTTTCTAAATTCTTATTGTAGTTTAGTCATTGTGACTTTTCCTTTTGAATTAGGGTTAATCGTTTATCCGTCTCTTAGGTAGTTATCACTAATCACTACTGCATTTTGTTACTATGTTGAATTCCTATATGCGTATGTCTCCAAACGTGGCATCAGTGCCTGAAGTCACTAACTTCTAATCTGAGCCATGTTGGTAGATGCAGACTACTTGGTTAGGATCCGCATGACTATCGTAACCAATGGTCAGAGACTCTTGGTGACATGTCTGATAATCAATCATAATGGTGTCGGTGTATACACTCTTTGTCTTTCGTTAATCTATGAGATTGAAATCACTTCATATCTTTCTTTCTACGTACTGAATCTTATTTCCTGTTCTGTATCCTTATATGCCATCTTTCTTTTATGTATTACCACCATTGAATTAACTACTGTAAATTCGGTGTTCATCTTGTTATGCTAATGAGATATGGCAACTTGGACCGGTGGATATATGTACCTGGTCCTACATTGTAGTTGACTGGATGACCGTTTTACTCTTACAAAGGTTGTCTATAAGCTATAAATGTTTTAAATTAGTAGTTTTTACATTATGTGATAAATAATATGTTACTTTATAGATGGTTTACTAGATCATGTACTAAGTAACTTATGTTTTCGTAATTGTAGGCATATATTTTTCCTACTCCATAAATGATTGTATTTTAGCAGACTTATGTTTCCCAAATGAGAGCTCGTGCAGTAAATCACTTTCAACGCAACTGTTATATGGTATATTTTTCCTTATTACGAGAATATTAATCCAAGGCCTGCAAATATTTGTAAATGCAAACAAGTGGTTCCTTCGAATCATTACCTGGTATTGATCCAGACTACCAGGTCGAGGTCCACACGATTGTCGTAACCAAGTGTTGGAGCTTTGAGTTATATGGTTTAGAGTCATTCGTAATAGCGTATGATCATCCACACTTGTTCTCTGGAACCTTTCTGTCAGTCGGTCAGTCAGCTACAACGTAGGACCAGGCACATGTGTGCATCGGTCCAGGTTGCCATACCGCATCATCACAACAAGATGAACACCGGATTCATAACAGTGGTTAGGTAAAAGGTGGTAATATGTAAGAGAAGATTGCATATAGAGATATAGTACAAGAAGAAAGAATTGGTTCGTAGAAAGAAAGATATGAAGCGATTTTAATCTCTTAGTTTAACGGAAGACAGGGAGTGTATACACCGACGCCATTGTGATCGATTCTGAGCCATGTCACCAAGAGTCTCCAACCATTGGTAACGATAGTCACGCGGACCCCAACCAAGTAGTCTGCATCTACCAACATGGCTCAGACTAGAAGTTAGTGACTTCAAGCACTGATGCCACGTTTTGGTTTGGCCACCCCTAAATTTCTTCCAACCATCTCCAACACCGATTGCCATTGCACGTCGTGGTAATCGGTGTTCAGGTATACGTAACACGTGGCCCAACCATCTCAGTCGATGAAGATTCATAACTTCATCAACTGATTTACCATCATTTCCTAATACCCTGCGTCTAACCTCACTATTACTTACCCGGTGATCCCAGCAGACGCCAGCAATATTTCTAAGGCATCTGTGGTCAAATACTAGAAGCTTACAAGTGTCTTCTATTCTTAGTGGCCATGTTTCGCTGCCGTAAAGTAAAACAAAGCGAAATGCCGCGCAGTATACTCGTCTTTTTATTGATAGACGGATATCTCGCCTTCGCCACAGGTGACGTAAGTTGGCAAAAGCCAAGCGAGCTTTCGAATCCGTGCTGAGATTTCGTCTGATACCAACCCATTAGGGTTGATCAGACTTCCAAGATAAGTGAAGTTGTCAACGCGTTCGACTACTTCATTCCCTATCATTAGTTCAAGTGTTGACGCAAACCAGTCCTGAATCAACAACTTGCATTTAGAAGTAGAAAAGCGCATTCTAAACATTCTCACATTGTTGCTTAGTGCTACCAAGACTCTACATTTTGTCAGCGTCTTCACCAAACAGGACTATGTCATCTGCGTATTCTAAATCGATAAGTGGACCTCCTGGATGGAGATCAATACCCAAGAACTCAGTCGACGAGAAAGTTATTTCCATCAGTAGATCTATGATGAAGTTAAACAAAAATGGAGATAGTGGACATCCTTGACGGACACCACTTGAGGTTGCAAAAGTAGATGACAGTTCGCCATAAGTTCTCACTCGACTAGTAGTGTTCGAGTAAAGAGCCTTTATAAGGTTTATGTACTTCTGGGGTACGCCTTTCAATGACGGACACTGCCATAGCATCTCGCGGTCTACAGAGTCAAATGCTGCTTTTAAGTCAAGAAAGACCACCATTTTCGGACGCCGATAAGTATGCCTGTGTTCTAGAACCTGACAAATGGTGAATATGTGGTCGATGCAGCCATGACCAGGTCTGAAGCCAGCTTGGTTCTCTCGTGTTTGCAGTTCACGAGTCTTAGTTAGGCGTCTGATAATTATCGAAGCTAGTATTTTAGATACTATATTTGTTAAACTAATCCCTCTGTGGTTGTCACAAGATGATTTTGACCCTTTCTTATATATTGGGACGATAAGTGATTGTGACCAGTCAGATGGAATAACGTCTAACTCCCAGATCTTAGCTAAAATATTAGTCAACCTAATCGCTAAAATTGGACCACCATCCTTAAAGACTTCTGGACCAACTGCCCTTGCTCGTTTGAGATTATCTATAGCCTTTTGAACTTCAGCAAGAGTTGGGGGACCTACTTCAATGTTCCATTCACGCTGTCTGGGAATGGAGGGTAGTTGTAGAGTCGCTGAAGGCCAGTTGAACTGTTTTCGAAAATGTTCCGCCCATCGTTCTAAACGTTTGGACTGGGAGCAGATGAGTGTATCGTCTTTTTCCGATATAATCTCACTTACACTTGACTTATTAATTCCAGTTTCTCTTATTAGTCTGTAAAGCTGTCTTGTGTTCCCTATAGTCGCTGCCTTTTCCATCTCGTTTGCTTTCGTTGCCCACCACTGCTCACGGTCGTTCCTTAGACGTGTTCTTAACCTAGATCTGATTTGTTTACGCTCTTCATCATGTTCAGAACCTGATGGGACGAGTTTACGAGAATCCATCAGTGTGATAGACTTTGAAGAAATCCACTGGTTCTTTGAAACTCTGTGGTTTAAGTTGCTAATAGATGTCACTGCTGCTTCCACAGCTGCTTGTATATCTTTCCAAGCAACATCTGAGTCAACCTCGTTTTCAGAAATACCTAAGTGTGACCTCAGTTGTTCCTGGAACCTACTTTTGGTTTTCTCGTTACTCAACTCAGTTCTAATGGGTCTTTTCAATGTGGCGTTTTTGCGTCCGGTGAGGAGCAAGCAGATGCGTGCCCGTATTAGGGCGTGGTCGGAGTCCAAGCAGGTACTCCAGAATGAGCGACAATCTTGTACCGACCCTCTTCAACGATGACTGATTGCAATATGGTCTATTTGAGTCAATCGTTGGTTTGGTGTAGGGGGTCGCCATGTTAGACGATGTCTCTCCATATGCTCAAAATTTGTGTTTGCTAAAAATGAACGATTGTCTGAGCATGGTTGCAGCAGACGATCACCATTATCTGTTCGTTGTGCCGGAATACTAAAATATCCACCTAAATGCCTTTCTGTTTGGTTTAAACTACCTATCTGAGCATTAAAGTCACCTCCCACGAGTACTATGTCTGAGAGTTTAGCTTTCTGAAGAAGTTCGGACAGCTTTCTGTAAAATTCATCTTTCATTTCATCTGAGCTGCAGTCGGTGGGAGCGTAGGCAGAAACGACAAAAAGGCAACGACGTGTGTCCCTATCCTTCCGAGTTCTTACGGAGCCGTTTAGCCGAACAGCACATAGACGACTGTTGATGGGGATCCACTCTAGCAGTGCTTGTTCCGCCCTCATGCTTAGTGCTATGCCTACACCTGCCAGTCCACGAGAACTGGCCATCGGGTCACCAGATACACGTAGGGTGTATCTCGTTGGCTCTCCGTTTTGCCGAGGTGAGGTCAAGTGAATGACCACACTGGAATCCTGTATGCGTGTTTCGGAGACACAGCATACATCAATGGAAAGAGACTCTAGGGTTTTAGCCAAGGAAGCCTGCTGACCGATTTGACATAGAGTGCGTACGTTGAAAGCTCCAATGTGTAGTTTGGAGCGAGGTTTCAGTAGACCTGGGACAGTGTTTTGAGCACTAGAATCGTTGGCTATGGTGACACTTGAGGAAGAAGCCAAAGGAGGAAGTTTAGGGTTGAAAGTCGATGTAGGAGGAATAATAGGAATTGAAAAGGAAGGTTGATTATGAATACAGTGGTCTTGGGTGCTGTTAGAGGTATGAGGGCGGTTACCACTTCCCGGTTGACCGCACCGTGGAAGGGTTCTTCTGGAGGTACCTGAAAAGGAAATTGGATTAGAGGCGGTCTCAGCGACCTGAGAGCGTGACCGCAGTGCCCAAGGGACAACTGCCTGAGGCCGGTCGCGCACGGCCTTTTCGTGGAAGGTTTTTGACGTGTTAGCTCCGTTCTTCAAAGAGCCTTACCGCCGGAGACGGAAATCCGTGAGGTAAGGTGAGGTGTGCATTTTTAGGGTCGATCTTTTCTAACCCCACCCCTCCTTGTGGGAAGGCAGCATCGCTGTCATGCTGGTTTTTTGAAGGAAACACCTTACTGCTGTCACACCCCTGTACAGTCAGCAGTACGACTTCGCCTTCGGACCTTAGGTTTGTTGCTTTTAGTCTTACCGCTCTTCAATCGACCTTTCTGACATGGTAGGACTTCGAGGAACAGTTGTTCCAGCCAGTATAGCTCGGTTGCTTCATCACGATAGGCAAGCCCGACCACCACGTTTAGGTAGCAACAACGGTCGGGCTGACGTGTCACTACTTAAACCGATTCACACATGTTCCATCTTCTACGTTGCTTATGACTAACTGGCTGACCTACATGATATAAAGTATGATAAAATGTAATCAGGTTTACAGTTTAATATCGAAAATTTATAGTTCTTTGTACTGGTAAAAGAAAACTCCTGGTGTAATTATAATAATTAGAAGATTGCTAGTTACTTACTTAATTAAAAATGGCCACTTATGATATTACTTAATTTGTTTAGTACACTTATTTTATCTTGTAAAGAAATCACAAACAATTATTTATATGTTTCTGTACGAACATGAACTAGCAGAGTGGAAATTTTCTGAAATTTGCTCTCACGCAAATGTGAAACTCATCTATAAGTAATTGATTATTGTTATATGCAGTGGTATTACTTATTATTTGTAAATAAAAGGAAATGTGTGGTTGAGACTTAAAGATAACATTATAGTGAACTAATGCCATATCTTGGTTTTGGCGCCCCTAGTTTTCTTCCAAACTATTTCTGCGCTACCAAACATCTTGTCGATGTATTTGGTATGCATAGCAAAGGTCGTAACCACCTCAATTAATGAGGATTCATGATGTTATCGACCAGTTTGTCTATCTTTACCTAGTACCATCTGCTACATGTCTCACTCAGTCGTCCTACGAAACCTGAGCAATACTTGGAAGACACCTATGACCAAAGAACTTCAGCATACGCATATGTTCTACTTTCAAGGACCATGCTGTACAATCATAAAGTATAACAGAGCAAACTGCTGTACAGTACACACTTTCTTTGGTTGATAGCCAAACATCTTGTGCACCCCTCAAGTGAAGCAAGTTGAGAAACACTAGCCGAGCTTTCTGAATCGATGTCGAGATTTCGTCAGGCATAACCCATCAGGGCTGATGACAACCAGAATAAGTGAAATGGTCAATAAAGCCAACCACTTCACTCCATAACATCACTTCGAGCATTGATGCAGATCAGTCTTGAGGTGAAATTTTGTGTTTAGAGAGCTAGAAGCATTCTGAACATCCTTGCATTACTGCTCAAGGGGGTCAGGAGACTGCATTTTGTCAGCATCTGCGTTAATTGTAGTTTAGCTACTTTTGGTAAGAAGAATTATTCTTCCTCATGTGTAACAGGTTTAATCATGCCCAAAAATCAAGTTTTTCACGAAGCATGAGAAGTTGACTAGTATGCATCCAATTCCATTTTTGTTTCTTTTCTGTAACTATGGTGACTATTATGTTTAGCTTATTTTCCTAATATTATGATTAATCGGTTGGTAGGTTATTTCTCGTCTGTGCATTTATGAGCCATGTGTGTATTTGTTGTTGATTCCTCCATTTATGATAATTTAAGTGAATGAGAAATCTTATCGTCTTTTTAAGGTAATGGGGAAACGAAAGAGCCATATTTTCCTCCCAATCAATTTTTATCATACGGTTTGGGTATAAATCCAGCTGGAACTAATAATTTGAATGGATCATTGCAATTCATTGTGAGTAAATTATGCATTGTAAGCTTTCTTTTTACCATAGTTTTAATTTTTAAAAGGGATCCAGTTAATATGTTTCATGTATGTTATGTTCTCAAGTACGTTTATGGTTTAGTTTAGTATTAATAATTTTAAATTAAGCCATTTGTATATTTTTATACTAAGGATAACTGAAAATGTAACCGACTATAGTTGCTTGCATTGTTGATCTTCCTGGTACTTAGGTTTAAATGTAGTCAAAACTTCGAACATGAAAAATACATCAAATATTGTTTTAGGTATTCTAGTGTGGTAGAGTGTACTGTTCGTCCTACAAACTTATCACTAATCCTTTGAAATTTTGAGCAGTCATTTAGTACATGTTTAAAAGTAAAGCTCTTAAGGTTAATCATTTTTAAAAGATATGCTCTTGTTGACAGTGCGCCGTACCAGTAAAATATTGAGTTGGTAACTCATTTAAATTGCTTTATATCTTGTACAAACTTTCAATTAATGAGGTGTGAAAGTTATCTTTCAGTATGAGCTTGTGGTAAACTTCAAACAGACAGGCATCATCAGTATATGTCCTGGCATAAATGTGCGTTAGCACAAGTTGCCTTGAAAGATTAGTAAGACCAATGAAAATAGCACAATAGATCGAAAAAGGTGTAGTGGTAATGGTAGTAGTGATAAAAGGAAAACTAAACCTTGTGAATATGGCTTGAGAAGACAGAGTGGAAGAGTATGTATTTAGGAATCCTGGAATCCAAGATTGATAAGAAGAAAAGATTTGCATCTTTGTGAATGATTCTGAACTTTATCACCCAGTATCTCTAACAATTATTTATAATCTCTAGGGCCCCAACCAAGCTTGTATCTACCAACATATAATCTGTCAGTGACTTCATGAACTAATGCCACGTTTTGGTTTGATCCTTAAACTTCATATATCTGTAATTGATTTCATGTATGTCGTTCAGTCTTGTACAACAATGATAACTCATTTTAAAAATAACAATTTAATATAATGCTACTCAGCTGCTAAGTTTGTGACCATATATTCGGAATTAAACCCCAATTTTGTATCCTACTACTCGATCGATGATCGATGGTTCAAAATTGCAACATGAATTGTTGAATGCCTATCATTTTAATCACTAAGCAACTAAATGTTGTTCATAACAACACAGTTCATGTCCTGAAATTTCCCCATGTAACACATTTGACTTGTGGCTTTTCATATTGTAATTAATTGTTTTTATCTTTCTATTTTGAATTTGCAAGCCTCCGTCACCTAATTTCGCTGTCTGGCCTGAAAATAATACCTCCGCATGCTCATCTATTGCAACACAACCGAATCAGAACATTGTTCGTCCGAATCAGTCGTTTGCTTTCAGTAATACATTAAACTCCAACCCTAATAATCCATGCACGAACACATTATCTCAGTTATGGAATATGAATATGAATCCAACATTATCAAATCAAACGTTTGGGAATTTCGTTTCTCACTCAGCAAATAACAACGTGGCACCAAACAATGAAATGTATTTATCTCAGGTAACGTATGATGTGTTTATGTTTTTTTTAAATGTTAGAACACATTCAGTATAGTTTTCATCATAAACTGAAATCAACTAGAAAGCCATGAAAAACTAATATGAAGTAGAAATCTATTTTATCGTAGTTCAGATCTCATCAACGACGCGAACTGGTGAGTTCACTAAGGATCGAACTCATTGCCTTTAGGTTTTAATAATAGCTGTAGACCACTGAATCGAAGCCCAGTAATCACATTTCCAACTTCAGTTATTTTACGATACAGATATTGTTCTTATCGTGAGTTCTTAAAGTCTTTCGTCGTATTCGTCATTGGTGTACATTAACAACAAGTTACAAAGTATAACGACATTGCCGTATTGTGCTTTGCTGTCCTCGTCAGTGGTCAACCAGATAAATTCAGTTAGTGGCAAAAACAAGGCTTTTAAGTTTCATACATACATTTGAAGTCTTGTATTTTTCTTAGCCATGTGTATTTTTTTTCACAAAAGTTTAAATTGTCTATTTATTTTACCTCAATGTACTTCAATTAAAAATTTTCAATATTGTTAGTAGTTTCAAAACTTTGTAGTCGACTTTTGATTCATTACATAATATGTGACCTCCCACTTATTAATATTTATCATTTTTTTGGGCTATACAAAAATCATACAAGGTCACTGATTCCCTCCCTAACTTTATCTCCCTTCATGTGTTAATAGGTTTTGTTTTTTTTAGCGTAAATTTCTAACGCTCGATTGCTACGCTAAATTTGCTAAATAAAATCCGATTTCTATCAATCTTAAAAGTTCATTGACAATACATGATATATTTATTCATCTCAATTTCAGGTTAAAAGTCAATTAACTTCATTATATCTTGGTAAAAGTTCACTGAATCCATAAAATTTGTCAACTAACTATCCGATAGTTTGGATAAATTTAACTATCGTCAAATGTGCATATCTTATAGAAAATACAAACAAAATTATCATGTCACCTTATACATTTAGTTGTTCCCATAGATCAACTGTGATATATTTAAAAATGAATAATCAAATATTTGACATTATAATTCATGTTAAATTTTCTACCATATAAATTCAAATCTTTTGTTTTATTGGGACAGCATTTTAACCCCAGTAGTCCGTTTTAAATGTATGTAAAAATGTTTGTATTTGTAGCGTCTTTTCTCTTCACTTACTCTTACAATCTCACAAATATTGTTTTTCTATTACACTGATACGAATCAATTGTCGTTGATATAGTTTTTTTTTCTTGTTTTGCTTAAATAATGATTCACATTGGTATATATATATATAATCTTTTGACCTTGATTTCCTCGTAACCAATATAAACAAGTTGATGATTTGGCAGATATTTCTTTCATCTATCTTGTTCTTACTACTACACACACTCTTTTTTTCTGTTCACTTGAATGACAAACAATAGGTTTTTGTTGTAATGACCCATTTATAGGTAAAGTTTAATCTATTCTCTTTATTTCCCTACACAATGTTTTAATTAATTACTATTTGTCGATTGGACTATTTTAAATAAGTTTTTGTTTTGAAAAAAAAACTTCTTAAAAATATTTTCTTTTACCATATAAAGTTTTTGTTTATTCCGCTGTTTCAAAAGAATGAATATGAAAACGATGGAAATTTAAATAATCTCGTGCACAGAATATAAAGTAGTTGATAAATCACAAAAAACGATCCACTTTCATTCACAGGAAACATCTGCATCCTCTTACACTTGAGATTGGTAAAAACTAAAGAAAAATTGTCAGTATATTATACAAATATTCGTCAAGATTAGAAAGAATAGTTTGACAGAAATTGGGCACCGAGTATAGAGAAGTCATAATACCTGTGAAAATTATATTTGAAATGATCTCAGCGATTGAAATTTAAATAGTTCCAACGTTTCGCCCAGCAAACTTGTCTGAGCTTCTTCAGGATAATAATCAAACTCATTAAAGAAATATATAGCGTTTACTAATTAAATCAAATCTATACTGTGCTAATCCAATCATATTTGGATGTTGACCTTAGTAAATAGAATGAGTTAGTTAAATGAAAATCATGTGAAAAGTTCATGCATTGTGAACTTAAAGTGTTAGTAATATAATCATAATTCTTAAGATATCGGTTGTTCAATTGGTATTCATTTCAGGCATGTAAATGGAGTACAATGCCTAAGTTATGCGTAAATAATTTTAGCAGACACATTGTTCCGCGTGTTGTAAAACTTGGAATAGCGTTCACTTGTCTGGACGGAATATTTTTAGGTATTGATTGGCAGATACTAATAACAATTGGTTATTTTGTTGTTAACAAATATAGCAAATCTTCAATTCCATTGTTTACTATAAAACAATATACGCTGAAAGCACTCCAAAAAAGGTTTTTGGTCTATTATATTTGAATAAATTGACACTATGGATCATTGTCGAGCTATCAGTTGAATGGAAATCGCCACATCAACCTCCTCGATCATGACAAAGCGCATGGCAGTGTGGATAGAAGAATATCATGGAACCTTCTTCGACACTATGGTGTACCTAAGAAGATCATCGACATCATACGGAATTTATGCGATGGACTACACTGCGAAGTCGTGCATGGAGGACAGCTTACAGATGCATCCCAAATGAAGAGCGGTGTCAGACAAGGCTGCCTACTTCCATCTTTTCTGATTGTTGACGGAATTATTAGGATATTTGTATATCAGAAGAAGCACGAAATACAATGAACTGCTTGGACACAACTAGGCAATATGGACTTTGCAGAAGCCCTGGCCCTTCTATCCCATATACAGCGACAAATGCAGGTGTCGACAGCCAGTGTATCAGCAACCTCTGCAGTAATAGGCCTCAACGCACACGAGAGAGAAAGTAAGATCTTGAAATACAACACAGCACCAACCCAATCACACTTGATAGAGAAGCTCTGCAAGGGGTGTAAAGTTTTATGTATCTGGACAGCATCCCTACATTTGAAGAATATATAAAATTAAAAACAACTGTTGGACGACATCAAATTCAGTAACTACAATATCGACGTCAACACAGTTTTATTGTACGGGGCTGAAACATGGAGAACTACTACAAACCAGCAAAAACGTACAAGTATTTCTAAACAATTATCTAAGCAAGATACTCAATTTCCGTTGGTCGGATATCACCAGCAACCACCTACTATGAGAACAAGTTAACTTCCAGCTGAAAAAAAATAGGCAGAGACGTTCGAGGTGGATAGGACATACATTACGGAAACGAAGCTGGATTATGAGGTAAGCCCTAACTTAGAACCCCGAAGGGAAAAAGAAAATGTGGAAGACCAAAGACAATATTGTACCAAAATTCGAGACAAACGTCAAAAGAATAAATAGCAACTGGAAAGGACTTCCCAGGACAGAGCTCTATGGATAATGCTGGTGAGCGACCTATGCTCCACTAGTGGTAACAGGCGTAGGCAAGTATAGTTGAGTAAAGTACATAAGGTGGTCAGGTCACTGATTTGTCGTTCCGTATTTCCCTAATACACTAGGCTACAATGAACATTCAATTTTCGAGTGGCTCCTGTACGATTTATTTTGATTACAGACAGTTTATTCGGGCACTTCTCGTATTAATGTTGAGCCAATCTATGTGAAGCTTTAGTAAAATTTATACAGTATTAGCAAATGATTATAGTCATTTCGAAAAAAAGGCGAAACAGACATCAACCGGTAGTGGAAAATGCGACAAATTAGTAACAGACGTAATAAGGTCATAGTAATTTCTACCTAGTAGTCAAACGAAATCAGGCCACACGTTGAACTCAGTTTACCTGCATAACTAAGTACATAGCTAACAGTTAATATGCACAAAAGTGATATGTATTTTTCTGAATAAGTATTTTAGTCTTGTCGTTTATCAAGCTGAACCAATGGGACCTATTCTTATAATCCTGGACTACTGGAGATGGTACTTTCAAATTTACTACGCTAAATTCGCATGTTTTTCGAATGATAACGCGAATTAGGGTCACTAACTTTGACAGGTTATAGATTACTATATTCAGGGTGATCAGAATACTCCGATTCCCAAATCTTTCCAAACAATCCAGTCAGTTACTTGAATATAATTTTACTACTATCCCTAAAAAGAGCCAGAATTAGATTGCATGGACCTGGTAACTCGCGGGACTTCAGTAGTTAGGGCTCCTGACTGATTTCCGACTTATTAAGTGGATCAGCAGTCATCGACCAGGAAGGACAGTCTGATTGACGTTTCTCGTAGGTGCAACAGATCAGTTGAGCTGTTCCTTGAGAACACTCCCCATCAAACAAGATGTTGCTGACTAGCGTCCCACTAACTTCACAAATTGCTTCACACGCCAGACTAGTCGCCGATTGTTCGAGTGAGCTCAAACAACTCCGTACAATAACAAATGCAGTTGCTGCTTCGAAGCTGTTAGCACGCTTACACTACCAGGTTTCTCGGCTCTTCGCCAACTTCATAAAGTTCCCTCACGAAGAAATCTGCGTGTCATCAAACTGGAGGTTCGTCGGAGTGGATGGGCGAGCTTGCAAAAACCTAGGACTTATGAACGAGTTTTTTGAACTGCAAGCGACTTGGCTTTATGAAGACGCACAATGCTTACCCATACTCTTCGGCGAACTGACTGCTAGTCTTGAACCTTACACTGATATCCGGTTGTAACAGAAGTTACAGTCAATTTACTGGTATCAGTCAGTTCAAGACCAGACGTTTGCTGGGCACTAAAGTGCAGGTTATGCTTGGTGCAAACCGGGGCATGATCCGGTTCCGGATAGTTAGTCCAAAAAAATCGACGGTTTCGTACACAACTATTCTAGAGGTAGGCGAACCTGGTGAGATCATTCTGAATTCCGGCCTGAGTTGCTAACAGGACGCTAGACAGCACATTGAGGGTGATTACACTAGGAGATGGTCTCAGCCGCAAACAGACTGTAGTCCGACCAGGAGAAGGTCACCGTTATCTGACCTGCGAACATCAAGCACTCGTCGACCACGCAAGCTACTTTCCCGTAGTTAGGTGCCCGATCTGCAAATTTAAATCTCCGGTTAGCACTACAAATATTGACCTGAAGCACTTTATTGAGAAGACCATTTATTTGTTAGTAGAACTCATCCGGACTACAACTCATTAACGTAAAACATCGTACTCTAACTTCAGTCGTATTAGAGTAAAAAGTCAATTACCACAAGTGGAGAATATAAAGGGAAACACTTGTTACGTTTAAGATTTTGTTATGCAGCGACACTGTGAAGGTATTTTTTGTCAGTTATCCTAAAAATTAAGTGCCGAATGTGAATTGAGTAAGATTTATTTCGTGTAACATAATGTAATTATATTTTCGTTAAGGAATTTATGCTCCACAAATTTTGAAAAAACCAATTTTTAAGAGTGAGAGTGAAGAAAACACTTGTCATTTCTCAAAATGTTAAGATAATAATGCATACATATGAAAAATAATTTAGATAAATAGAGAATGTATCACACCAACTGCTTTCAACTTTAAAAAATAACGCAACAGAGTTACTCAAAGTGATGTGATATAACAAAAAGAACGCTATAATGATCACAATTACAAAATCATAAATGAAAAATTTCAAGTTGATTTGATCTTTAAGTATTTTTCTGATAGAGAGATATTACACAACCAGTAAATTAAAAATTTGTCACTAAGAATACACATTTATCACAGAAGGTTATTTTGAAAGCAATATTGCACGCTTTCCTTCTTAAATATTGTTCTTTACTGACGCCAAACTGCAGAGATATAACTACTCCAATTGGAAGAGAGATTTTGTTGTTGATTAGGTGTAGAACAAGTAACACTGTGATTTAAACCCTCTTCTAATAATTTAAACTCGTCTGATTTCAAAGAAAGAAATGTAGCCAACGCACGCATGAGATGATTACGTTCTGAAGATTGTTTAGGTAGTGTTATAACTTTCAGTAAGATGTCTTTCAAATGTTCAACAAGTACACTAGTGTTACTATGAAGAGAGTTGTTCGATTCCAAGATATCTTGATTTTCTGTACATTGTACTTTTAATGTTGGATTGGAGTTATTTTCAAGACGTCGAATTTCTTCTTTTAACACCTAAATTAAATAAAAATCAGCTATATAGTTGAAGTTAATAATGATTAGTGAATTGTCAATTACTAGTTAACATGACAGTTGTTTGAAACAATAATCGATATTAGTTAATAGAATATTGAGAATAAAAGCAATCTAGAGTAAATTAATGGTCATAATATGGATTTATTTATGAAGGCCAATTTCGTCTACAAACTGACCTACATTGAATATTTGGAATTCTTTAATTCATAACAGTTGAATCTAAACAATTGTCATATCTCCCTCCACCTAGTTAATCTATTAGATAAATAACACATAGGAATACAAACCGATAGTTGCTGAGCACTTTCAAGTTTCTACATTGAAATATTTAATCTTTTGATGATCATTATTACAAAGTTAACTCATTCATCATTTAAAAATTACATTATTACTATTATATAGCATATAACCGTGAAGTTATTATAGTATCTAACTACGTGAAGAGCAGATTTCAAGCAGTTACATAAAAACACTAAAGGATTCATATCTACAAAGGTTAGTAAACGTTTTGGTAAAAAGTAATCAACGGAATACACTCATTAAGACATTAAATAAGAAAAATTAGTACAGCCAAAGTTCTCTTTTCGGCGAATTCATTTTCAAAGCTGTACAATCGCAAATACATATATGCAGTCACAACTCCGTGATGTTACGTTTTTATCCGTTATAGTTATTGCTACCGCCACCAATCGAAAATTTATCAGTGATCTGTTGTGTTCAGAAGCTACTGTGATGAGTATTGAGGCAGATATTCACTAGTTAAGAAGCTGTTGATATCATCGTTGCTTTCACGTTAAACTAAGGGTAAATTTAGATAGATTAAGTTCTTGAAAACAATCTTGACATTTTCCTCTAAAAAAGGGGAAAATATTTGAGTTATCCTTTTGATGAATCTGCTAAGTGACAACTGCCACACTGGAATCATCAAGGGCGGAGTATACACATTCACTTGATGAGCAGCTAACGCCCAACACTCTTCTTCAAAGGCAACTGCTGAAAAAATGGTCAATTTTTTCATCGGTGAGTTGGCGTCAAATTTTCTCGTGTTATGCAATACCGTTCTTATTCCCAAAAACTATTCTCTGGATTGAGTGATGAAAGCAAACAGTCAAAATTAACTATTTGCTGAGTTGGTGTTATAAAAGTACCACGTAGATGTTGTCTTATCATATTAGCCAGTCATATGATAATTTACGCACGCAGCTGATGAACTGATAATTATTTTCGACAAGAAACAGATTGTATTGTGTGATTATACTCATACCCAATAGTGACAAAGGTTTTGAAAGTTGTGTAGTTTGAGCTGTTCGAGTCAAGTGACTCAATTTGGAGTGAGAGAACCTTTATTTACAATAGAGGAGACAGTAGAACACCTCGTATATATCTGGGAATTGTTCTAAACGGTTGTATAGTAACAGCCAAATTGAAAAATGTTGATCCTTTAAGTTTCAGTGAAAACATTTGTTCGATCGAAGGACAACAAAGTTGTTGCGAGTGCTGTGAGATGTTACTTTTGGAAGATCCATATATAACGGGTTTTTTTTTACAGATAATGCAAGATACTTCACAGAAATCGACTGTTAAGACTTACATTTACATTCTAAATGAAAACCAGTAAATTTTTCATTTGATCAATACTACGATATTATCTTGAATGAAATGTAGAGAATATTTTCAAGTAATAAACTGTGAAATAGTTAGCCACCTGTTAGTGATTTGATTACAATACAAGCTTAATGTTAGTAGTGAATTTAGACTGGTTGAATTATATCCACAAAGTGGATGAATGCAGTTGCCAAATGTGAAATACTGAAACAGTTTAAATCGTAACTAATAGATGGAACAGATGTATTTATGATCTCAAATCAATTACAAAATTTAATATTTCTTAGAGTTAACTATTCCAGTAATAGAAAGCTGTAATTTATACCAAGATAGAGTGCCAATATGAAAAGAACTGTGAAGTTAATTAGTCTACAATTGTGTCAGTCAAAATTATATGAAGAGCACACGTAGTGACAAAATTTGAAGCCTACAATCGGTTTTCCAAATTTATCAAATTCTACATTATGCTGTGGGGATTATTATTGCATTCGCATTTTTTTAATGGAAGTACTTACATTGTTGAGTATCATTTTTATTACACAAAATACTTCTGTGTATCGAATATAAATAAACTTAGCGTATATTAATTTTACAAGTACAAATATACTTTATGAGAGGGCAATTTCACATTTAAGAACCAGAAACCATCCAAGCTTTTTACAGTATGAACAGTACAGTTCAATCATGTGTAACAACCATACAAATACCAAGAACCCTTCCCGACTTTTTGTCCGATGAAAATGTGTTATATTAATTAATTCTTTAGAATATAACAATAATATCTAATATGCAATACCATACTCACTTTGTTTTGCTCAAATAAACGAGTTACATTTGTTTCACTTTCACTTAACAATTCAGAAAGATATTCAACTCGACGTTGTTGATTGGTTAAAGCAGACTGTAAACCAGCTAATTGATTAGGCTGAACATTACGAACTTCTTGAAATGATTTAACAGAATGCTGAGATGACATATTTTCAGATGGTGAATATTGATTGGGATGATTAAGAAGTTGTTCCAAAGTAGGTATGGTGATCTGAAAAAAAGATAATTGGTCGAAAAACAGTCCAATGTGTTTTACAGTAGATCAAACCCGATATATATAAAAAATCATAAATAATCGTCAAGTTACTAGTGAATTTGTTATTTTGCCTTAAAGTATGAGTTTGTTACTGTATAATGGTTTGGGTTAATTTCCATCGGTTGAATGATATATATATATATATATCATTTTGTCAGCTAATTGTAAGCATAATGACCATGGTCAGATTAATCGTGAAAACTATACAATCTAAACCTCAATATCAATCAATCTGTAATTGTACTAAACAAATAGGGGCCAGCCACACGATATGTTAGGCGTTGCTAATACAATGATTATATCGGCTTTTTTAAAACTACTTTTGAATTACTCAACCAAATGTAGAATTTAAATCTAGCCCAATAAATCGCATTCTTATCAGAATGGAAGTTTGTGGAGACTGTAGTAGCTTAATGGTTGAATTCATGACTCGATTTAAGCTGATTCTTAAAGTTACATAAAATAACTCAACAAAAGTGAGCATTTATTCGTCATATCAACTGCTGGTAACTAGGGTAGAGAATAATTAGGTGTATTACAAGTGAGTTGTGAATCACTGTGTTCGTTCAGTCGAAACTCAAGAGGTGATATTACGCGATTGCCAAGTTGGAAATAGATAAGGGGGGGTATTTGAATTTGCAGACATGTGGTTGAAGGTTTTGGTGTTAGAAAAACTAAGCTACTGTTCATAGCTAAACATTTGTATGATAGTGAATGCAATATACGGAAATATAATGGTTTTGATAACTAATAGTTTTTGATAACTGTTCGTTAGCCAATGAAACTATTTATAATAACATTTCTCGCACAATTACAGGGAAATAAATTGATTAAAAAGTAAAAGCTGAACCTTAATGTGTATTGGTTTACCAAAACCTAGACAGAAAGAATAAAAAAAGAATAGACGATAAATGCGACAAAGTCTGAAAAAACAACAACGTTAAATTCAATTTTTGTGTACTGATTAGGTATAGAGTAGCTAGTTATTAGGAAAAAATAATAAAAAGTAAACAAATGTTAGGATAAAAAGTAATTACTAGATAAAAGCTCCATTACAGACAAGGCATAACCAAATACAAAAACGTTTAAGTATCGTTTAAATAAGAACCGTAAGAGAAAAATGTAACGAGATGAAAAGTAAAAGAATGGAAAAATATTCCTTATTTAAATACTTAGATAGTAAATTTAAACCCCACCAACAATCAATATACACATCCATTTAGGATTCTTACAACTTCAAATGAAAAATATTCGGATTAATTATATTAGATAACGAAACTATGGTAAGCAATGAAGTTGTATATTTAAGTGTCTAAACTTCGTAAATAGTCTACTGGAAAATGATGTTTATTAAACACTATGAAATTCTAAAACTGTTTAAACTTCTTTTCACATGTAGAAAAATCTCATATAAACAAAAATACGGAATAGCATTGAAATCCCCTGTATTCCTCTCCCATTATTACAAATTAACATAATATAAAAAATAATAGGAGTTTGTCACACGACCCCAGGCCGTAAAATGTCTTAAATATTATTGGAGTAGGCTCAACATTACGAAGAATTGTTTTTGTACACATAAATCGGGGTTTGAATTATCCGATAGCCAAGGCTTCCATAAACCTGAGAAACCGTTCTTTGCAATTCCTATGCGACGTTTAAAAAGCTGTGTTAATGTGAAATCTTTGACACATTTCAACATCCTAAAAGCCCTATACACAAACACCTCAGGCAGAGTGAGGGCATACAACCACCTTTCTCCATTGTTCTATTCGAGTAGTGGGGTTAGGCAGGGTTGCCCAATCTCACCATTCCTCTTCAACTTTGCCATCGATGACATTCTGGAAACAGCTCTGATGAATGTAAGTAATGGTGGTGTGGATCTGTTGCCTGGAGAAAGACTTCTCGACCTTGAGTATGCGGACGATATTGTCTTACTGTGCGATAATGCCCAAGGCATGCAATCTGCACTTAATCAGTTGGCAATCAGTGTCTGTAGGTATGGTATGTGCTTTGCACCTTCGAAGTGCAAAGTACTTCTACAAGACTGGTAGGATTCCAATCCTGTACTCACCCTGGATGGTGTGCAGATAGACGTAGTCGAGAAGTTCGTGTATCTGGGTAGCTGCATAAGTGCTGGTGGGGGTGTGAGTGATGAGATCAATGCACGTATAGTGAAAGCCAGAGCGGCTTATGCCAATCTGGATCACCTTTGGCGCCTTCGTGATGTTAATCTGGCTGTAAAAGGTCGGATCTACAACGCGTCGGTGAGAGCAGTCTTGCTCTATGCTTGTGAAACCTGGCCTCTCCGAGTTGAGGACGTTAGACGACTCTCTGTGTTCGATCATCGCTGTCTCCGAAGGAATGCTGACATTCAGTGGCAACACCATGTCCGTAATGCAGAGGTTCGGCATCGTGTGTTCGGGCACAGAGATGATAATTCAATTGGTGTCACCATCTTGAAACACCGACTTCGGTGGCTTGGACATGTTCTACGAATGTCGTCCCAGAGAATTCCACGTCGTGCATTATTTGCCGACTCTAGGACTGGTTGGAAGAAGCGGAGAGGTGGTCAGTGCATGACATGGTGTCGTGGTATGAAAGAAAGCTGCGAAGGACTGGATTGTGTTGGTCCTTCACGACTCCCTGGTTGGGGTCCTAGAGATGGTGCTACACAGTGGCTAGAGACGTTATCAGATATGGCTGAGAATAGAAGTCAGTGGCGATCCTGCTGTAACCTTCTTTTACTTTCTTCATAAAAAGTGGTTGTGTCTCCCTTACCTGAAAGATTTCTTCCGATTGTACCTTTGCGTTCCCTGATTACTAGCACATTACCTTACACCAATCTCTTCGTTATTGTTCTCTTTTTTTTGCGCTCCTTAGCTTTTTTTCTTTCTATTCCTCTTCGAATTTTCATTGTTTTGTGTGGCGCATATATATTGGCGCTCTCTTGTACCAATATTCATGTTTTCAAATAAATAAATAAAGTTTTGATACGTTCTGATAGTCCTCTAATTCTTACGTTTATCGGAGCGTTTGAGACTTCTTGATTCGGAAGCTATCTGGATACCCTTATTTGTATTATTCGATAACTGCTCCCTATTTACGTGTACCCACACAAACATGTGAACTGGTAAATGAAGCAGGATGCGATGTAATCGTTTGTGAAATGTTCAGGCCTATATGGAATAACGAGGTTAGTTTTTCCAATTACAATCAATTTGCCAGAGTAGTATGTCTACGTAAACTCAAGAGCGTACATAATGTCATGGTACATACGAGGAAGAAAATAGTAAACGATTGTTCTTTTTAGATACCTTTGAGCTGGTGCCATCTTATGTTGGTTATGTCCGATTAGGAGAGAAGCTTATCAATCCAGAAAAACTTGAGCTATAGAGCAAGCTACTTTTATACTTTGTAACTGTTACTTAGTTATGCAATGATGTAATACAATGAATAACTCACTCGATGTACAGACTTCTTATAGTTTTCTTCATCTGCCAGTGAATAATGCTCACTGCCACTGTGACTTAGAGAGCAATTCCTAACTGCATGATCTGATTCTGTATCAGATTCCACGGAGGAAATCATGGAATTATCGGCTCCATCTCCTTGAACTCTTTTATGTTGCGAGTTCGCCTGAAAAAAAATTCATGAAAAACTGGTTCTTTTATATTATTTGACATGAACGCAACTAAGTTCCTCATCTTACACAATTACAGGAACGGAACATAATCATGGAATTTCTTAAAACAGTGATCTAACTATAAAGGATTGATGTAATGCACTGAATCAGACAGGTCTGCAACATTTGCTTAATTTTAGTCCTAATTGTTGCAGAACTCTACTGTGAATTATAGTAATATATGAGTTGCTTCTATGCTCTCATTAGTATATGTGCTCTACAATCCGACTAATATTCGACTTGTAGCTGCTAGTTATCATGATCATTACACTATTCCTCTAGTTCCCCACACATTTTTAATAGTACTGCGATGTATGCTACTTATACGGATAGATATAAGTAGTATGTAGCAGGGTTTAAAAATCGAATTCCTACTGGCACAAAAGGAAAACAAGAAAACAGAAGCAGAGAGTAATCGGAGTAACAACATGAACGACACAATGATGGAATTTGTGGGGGATAACTCAAGGACGATATGCAAACGGTATTTAATGTATTGGTTTCATATTCTGCAGTGTGTAATTTTGGATGGTATAACTAGTTTTCGCCTGTCCACGTTTTCATCCTTTACAATTGGTGTCGCTGTTTCTACGTAGAATGAAGATTCTGTAACCATGGAAGTCTAAGGAAAGGGATGTACAGAATTTCCTGAAGAAGTGTGCAGATGTCGAGGGGTTGGTGGGAGTTGGGGAGCCCAAAGTGAATACGGTGGTGCTGGAGACGCTTCCGGGAGGCAGGGAAAAGGCAGTGTATACCAACATAGATAATGCAGACGGCAAAATGGAGTGAGGGGCCGTAACGGAGCGGTTGGTTACAGATGTTGACAGTCCAGCGGACTGGCAGGAGGCGTCGCAGCAGGAGTCTAGACCGGCAAAGTTGACGGTGGATGGTGACCTACTAGTGTTGGCAGTGGAGTGATCCTAGCACCGCACAACGCAAAAATCTAGTTTAGTGATATTATCGACCGCTTTAAACTGAAGTACATGGAACGCTATTTCAACGTACAAGTAACTAGTTTAAATTCGAGTGTTCTGATTAAAAGCCACTGCTTCGAAACAATACAGTAATAAATAGATACGATAATGCCACAAAACTGACCAATTTCCTGCTCTTTTCAAACAGTTTGATGTGTTGAACATAGAAGTTTTGACAATGACAGCGGAATTAGAGTGAGTAAAGTTTATTAAACGAGTAGATATTCAGAAACAAATGCGTTTATTTATCACCTATTCAAACCGTATTTATTGGTGTGGAGAGATTCATCTAAACTAACTAATCTATTCGCCATTGTTCAAAGATGTGGTTTACTTGAGACTATCTAAAGGTTTATTTCATAAGTCGTTTTTAATTCTCGCACCGTAACATGGATGATGGCTTTTTGGAATGAATGTAACAACTAGATAAGGTGTCGTTAATATGTACAAAAGTTGCCAAATATATCTTACTTTTTTCAAAGATACGAGGCTTTAAAATAACGAAGCACTAGTAGAATACATTATGTAAACATTTTAATTATGAATCCGCTTTAGTTCTTTTAAAGATGGCAGTCGACGAAATTAAGTCATAGACACAAGACTCCTGATTAGTATTCTACCAAACAACATATTTCCCTATATTCCAAAACCTATGAAAAATGGATATTGTAAGATATACTATTGATTTACTTCTGTTTTGCACCTTGTGTTGATATACTTCTGTTCTCTTGATGTAATGAAAGAGAGCACAATTTGAGACAATCGAAAGCATTCGAATACAAAATTATAAAACGTCTTAGTAAAATCTGAGAACCATATAGTAAATACTTCAATCGCAAAATGTCTATCAACCGTCTCAGACTTAATTGTTCTTTCATTTCCACACCAATCAATCTCGTTTATTCGATCTTCTTAACTTTCTGCCGCCAGCCATTTCACTTTCGATTGATGATACATTAGTAGCACACACATTAGTATAAGTAGCATAAAAATTTTGAATACTTAAAATAACATTAAACTGCTTTTTAACTCTCAGTAACAAAGACAGACAAAGCTATATGTCAGTGAGCTACCACAAACTAGCACGGAAAAGATAACTGATATAAATAGCAAGAATAAACGATGGATCAAAGAAGTATGTATGAAATCAACATCAAACAGTAACATTATAAGTTGTCGAAACAGAAAATACACCAACAATGATGTATATTCTTGACAGAGGTATACTATGAACTGAGATTACTAGTGAAAAGCTATTTACCATATTTAATGTCAAGTTATAATGTTTGTTACCAAATAGTACTGGAGGACCAGAACACTTACGCTTAGAGGATTCAAATTATCAGGTATTGAGAAATTCCGTCGATGACCATAGGCCTGTTCGTACCTGTACGAGTTTTGAGTGGGTGAATGGTTTGTGTGAATGATACTGGCTAATTTTGTCTCCCATAATTCTCTTTCTTGACTAGAATATATAAAAAAAACAATGAAGCTGTTTAATTGATGGTGGAATGGTCGGACGATTTTCCTCTTTCTATATGTTTGGTTTCAAATCAATTGCATATATTATGCATCTATTCTAGGCTTCTTCGACACTACGGGTGCCTGAGAAGATAGTTAACATCATACGGAATTCTTATGATGGACTAAACTGTAAAATCGTACATGGAGGACAGCTCACATACTCGTTCGAAGTAAAAACCGGTGTCAGGCAAGGCTGCTTACTCTAACCATTCCTCTTTCTCCTGGTGGCCGACGGGATCATGAAGACGTCAACATCTGGGGGGAGCATGGGATAGCTAGGATGCAGCTGGACGATCTAGGAGAAGACGACCAGTGTAGCAGAAGCCTCAGCAGTAGTAGGTCTTAACACACACAAAGCAAGATTCTCCGATACAACACAGCATGCACCAATCGAATCACACATGACGGAGATGCTATGGAAGATGTAAAAACCTTTACATCATTGATGAACACGGTGGTAGGGATATAGCTTGTACACTATTATTCAAAATTCAATATTGAATAAGAGGAACAATTAAACGTACAAGAGACTAAAATAAGTCAAAATGAACAAGGATTTTTTGAAGTGAGAACTCGTAATTTAATATCTAAAAAATGAAAGGAAGCTTAACAAATTTATATTAGATAAACAGTAAAAAATTTCTCACCGTAATTCACTTTCATATTTTTGAGTTTGCAGCATAAGTCGTTCTTCATAATGATGTAGTTGACTAGTATACTTTTGTTCTAGTTCTTTAAGTTCAGCAGAAAGACGATTTTCACATTGTTGAGTTATCGACATTAGTTGGTCCTCTAAGGATTGCTTTTGTTTTTGAGATTGGCATAACAGTTCAGTGTGTCTGTTAAAAAAATACATAGTTCTTACATTGTTCATACGTAACTCGACCGTAGTACGGTTTTGAGCCATAAATTTATGAATAGGTAAACTTTATTTTGTTTACTCAGTTTCTAATTCGTACTTTGTCATTTCTTAATCAATCTTGGTGATAAACCTGACAAACGGACTACTGATAAATGTATTCACTGAATTTTCTCTGTACCTTGATATATACTTAGAGCTCTATAGAAGTAATTACTTTCAGAAATCCTTAAAATGAACTTCTGGAAATATCTGATTTCGGATGAGTGATTATCTTGCTTGATATAAAATAAATTATAAAAACAGTATTAGGTTGTAGAGATTGTTAGCTTTTGACTGAGAACATGAATCGATCAATGTTATAAAAGTATAAAAAACAGCTGTCCAGTGCTTCGTGATTTTCGATGGATTTATAACTTAGGTTGGTTTGTGATATCAACAAGAAAACCTAGCAATTTACAAATATTTAAAATCAAATAGTGTTGGAAAACAAAACGATAAAAGGTCAAGAGATAGAGTTATGTCCTTCATACTGATCGATCACTGAGTAATGACCAGTGTCGTGTTTTTAATCCTTGGTGCTGATTGAACTCATTCAATCAAATGCAATATGATTACTGGTTTAATTGACTTGATATCATAAGCGCTATCGTCAAATATGAGACAGATGAATCCCCTTTTCATTTTCCCACAGATCTTGAGTTCCATACATACCTTCTTTTCGGATCATATTTTGAATATTTAATCCTTCTCACTATATTTGACAATATAACTATTTCAACTCCTTTGTTACTCATCTTGTTAATTTGGTCTCATTGGACGGACTTAATTAGGTCATTATACATTCGCATTAGGCTATACGTTAATAATGACTGACTGACTGACTACTGATACCTGGGTGTTAAGTGATTCGAGCTAATCGACAGGAAGCCCTATACCTTAGTTTTTAGTTAGCAGTCATCAGCAAGACGTGTTTACAACCTTTAGTGAACTGATACTCATTGTACGATTTGAATCCGTATTTCACTGTGACAGACGTTACTAATGAGACAGATATTTGGGTCGCAATTGGCCTAATATAGAATCGCGATATTTACACCGACTGATTACTGAGTCTAAACGAATATGATGTTTACTTAGTTCTTAATGCAGATCGAATACCATCGATTAATTAGTGTTTGTTTGTTTAGTACGTATTTGGAAATAATAAAAATGTATTTACCTTGTTTTAACTTCGATCAATTCTTTCTTCAACAAATCACATTCTGATTGTGCTAAGGACGCATGCAATTCAGCCTCTTTCATACGATTTTGTACGTCAAAAAGATTGTGTTTCATAGATTCTAATTCATTTGAATAATAAAATGATCTGCTTTCGATATCAGATTGGTTAGTATTCACCCCTTCACAACTAGGACTATTATTAGTATCTGTTGTGTTCACCTCATTGGTTAAAGTGCGTACGTTACATAGAGCAAGTTGAGCCTTAGATTGAAAAAGTTTGAAGTGAAGAAAATCTTTTAAATAATACGATCGATTAAATAAATTAACACAACTTCAGTATATATATAATCTACAAAACCTTAATTTTCCGACATATCGACAAATAGTATTTCAACATTTAAAGAGTTAATAATGAAAATTAGCCAAATCTAATGTGAGGAAATTAAAAATGAATCACTTTTATTGGGTTGAAAATACATTGCAACTTCATTTGTAGTAAATTACAGATATTCTACCATAAAAAAGGATCCTATTATCAGCCATATAGTTTCCCAATAAAAGAGCTGTCCAGTAACGTCATTCACCTTTCATTGTACCCACCTATTCTGGCTCACTTAGTGGACATAAGAGAAAAGTAACAAACGCTCACAGTTTACTATCATGTGTAGATTATCAGTCAAGCTTATAAAGTTTGTGAGTCTTCAATTAATGGGTATAGCAGTGTTAATGGAATATAGATTGGATTAAAGGATGTTCCGTGCAGAATTGTATCGGAGTACGCTGATTGGCCATTTATAAGCCAGTGAAAGCCAGTGGACAAATGAAAACTGTAGAATCTTTCCGTGTAAAATCATAAGTATATCAAGGTTTTTTATTGTTATTCTTACTCATATTCAGCCTTACTTGACTGGAATATAATTACATGCTTGTTCAACCGTGTTCTGATTTTGAGTGAAATAGTGTCCGAGGAATATTAAGCGATGAGAGTGGCTGGGTCTTAATAAGAGAGTTCACAACAAATAGAGATAATAATAATTACCGAACACAATCTTTCTTTTATATATTACCACTTTTGAAGTGACTACTTCTATAAATATGGTGTTCATCTTGTTGTGCAATGAGGTGTAGTAACTTGGACCGATGAATATATATGCCTGGTCCTATGCTGTAGCTGACCGACTAAAACATACGAAAACCATTTATTTGATTTCTTCCCACTAGTGAATCATAATTCGCTGTCCCAGTCATGTTGGACAAAAGTGAATATTATCATGTGTGACTATGAGTTCTAGTCCTTTAGTTATTAGTATGAGGTCAATATGACGCAAAACGTTTGTTTGATTATAAAATGAGATGTAAGTACATTCACTCAAAAATTGTGAAATGTAAAAACATTATCAAGGAGCTAATCAATCTAGTCCGATAAGTGGTAAGTTACAAGTTAAAACAAAGTTTCAGAGTGGTAGATAAGTGAGAGGAATCACTTATGATAGTCATGTACGAAAGATTGACATTTCTCCCTCTTCTAAGCAAAATTATCATATTCAACTTATCAATCACTAAATCATATTTATATATCAAATACTAGAGTTAGGAAGTTTTTTTAAATTATTAGGTTTATTATTTACCTTGACTTTGTATGCATTATATTCGTTTTGTAGCTTTTGAAGTCGATCCAGTGCTAAACATTTATCATTTTGGAGATTTTCGCATAAGACATGTTGTTGAGCTAATTCACTACGCAATTGCGTCAGATTACACGCCAAATTTTCTTTCTCCTTTTCAGTATTAGACAATTTTTCAGTCAGACGATTCAATTCTTGATTATTTTCAACATTTACAGATTGACTTTTTTGGAATTCTGAAAGTTTCTTCTGTTGTTCAGTTGCATCTAATTTAACTTTAACTAAAAGATTTTTCATACGATGTAGTTTTTCATCAGAATTTTTTAGTTGACTTTTTAGATCTGAAATTAGATTCTCAGAGATTAGAATCTTTTCATTCGCATTAATTAATTCAGATTCTGTACTTTTCAATTTATCCAACAGCAGTTTTTCTTGTTCAATATTTATTTCATTATAGTCAGTCAGAATGCATGCATCGGACGATGTAATACACTTATTATTGAATGTGTAATAGTGTTTAATAATTTGTTTCAATTCATCAAGGAAATCGCTTAAACTCTTTGTAACTTTATTAACAGTATCATCTTGAAAATTATCACAAATAAAATAATCCACATTCAAATTACATTGTTTGTTGTTGTTTACTTCTTGATGGTATTTAATCAACGGCAATAAAAAAGAATCATATAATAAACTATTCAGCTTAACAAATGATTGTGTCATATCTAATGAATTATCATTATATTTTGTTTGTAATTGTAATAATTTAGCATTATACACTTCATTTATATGAGTAACTGAAGTAAGCTTATTTGATAGTTGATTAAATGAAGATTCAGCATATTCAACACTATGTTTTAACTCATTTACTCTTTGCTCTAAAATATGTAATTCTTCGTCACACACTTCATCTGAATGAACATGTTTTAATTCATTTGAAAGTTTGTTATCGCGAGAATTTTGTTCTTTTTGTTTGGTAAAAGACTGTTTTAATGAGTGAAAATATTGATTTAAATCTATTGGTAGAGTTTGACAAAACTTTTCTAGCTTTATTATTTCACTTTTCGATGAGGAATGATTAAAAGGTACATGATAATTATCAGTTGAACAGAGATCGATCCCTTCTAATAATTTGTTACATTCAGTAAATACTAATTTTAATTCATCTTTTGATAGATTATTTCTGCTGTTGAGCTTTAATGACTGTAATGCAGTGTTAAACTGTTGTAACAATGGTGAATCCTTACCATCAAAATTATTTAAGTTGTCTACTTGTGTTTCAGCGCATAGACAGTTAACAGGAACTAGAGTTGTTTCATTTAAACAGGGTACATGTATATGTTTGTCAGAACTCTGCAATGAATCCTTAGAGGACGTCTCACAAGAAGAAGAGGCTGAAATTGTACAAACAGGAATTCTAGTTACAGATTCAGTTGTCTTATCATCAATATCGTTGGTTGACACACGAAAATTCTTTTTATGTCCATTATCTACAGCGTTTTCTACCGATGTACTTACAAGCTCTGATGTTAGTGCCTTATTCATACAGGTAGATTCATTTGAAAATTCAGAAGTACAACACGATTTATCAAATTTTTCAACGGTTCCACTACTTTCTTGATGAGTTCTGGCATGCAGTGACTTCAGATATTCCAATTCTGATTTGATTTTCGTGTTAACTTTTCTCTCTTTCACCACAAGAGCTTTCAACTTAGTCACTTTCTCCTGCTCTGCATCAAGCAATGCTTTTAGGTCATCCATTTGATTAAATGATCTGGAAAACAAGAAACTAGAGCAGATACACGAAGACAATGAATCTTCATATACAAAATAATTATGTTGACCTTACTACAGTAAAAGAAAGGAAAATTTACCCACGTTTAGTATGTTTTATTCGTAACAAAAAAACTGGATGAAAAATGACCATTTAAGAGGCCACACAGTTCAAACATGTGATCTATCGCTGGTTGTAGGTATAAGTGATCGGATAAACCATAACTCGTCCAGAATTAACAGGGTCAACATTCAAGTATTCACATCAGACTATATTCGACGACATAATCTGAATTACTAAAATTTAACTACATTTTGAATTTATATGACAGTACTGTGAACTGATTAACGAAAAACCGATTGTTATCAGCACACGTTGTATGACAATCAACGAGTATAAACTAATACTACTGTAGTTAAAGGTGACCCACAATCTAAAAACGGAGTTGTGAAAAAGAGCGCGAAGGATATCAACAACCAGAAGAAATTTGGTTACGCAAGTTTTTTCCATACACAAATCGACATATGCTACTAGTCCAACTTTCATTAGAACCCTAATAGTCACACTTGTTATGTTTTATTAGAAGAGGAGAAAATATCCGTGTTCACTAAAGTTAGACATATAAATAAAAGGTCGGAGAAAATTCCCTAGTAGATACCACTCAACAAGCACATCTATGTTGTACAAACGAATGAAAGGATGAATTAGAAAGATGAGCATAATTTGGGTACCTTACATGAGGCAAACGGGAAACCATATTGAAATGAATGAAACAAAAAGATCAAGGCTAGAAAAACGTGCAGAAGATAAAGTTCTATTATCTGATTTTAAGGAATCGATAAAGATAAATTCAAATAGTGTAAATACGAACTTCAGAAATGCTTAATATTTTATCCCAAATTTAGGAGTCAAACAACTGAGAGCCGGTCAAAGGCCATATCCAAGACATTTGGTTAGTGAACATTGATGTCCAGTATATTCTACTAAATACGCATTAAAGAGTACACATTGAATCATATCTTAGATGCTTAATCTTTTCTATTACCACGCACACTGTTACTAACGCTATTATCCTGGGATTAGGGCTGACAATCTCATTCGTCTGTGATTATGGGGTAAGGGAACTTGAACTGATTTACATATGTACGAGGCTCTGCGTTGCGACTGACTAAGATTTCGTGACCTAGTGATATTAATGGGTGAGCTAAAACCATCCATTTTAGCTTTGACCGAAACTTGTTCAGTATATGACTATAAAATAACATCAAAACCATAAAGTTACACCTACCTAATAAGTGATAGGAACAGATGTTTCAACCGAGGTGGAGTGTCACCATACACTAAGGATAGTTTGGATATACATTTCTTTGTTTGTGAATCTCGTAAAAGCGGAAATTATAAAGTCACTAGTTGTGGAATTACTTTTAAAAACTGTACATTTATTATCGACATATCAATGCATTCACTCCCCATTACCAGTGAATTTTCCTGCGATGGGATTCGATTTCTTTCCCAAGTTCATCTCTCGATATAGAGCAACGTTTTGGGACTTCTCTGGGAATCTTGGGTCTATTGTTTCTCTAATTTCGACAATGCTTGTATGTATTCTTAGTCTTACAGCAACTAGATATGAACTGTCTGAGCTAATGGAGATGAAGAGGTTCCTAAAACTGAGATGTTTCATGATATCGTTCCTTCTCTATGATGGACAGTTGGTAGATCAACTTAGAATTACGTGTGATATACAGAAGAATGATACGGAACTAAATGTACTTTTAGACTAAAATCATGCTTCCTCAAAGGAAGAATTAGTATCAAGTGATTAGTTCATTGATAAAGTACACTCCTTCATGGGTGATATGTTTAATCGCCATACATTCGGGTGCGGTTTAAATCGATCATAAACTAAATGAACGACTCTGAACCTGGATAGCATGGATAGTAGCATACACAAAATAAGATAGAGACAATCGATGACATTATTTAAAAAGTCACTGATAAAGTGATTTATACTAAGGCTCAATTAATAAAGTCCTAACTCGTCGTGGCTTTCATTGTACAACATACACTATTTCGGCACATATACCATCCACTGATTTACCAGACAAGTTACACTTTCCAGTTTAATTAGCGGTCACAGGTTTCAGCATTTGGGCAAATCTCCTGGAATTCTCAGTTGACTGAAATCTCCTGGAAGCTAAAAGTATCACTGTCATATTTACTCTAGCACTGAAAACAGTTCATAATAGTGCTACTAGTATTTGACCACAGGTATCTTAGAAATATTGCCCGCATCTGCTAGGATCACCGATTAAGTAATAGTGAAGTTAGATGCAGGGTATTAGGGAATGATGGTAAATTAGTTGATGAGGTTGTGAATCTTCATTGACTGAGATGGTTGGGCCACGTGTTACGTATGCCTGAACACCGATTACCACGACGTGAAATGCTAACCGGTGTAGAAAATGGTTGGAAGAAAGTTAGGGGCGGCCAAACCGAAACGTGACATCAGTGCTTGAAGACACTAACTCCTGGTCTGAGCCATGTTAGTAGATGCAGACTACTTGTTTGGGATCCGCACGACTATCGTAACCAATGGTCAGAGACTCTGGGTGACATGGCTCAGAACCGATCATGATGGCATACGTGTATACACTCTCTATCTTCCTTTAATCTATGATTAAAAACGCTTCATATCTTTCTTTCTACCAAATAATTCTTCTTTCCTAAACTATACCCTCACATAAAATCTTTCTTTTATTTCTCACACCATTGAGTTATTTGCTTCTATGAATCCAGTGTTCGTCTTGTTGGTGTCAACTAAATGACCGAGTCCATACCAGTACCGTGAATATTAGTTGGTAGTCATATAAGCCTTGATTAAAACTTGATAAGATCAACTATTGTATTGGCATTTATCAACTGTCTAATTTTCAAACTGACATCCAGAACTTATCGTTCGTCGTCCTGTGAAGATCTACAAGTTGGAAGATACGATACAATACCACCCCACCTATAATTGCAATTATAGGTGGCTTGGCGCTCCTAAAACCATTCATGTTCATCAGGTGATTGTCAAATGGGACTGTCAGAATCCATGGTATTGCATATTAAAACCAGACTCTAATTTATGGACGACCTTTGAACGGGTCTCAAGTGCCCTTGAGAAATATTAACCAATCAGCAAATAGCCAGTACAGAGTAAAAATGTTACACAATAATAAAGAAATAAGGTGGATACACTTCTTAAGTTTGGTTTAAAAACTTGTCAAGGTTAGAAAGAGATTCAGAGGTTCTAAAATTGTAATGCATGCGGTAGAGGAAATCATCCATACGGCTACAGAATAGTCAGCCTCTGGAGTCATGATTAAGTCCCAAATACTCTTTCAGCCTCGACTACATAGCTTCAATATTGTTTATGTGCACTCCAGTTGTTGAGTGCACAACATGCCACTTGTGGATAACGACACGATGCACATAACCAAGCTTATGTAGGAGTCTATACGCCCCACAAACATCCGTATATATTGTAGTACCTGGCTGCAGTCAGTGTTACGGGTGTCTTATTATCCAGCTCGCAACAATTGTCGTATCTTGCCTTAGTTAGGAATTATATATGTGGTTTTCATCACGAACTGACATCAGCTATAATGCTAGAAATTTATTTAGCCAAATGGATGAAAGGCTTTTGTGTTAAAATCCGAGATCTATTATATTATACCTGATTGATTCGTTCACAAATTATAGTCTCGCCGTTTTATTTGTTATAGCCGCTCAATTATCACGTTTTGTACAAAATCCTCTGTGAACCCATCGTACGTTAGCATTAAGCACTGAAGTTGGCGCCGTGACCCTGAAATCCCTAACACGCTTCTGATTGGCTCGTCCATAAATTAGAGTCTCGCCACTAAGCAAACCGTACTGGGTTTAACAAATCAACGACTAATCAGATTTTATCTTTTCCCTAACATTATTTGTCTCTTCACCTAGTCCACTAGGTTGGTGTGTGTGCAACTATATTTTAAAATATGCCAAAAGAATACAATTTACAACACGGATTGACATTCTAATGTACAACAACGACATTATAACCAACAGGTTTTATTGATGAAGTGATTGTTTTACCAAGAAAGTTGTAGCGGTAAATAAATCCCCAAACTAAATAGCTCAATAGGTTTTCGACATTGGATGCTGACCATATGTTTTAGTGGACTCATCTAGCTGAAGGCGCTCGGTCATGCATCCGCACCAGATCACGTGCTGTCACGCTGTGCTCAACAACAATCGCAATCACTAGCCAGATTAGATCAGAGATTCCCGATATATTGGTTATTGCCAAATACACTCTTCCGATCTCCTCGACTCTGTCTTTTGATTTCTCTCGGTGGGAACAAAGCATATTAGAAGGTGTTATTGGTAGAAGCGTTGTCAAACACTGAATACCTGTATCATCCTCATTGGTGAGACCGACGTGATCTGGTACACCTAACTGCAACTGTGAGTCTGTTCCTTTTTGGGATTTTTATATATTATTACCTTTTTTTTAAACATTGTGATTTTTTTTTTCGTGTTTTTCCTGGGATATATATATATATTTTTCCCTCGTTCGTTATCGTACTTCATATTTTCATCATGGCTGAACAGACACCCAAAGTACTCAAGCTTAAGACTTTGTCCCCGCCTTCGTTTCAACTCATGCCTTTCTGGCCCGACAATATCGAAGCCTGGTTCTGCTACGCAGAAGCTGATTTCTCCGAGCACGGCGTGATCGACACACGTACACAATTCCTCGCAGTAGTCAAGGCACTACCGCGCGAATTCAACAGGTACGTAACACCTAGTATGTTTACTAGTGATGTTTCCGAACCTTACGAAATCCTTAAACGTTCGATTCTTAAACGAGGAGACCTAACCGATCGACAAAGGTTAGATCAACTCTTCAATAACATCGACCTGCAACACGGTTCTGCGACTGACATGTTGCAAAGAATGAGAGAAGTGATAGGCCTAAGGACTTTCGACGAAGGTCTATTTAAACAACTTTTCTTATCTAAACTTCCTCAACAAGTGCAAGCGGTTCTGGTCTCATTTCAGAACAACGCCTTAGACGAGCTAGCTGCATCTGCCGATCGTATTTTAGAAATAACGAAATCGTCTACTTCAGAGGTATTTTCCGTCAAAGAAAAGCCTCACGCGACTCAGAATGACATAACCGAGTTATGTCATACACTCACGCGTTATCTTAATCTTCGTAACGACCGTAGTCGCTCACGCAGTCCACGTAGAAGCATTTCGCGTAAACGATCTGTCTCTAGACCACGAGAGACAGATAACCCTGACTGGTGCTGGTATCATAACCAGTATGGGAAATCTTCCAGAAATTGCAGAAAACCCTGCAATTTTCCCAACACGAAAACGACTGATTCGAAAAACAATTCGGGAAACTTCCAAGCCGGCACGCGTTAACGGCAACCGTAGCCGGCGAACATAGCCGTCTGTTGTACGTCACAGATGTGACAACGAGAGTTCGCTACCTCGTCGACACTGGCGCAGAAGTTAGCGTTCTCCCAGCAAATCTTAACGACCGGCTCCACGAATCAACTCTAAACTTACAGGCGGCAAATGGAAAACCAATCGCCACGTATGGCAAAAGGTACGTCTACCTTAACGTGGGTTTACGCAAACCCATTCATTGGATTTTCGTTGTTGCAGATGTTTCTATGCCAATCATTGGTATGGATCTCCTACAACATCATAATCTAATCATCGACACGCGCAAACGGAGGCTAGTAGATGGAAACACTAAATTATCCGTTTGCGTAACTTCTTTTTCTGGTTGTAGATTATCCCCAGTCACAGTTAAGCATTCGATAGACCCACTCTATCAACCACTACTCGACAAGTACCCTGGGATACAACAAGCTCAACCGAAACTACCGTGTGTAACCAGCAATGTTACACATCACATCACGACTACAGGACCACCTGTATTCTCTAAAGCACGACGACTAGCTCCGGAAAAGCTGAGGTTAGCGAAAAACGAATTCGATCATATGATAGACTTAGGAATCATACGACCGTCAAACAGCCCTTATGCATCTCCGTTGCACATGGTCCCTAAAAAGGACAGCAACGATTGGCGTCCAACTGGTGACTATCGGCGATTGAATGCGAAAACCATTCCCGATCGTTACCCGTTGCCTCACATTCACGATTTGACAGCTACCTTGAAAGGTACAACTGTCTTTTCGAAAATCGACTTGGTTAAAGCGTATAACCAAATCCCTATGGCTACCAACGACATACCAAAAACAGCTATCATAACTCCTTTCGGACTCTATGAATTTTTGCGAATGCCGTTCGGTTTAAGAAACGCTGCGCAAACTTTCCAAAGGTTCATAGACGACGTCTTTCGAGGTCTCAACTTCGTACATGCGTATGTTGATGACTGCTTAATCGCAAGTCCGGACAGAGAATCACATCTCAAGCATCTGGATCTTGTTTTCGAACGATTACAAAAACATGGCATTACTGTAAACGTTCAGAAATGCCAATTCGGAACCGACTCGTTAGATTTCCTAGGACACACTATCGATGCTCAAGGCATTCGACCTCTTAGGACCAAAGTGGCGGCCATTCTGGATTACCCAGAACCGACCAACGTCAAGCAATTACGCACGTTTAACGGCCTGGTAAGTTTCTATAGACGCTTCATACCGAAATGCGCATTACTTATGAAACCTCTTACTGACCAACTTCGTGGAAATGCGAAATCCATTAATTTGGACGACACCGCACGAAAAGCATTCTCCACAGTTAAGGAACTGATCGCTAAAGCAACAATGCTCGCACATCAGGACACTGCAGCACCCATTAGTATCGCAGTAGACGCATCCGACTCGGCAATCGGAGGAGTCTTACAACAATGGATTAACAACTCCTGGCAACCCTTGGCATTTTTCTCTAGACGGTTGCTAGACACCGAATCGAGATACAGCACATTCGGTAGGGAACTCCTAGCTATGTATTGTGCTGTACGGCATTTTCAACACTATATCGAAGGCCGTGAATTCACTCTATTCACTGACCATAAACCGCTCACTTTCTCGTTAAGCTCCTCTTCTGACAAGTACTCTCCCCGTGAGTCTCGACAACTGGACTACATTTCGCAGTTTACTTCAGATATTCAACATATTTCTGGAGCAAACAATGTAGTTGCAGACGCCTTGTCTCGAATAAATTCCTTGAACAGTTTCCAAGGAATCGACCTTCTTAAACTCGCCCAGCTTCAAAAAGAAGACACTGATCTTCAGCAAGAGTTATCGTCCACAACCCTTAAACTACGCATCAAACAGATGGGAACAGGTAAGGAAACCTTACTTTGTGACACATCTACAGGTAGAGATCGCCCAATCGTCCCGAAACATTATCGACGCAATGTCTTCAACACATTGCACAAACTTTCTCATCCAGGTGTTCGTGCAACCATCAAGCTCATAGCAGAACGTTTTTGCTGGCCTGGTATGAATAAAGACGTGAGGGAGTGGGCACGCTCCTGTGTAAGCTGCCAAAAATCTAAGGTCATCAGACACAATAAATGTCCCTTAGGCTCATTTAAAACTCCCGATGCTCGTTTCGACCATGTTCATCTGGATTTGGTAGGACCTTTACCAGATTCAAATGGATACTCTTACCTCTTGACCTGTGTAGATCGTTTCACTCGATGGCCAGAAGCAGTACCTATCAAGGACATCACTGCTGAAACAGTGGCCCGAACCTTCGTCGAACGATGGGTAGCAAACTTCGGTTGCCCTTCAACCATCACTACAGACCGCGGACGTCAGTTTGAGTCTGAACTTTTCCGTCGTCTGACCACACTATTAGGAAGCACTCGCTTCCGAACGACCGCCTACCACCCACAAGCAAACGGGTTGGTAGAACGCTTTCACCGACAACTAAAAGCTTCACTATCAGCTGCAAACGTTTCACAGTGGACCGACGCTCTTCCACTCGTCTTACTAGGTATCCGCAATGCAGTGAAAGCTGACATTGGATACACTGCGGCTCAACTCGTTTATGGAACGACACTTCGACTTCCAGGAGAATTCGTGGATCCTTCATCCTCTTCATTGAGCATGGATCTAACCTCTTACACGAACAGGCTTACAAACGCAATGCGTTCAGTTAAACCTGCTTCCACTCGACCTCAATCAACTGATGTTTTCATTCAACCTGAGTTACGATATAGTACACACGTTTTCGTTCGTCGAGACTCGCATCGACGACCTTTCGAATCAGCATACGAAGGACCTTTCAAAGTTCTTCAACGCGAACCGAAGTACTATATAATCGATAAGAACGGAACCAACGACAGCATCAGCATCGATCGCATCAAAGCAGCGTATTTAGAAGGAAATCCTATCTACGTGGATTTTCCTTCGATACAATTGAACGACACGACTCCGACACTTATAATACCTCATCCGACAACCAACACACACGATGATACTTCGACAGTATCCGAAAATAAGCTTAAAACGACACGTTCTGGAAGAAGAGTGAGATTTCCAGAACATTTAAACGACTATTGCACGTAAGGCACTTCTCGACATTTTCTATATTATTAAAAAATAAAATTTTTTTAATAGGCTTATATATTTTCATTTCTATTTTTTTAAAAAACAACAAAAAAACGATTTTACAAGTTTATTTTCCCTTTTCACGCACATACGAGTGTATTTTCGACATGCACTTACATTTTCTTTCTTCTTTTCCAGGACGGCTGGAAAAGAACGATGACGTTCATGAGGATACGAAATTTTCATTGTACATTTCTTTTTTTACTATGTTGTACCCCGGTCCCATATAGTAAGGA